GGGTAAGGGAGGTGTACAGGTTCTCAAAGTCGCCGGGTCCAAAGAAGGCAAACGCGCCTGCCGGTCTGATGAATATCGCTCGCGGCGACAACAGTAATATGAGACGTACCCATCGACAGCGGATCCAACGACCAGCTCCACGCGAACGTCTCTATGAGCTGATCCCTCAGGAAAGCGATATCGACGTTGTGTATCTTGCTGAGTTCCCTCAGGGTCAACTCCCTGAGCGTATCCGGGTCGTTCGCAACCAGTGACGAGAGCCGATTAGCGTCCTCGGTCCACGAGTAGCTCGCGATGAGGCTGGTCGTGTTGCCCGCGGGGTTGCCGAATGATGGGTACACCACTGTGCGCAGAGGCGTGTCGGTGTACGTCTGACCGCCGACGATGTTGAGCGTGTTGTTGTTGCGATCGACGCCAGTCGTCCACCATGCCGTCTTGAACTGCATGCCGATCTTGACCGATGGTCCGTAGTCGAGCTCGCGCAGAGCATTGGACTGAAGAGGCGCGAGCTCGGCGTGGTCCAAGTCGAGCGTGCGCATGACGGGGAGAGGGATGGTAGAGATGACATGGGAGAACTGGTCGGTGTTGGTGTAGTTCGTTGTAACGTTGACGCCCATCGTGTTTCCGCGGCCGTCACTTATGGAAGAGATGCCGGTGACGTGCTTGTTGAACTCGAAAGTATTGTTCTGTGCCGAGTTGAGGTACTGGTACATCGTGTCCGCAATCTGATATGCGCCACCGCTGCAAGCCGAGGTCAACCCAAGTAAAAAATGTGTAGGAAAGCAACGCGTACTCGATGAGGTACCACTGCCTGTTCGCGCGGACCTCCGCACTGGGGTCCCAACCAAATGAGACCGCCTCAAGCACCGTCTCCGAGAGCGCCCTGTCGTACCAGCCCGTTCCACCGTTGAACGTCTCGCACCAGTCGATGACGTCCTGAGGTATGTTCTTGTTCGGCAGTCCAAGCTTCTTGCTGGGCTTGTACTCGGAGGCCATATAAGAGCGCGTGGAGTACTTGTCATACTTTTGCATGTACTCCCAACCCGTCGTGGTGTGGTTTGCAAGGTCATCGAGGAGGCGAGTGGCAAAGGGACCGATAACATCGTTCATGATGGCGTCGACGCCAACGTTCACGTAGGCAGAGGCGTTCTTGGAGGCAATGACCGCGGCGGAGTCGAAGGGCTCCTGGAAATGCGCATCGGTGGCTTTGACCGTCACATCGTTGTACGACATGAGCGTGTTATTGCTCTTGTAGATGAACGGCTTGAGCTTCTGGCTGAGTGCGAGACCGTTCGAGTTAAGCGCCGGGTAGTCGAAGAGGTGGAAGGCGCGCTGCATCGAGGTACTGTTCGGGAACCGCATAGCGCCGACATCAAAGTAGTTGTAGGGCGCGCCGGTGTCGTTTTGGAACTTGTACGTGAACAGGCGCCCGCCGACGCGGTCGCGTGCCTCGATGATCTTGTAAGGGATCCCAAGGTCAAGGAGCATGAGCGCGGTATACATGCCGCCGGCACCTGGAACGGGTCAGCTATGTGATCGCGTCGAAGGAGAGCGTACATACCGGCACCGAGGATTCCAACAGGGTTGGTCAGGTTCGCCGACGTTGAGTTTGCCATGGACGAGTTGGTCATGGCAAGTGTAGCCGCATGGACAGAGGCGACTGGTACAGAGCCGTCGGAGGAAGCATCCTGACTGTCGAGGTGGTTGGAGATAATGCCGCGTCCATGGATGGAGAAGACGTCGTGATGAGGGGAGGGAGAAAGAGAGGATGTGGTAGGTGCACGGCCGAAGATGTTTCGGCGGCGTGAGAGCGGTTTGCCATGGGTTGATGGCGCGGCGGCCAGTGCGGCGAGAGCGAAGGAGAGGAGCAGCATGTCGGCCCGTCACCGAGGGCTTCAGACGTTGCTGCTCTTGCCTTTGTACTTGAGTACATCGGAGCAGTCCCTCCTGTATCCGCCGTCGCCCATGCGGCTACACTGACAATGTCTGAGTACTGTCAGTTGTTGACCGTCGCCGAGCAGCAGGAGACATTCGACGGACAATTCCTCAGTCAGGGATGAAACCAGTAATTTGTTTCCTGCGTTTAGTACCCAAGGCTTACGGAGCCCCTGTGTTACAGTGGGATACAAGAGAGGAGTGGCCGAGCGAACTCTCCTTCGCAAAGGTTTGTTGCGCCCGAAACAGGGTCAAGAGGCTAGAGGCGGGAAGTCCACTTCGCCTGCATCGGTACAAGATGGCCTATACAGATAGAACGTAGCCATATCAGCTAGGAGAGAGCAGCATCGAGAGCGGAGGCACAATGGACAGAAGGAATTTCACCTCAGATCCATCAAGACATTTGTAAGACACAGAGACAACCCGCGCTGCGGTACTCGACCCATTACTCTTGAGTTCACGCTGTACAACGGATTCACGCGCATTGAAAGGCTCAAGACCACGGGGCAGGCGCAAAGGCCTGCTGCGTGTCGAGCGGGCGACAATTGATTGTGCAAAGTACATTGTACATACACGCAGACCCGACATATTTTGAGCTGTAGATCGCGACGTGCGATCACAGACGACGACCACGGCGACCACCCTAGATGAAGTCAGATCAGTGATTGTACGATGATGAGAACACTGAACAATATACCTTGCGGCGGGTAGAGTCAGTCGGGACAGGGGTGACGTCCTCGATGCGGCCGATGGACATGCCGGCACGAGCGAGAGCGCGGAGGGCGCTCTGTGCACCCGGGCCGGGGGTCTTGGTGCCAGTACCACCAGTAGCACGGAGCTTGATGTGAAGGGCGGTGATGCCAACCTCGCGGCAACGAGCAGCGACGTCCTGAGCAGCCAACATGGCGGCGTACGGCGAAGACTCGTCACGGTCAGCCTTGACCTTCATGCCGCCAGTGATGCGGGAGATCGTCTCCTTGCCGGACAGATCGGTGACGTGCACGAACGTGTCGTTGAACGACGCGAAAATGTGCGCGACACCGAAGTTGCGCTCGCCCTCAGCAAGCTGGGGGCCGAGCTGGACGGTCTGCTCTTGCTGGACGCGGGCTTTCTTGGGCGGCTAGAGGCACATCCGAGCGTTCAGCGATACAATCCAGCCTCTAAACATGCCACAACTCTCTCCCAAGTTGCGGGAGGTAGTGCAGCATAGTGTCAAGGACATACCATGTTGGTTTCTTGACGGGCGGCGGTGGTGGTCGAGAGCTGGAGAGCGTCGAAGACGGCGTCGACGATGAAAATCAACCCTAACCCTAATAAGACACTCACCGGCCGCGACCTCAGTCGGGACTCGGCGCTAGCCGCTAGCGCCTTCCTCCGGACCATCATGGATCACGTCCGACGCTCTACGAGGACGAGTACGCCGCACGATGAACCTCTATGAACCTTCGCTTGGCCTTCCTGAGTATTCAGTTGGTGTGATGGAAGGAGATGGGTTCCCGTGCCACGTATACAATCTCGGCTACCAGACTACTCGCGGTTCGTCAAGCTGTGCAACACTGCATGTGGACGCACGCCTATAAAAATACGCTTTCGTCATTCATCCGAGTTCTTGCTTGCGTCCTATCATGTCGAATGGAACCATCGGAAATGCCTCATCAACGAATAGCTCAGACACGGCCGTCTCAATCGATCTGGCAGATATTGCGCTATCCGAGCACTTGAGATTGATGACTGGGTCTCTCGTTGATGTAGCAATCGTAGCACTGATCAGCCAGCGCTCTTACGCGTACATCGCAAGGGGCGGGAAAGGTTCAACCTTCTGTACCGTGATATGTCTATGGTGAGTTCAGAGCTCGCGTGGGCTATCCCTATTACTTACTGTATACGTTTGCAGGCTTCTTAATACCACGCGTCTCATATGGAACCTCTCGGACGTATACCTAATCTATACACAACAAGCTGGACTGCAACTTCCCGGACCGCAACAACGTTCGTATATCTTGAACCTATTGAGGAAGAGGATGGGCGCATTCGTGACCTTCTTACTGGCTTCGGTTCGTCGCTATCGCACATGCTCAGCATACGGGTGAACCAACACACGGGCAGGTTTTCACCTACACTTGTATGGTCATCATCGTGTGGAGACAACTACATACTCGTGTGTATCATTCGAGTATCGTCACGACTTCGAGCTCCAGTGCTCACGACAATCGCATAGTGGTGGGAAGAAGCAAGTTCAAGGCATCGCTGCTGGTCTGTCCCGTCCATGCGTTGCATCCACGCTCACTCACGCCCAAATGTTGCAGACCCTTCTGTTGTGGCTTCCATCTATCTGGATTGCCGACTTTGAGACGACCTTCGCCTTGACCCACGTCTTAGCCATCACACAAATCGGGATGCACGGCACGGCTCACGCATTCATACTGGTAGAGATTTGCATCCTCGGATAACCCCCTATCGCACTCACGGAATGTTGCAGCCCAAAGACGACTTTCTATCGGATTGTCCACGCCTGCGGATGCCCGCGCGTCTGCGTGCATTTGCTCACGCCCAGCAACGGTCCAGATTGCGCCTACGGCTTCTTGCCGTCGTGATGTGCACAGTGAATGTTATCGTAGTCTATGGGTGAGTACAACGAAAGCTCCCTCCATCACGCCACTGAATGCGACACCTATCGCCAGTCTCTGTCGAACCGGCGAGTGCATTCAGAGCTTCGTCCCGGGAGGACTCTATATCAGCTTCGGCGACGGTAAGCTTCCATGTTCCCGCACTCGGCCGCGCTCTCGCCTTGCCCAATGCTGATCCGGGCATCCAGTATATACCCTGCTCTACCTAAGCATCAAGAACAAACACGCGGCCATAGGCAGCGGCGGAAACCCAGAGATAGTCGTCAGTGCGCCGGAAGAGGTGGAACTGCAGCCTCGCCCTGCAGGCACGGCGCGGCGTCGAACGTCCCACCGCTCGGCGGTCGGTACCGCTGATATGTCATGACACGTATCGTATAGATATCGAGGAAAGGCCCCTGGAGTGTATAGTATGTACTACGTTAGTTCTAAGCCAACATTCCGGGGTGACATGACGCCAACCCTAACCCCTTGCATCACCGGAGCGTTTTCTCCGAGGCGCCCAAGCGCAGCTTTCTCCCTTGACCGCCACGTCGTCATGCCACATCAAGACGCGCTCTTTCGCCTAACGCATCTAGTAGACCGTGCACCTATCAAGTCAGACAATCCTGATAATCGTGTCACGACACCCGAATGCGATGCGTAGAGATTCATCCCTCTTCAACATATGCTGTGTCTTTGACGCCGTCGCAGCGGCGCGTGCCCATCAATGATCGCCGTATAAAGATCTCCATTGCTCTCGCGAAGCTACGCCACACCTTCCCCGCGTCTCATCATGTCGGATAGCCTTCTGGACGAAGCTGCTGCTGGCTTCTTTGAAGAACTCCAAGTACCTTTTCCTGTGTTATCTGAACCTGACACGGTGTCCCACGTCGAGTTGATCACCGATCTTCTGGTTGCCACCGTGATATATGCGGCTGTCTTTCAGCGTACATATGCATACATCGTTGCAACGGGTGCAAAGGGAACCGCCCTCAAAACTGTGTCCAGTCTCTGGTGTGTCTCTGACCTGTCTTTACTGAGTCGTTTTCCTGACCTTGCGCCGCCACAGGCTGATGAGTACCGCACAGTATCTCCACGTGAGCTCAAGTGTCTTCATCGTCTACATGTACACATCAGAAACACCGCCACCGCTTCGACGCGTATTCTTCAAGACACTGGGTGCGTACGCGTTCTGTAATGTTATCGGGGTCAGGAGCATCCGCCACTCATTTGCCTCGCGATCTGACTCTCTTGTAGCTTATCATCGTCATCCGTGTTGCCGTTGTCACCTGGAAACAGCTATATACAAGTACGCTCATGACCGCCTGTCTGGTGTCGCCAACCTGATGAAACTGGCAGTCACGGGCAGAAGCAAATTATATGCGTGCACCTTGGTTTGTCGCGCACGTCCGTATTATGTCTGGAACTGATGGGCGTGATAGATCCTGTCACTACTACTTCCGTCTATCTGGTTACCAGACTACGAAGTAGATCTATTTCTAACTCACACGTTGGCCATGGCCCAACATAGTATTCACGGGACCGCGCAGGCCTTGATTTGCGTCTGTATATATCTACACGCACCAATTCCTTCATAGAGTCTGATTCTTTGATGTAGCCAAGCGCCGACTACCGGTCTGAATGCCCACGACTACGAATGCCATCACAACTTCGTGATCTGATTCGAACACAACGGCAGTCGCGAATACGATCCTACTTCATCGCAGCCGTGATGATGGCTCTGAATTATCTTCTTCTCAACGGGTGCGTATGCTTTGCTTTTGGTGCTCTAGGCCTTAGCTGATACGTGTACCTCAAGCCTCTTCATGGCCATCAACGCGCTCGTATGTCATCGAAAAACCTCATCTGCTCTACCGAGACTGACGCCGTCAACAGGAGGACTCATACACACTTCCAGGAGGCCCATACATCACATTTCAGAACGGTCAGTACTACTGCGCCATAATGCAAAGTCCCGCTATTCATAATTTCGGATAGTCTACGCCCTGGCATACCTGATTGTGAAGACTAGAAATGCTGAAGTGCCAGGAAGACGCGATGAGGTGGCTGAAGAGCAGGAACAGCGAAGAAGGCCCGCTGCCGGGGAATGACATTGAGCCCGCGGCGCTCACCTTGGCATCCCGGTTGCTGCGAAACCCGTATACACTACGCACGGCTATGATGATATTGAGTCAATTGCTTCATTATGGCTAGATGTTTAGTGGATACAGCCTCTAGGCTTTACAGCAGATCTGGTTTGAGGAAGCCCCGAAGAATAAGACGAGTTCAACGCCCATGTGGCATGCCGCGAGTCCTGACCCTAACCCGAAAGGATTGTGTAAACGCGCGCCGGCAATCACTCTATTGCCCTTTCTTCCTCCCACCACCAGCCCGTCAAAGATGACCACACGCCTCACACGATGCGCGCCGATGCTATGCTGTCAACCGAGGCCGCTCTATTGCCACATATAGTCTATGGCTGTCGACCATTCCAGTCATCACCATCGCTATTCGTTCCGATGCTGTACCGCGTTGCCTCGCGCCCGGCGCTTCTTTGGTATATAAAGGACTCTGTTCAACTGCTCCGCGACTAGTTCGCACTCTTGGCGTCGGCGATGGCAAACCAAACGGCCAACTACACGCTCACCGTGACGACGATATTCTCCGCTCGGCAGACGGAGCTACATGATCTCGCTCGGCCACTGCCGACCCTCTCCGAATTGGTTGATACGTGCATGGTCGGTGTCACTCTATTCCTGTTCACCACTTTCCGGACATGGTTGTATGTCTCAAAAGGCCGCAACGCTCCGCGTAGTATGGCTCCACGCATCGTGGCGTGTTTATGGTACGAGGCTTTCCTTTCACGCGTACTCTGTCTAATCTCCGAGGACAGGTTAGTGGACGCGATGCGATTTGTCTCGTCGTGCGAGAGACTGTACGGGATACGTGTCTACTCGGCAGAGCAGCTGCCTCTGTCCAGAGAAAGCATATCTAGAATCACGAGGTTACTGCGGATGATCATTGTACCTATGGCAAGTTATAGTCTACATTGATCATGCGATGAGAGCTGACCTGCGCTACAGATATCGACACATGTCTATATAACCTTTGTCACATGGACGGAAATCTACACAGGTACACCGCCTCACACATTTCCCTCGGCTAAGCAACTGAAAGATATCAGCGACTGGATATAGCAAGATTCAAGCGCTGCTCTGGGCGAGTCGACTACCGCATCCGTCGCATCTGATGTTGACTTACGCTCACAGACGGCGATAGCAACATTCTGTCCCGGTGTAGACAGGCGCCTCGCTGTGTCACATTGCCTGGCGTTCGCTCGATTGGGTTTCATCGGTACTGCTCGCGCCTTGATGAGCGTGAGTCCCAATCTACTTGACGATATCTCTGTATTGATAACTGCAAACAGCCCGATAATGATATTGGATCAGGATGCCCTCGATTGAGAATGTCGTCAGGTCTTGCAGGTTTGATTTCGAGGCGACCGGAATCGCGACGACGACGACTTGTCGGCACACTGGTCATGTTACTGCTGAATTACCTGGCAATCGTATGGTGAATGGCTTCTCCAAGTGAGGGGTTATGGTGCTGAAGTATTTTGACCTCCAGGATCCGAAGCATCAGCGCAACACTCGTGAGTTCAGCACGTCTATCGTCACCCTCATGCGAATGACACGCCGTTTCATAGCAGATGAAGTTTCTCCCAGGTCACCAAGACCTCAAAGTCAGCATTCCACTGAGTAGCTGTGAGTACATTCTCTGTCTGATCGGTCTTCATACTCGGAGATCTGACGTACGGGTCTGGATCCAGTTTACACCGCGCTCTATCTGTCCATCAGATCCAGACAAGTGGACCATTCCGACGTCAGTCCCCCTCAAGCTGGGCCACAGCGAGTTCAAGATGTCGTACAAGAAGAAACGCAACGAGCCCCGGCCCAACAGCAGGCACCGCTCGTTGCAATCGAAAGACCGCGCGTGAAGACACCTCCACCACTGGCCATGTCCAAGCTCACGGAAGATGCAGTCACTGCTTATCTGCCGCTTGCTCTCGCACTCGGAACTGCTGCACTATGTGGTTGAGCATGTAGATGCAGTCCTGGATAGTCTTCCTTACTTACAGCTCAGTAATCGCGCACTCGTTGCACTCTCAATGCATTTGCCTGTTACGCAGTCATCATCTTCACATCCGAAACATCATGTATTCTCCTTCATGGCCTCAATTATATCATCCGACGCAGACTGTCTTTCACGATATGCTTCCGCATTTCTCTTCTCCGGGGCATCCGGGCGGGTGCGGTTAACTATGAGTCCGAGGAGGTAACACACCTACGGAACCATACAGGGTGAAGCTGAAACCAGCAAGTTTTTGTCGTCTCCTGTCCTTTCGATCGCGTCTTGATACGTCCCATCATTCCCGTCCTACCACTGAACATGGACCTCAGCGCAAACCCGACAACATTCGTTGATTTGACGGTACCGAGGGAACGAGTCGCGCACGCTCCCCAAACGCCTACGAACCCAGTAAGGCGCGAGGCTCACCCGTCAAGTCCACCGCCAGGAACTCCTAAGAAGCCGAGGGTACGCTTTTCGTCAGTGTAATCCAAAGCACCAGAGGCAGATATCGCATAGGTTGTCAGGACGCCGGAGGAGCTGGCAAGACAACGCGCATGGGATGCGTGGGTTGCTGAGAACCAATGGCAGGTGAACAAGCGATACGAGCACAAGGAGAAGTCGCCTGTACGTTCTTCATTCCTTCCTCTACGAGCGAAGTGTTCACCACGTCTTTTAGAGACTGAAGAAGACAAAAGCTCTGGAAAGTTACATCAAGAAATGTACGCCCAAACTGACCGAACGCGATCTTTGCACTCTTCCGTACGAGACGGAGCGTGACGCGCGTGATGTACGGTACAGATCTGCACATGTATACACGAAGAAAGATATCATGGAGCTTGTGCATCTGAAGGCGAATGCTCTGGGCATTTCAGCTGACTGTCCACCGCGTGAGTGTCTCCCTGACCGTCAATCCATGGTTATCGCTCAGTCATCTTCCTATGCAGTTCGTCAGAGGCGTGTTCGCACAGCTGGAGAAGTACATCATGTAGACGCACCAAGTGCGCCATGATACGCCCTGCCGTTTCAGAGTCGATACGTACACATTATGAACTGTAGTTGTCTCATGCTCAGTAGCGCGTCCTGTATCATAGCCGGAACTCGTCCATCTTTGAGGTCCGATGTACTTTGACATGGTAAATAGAATTCATCCTACGTCCAAAAGTGGCTATATGGTGAAGAGTGGGAACATAGGCCACTGCCGAACATGAGAGCCTCGAGCAAGATCGAGCAAGCTACGATCGGCCCGGAGAGCGCCCTTTGATCCGAATTCGCTGCATTTCCACGCGTCACGCCGTCGCCGCTCGCGATCGTTCTTGTGCTGGACCACCACTACGCTTTGACCGGAAGGATTATCTGCACGCACTATGTCACCCCCGAGATCAAGTGCTCGTCCCACTAGAGCTGGAACTAAGCGCAATTACCATGAAGACTCTTCACCTGAGCCGGAAGGTGCTTCGCCCACGCCTGGATCATCGAAAGCGCCCAAATCGCCGAAGAAGCGAATCAAGCTAGATAAAGCAGAAACAGACTCGACCAAGACGAAAGCTTCCCGACCGAAGAAGGCGAAGGCGTCCAAAGAGCCTACGCCGAAGCAGAAGTGGGATGAAGAGATCAAGAGACGTGGGGAATGGACGGTTGACAAGAAGTACAAGCATCAAGGATACCCACCGGTCTGTGTCTCTGAAGTTATGAATTATCACAAACTTTTCTCAATACATCTATAGACGTTTATCAAGAGCGAAGCTCTGAAGTATGCGCGTCGATTCGATCAGCCGAAGCTGACCGCACGCGAACTCCTTACCCTGCCATACGAAACAATACCTAATCCCAAGGACCCGCATTACAGGGCGTCGCACGCGTACTCGACACGAGATATAGACCGTCTTCTGGCTGAGAAGGCCCAGCAGCTAGGCATTGACATCAAGGCGCCGTCTCCGCCGCCTCCGCCGCCTCCATCCGACAATTGGTGGGACCCTGTTCAAGACCCTCTCATTAATCGCGAATATACCCCCCCGGATACAGCACATCCGGAAGACCCGCCACCAGGAGATATTATCTGGACTGGTGAACACATCCAACATATCAACCTGTTGCTCGAAGACGCCTGCTTGCTCTATTGCGTGAGTATAGATATTCCATCATGTAGACTCGTGAGCCGTTGGTTGACTGGCGTGCGTTAGGTGAGCAAGGACGATCTGCGTGATCTCGCCGCGCATTCTCGCTGGTTAGACCGCGAGACCGTGGCGAAGCGTGCGGTATTTCTACACGGCGGCTTCAAACGCCACAACGAGATGTACGCCCCGATTACGCGTTTGTTCTATCAGCATCCCAGCTAACCTCCCCACACAGCGTTGTCGCCCGCCGCAAAGAGTCCATGGACAAATACGAAGATAAAGTCGCTGCGGCAGGGAACTACCACGACGGGCAACCCGCCGAGCACTATAGTCCTTACCTCGAAGCATTATTCAAGAGAGCGTACGAGGAGGACCAGCAGTCGTCTGTAGAGTGCGAGTCGATCTTGCAAGAAAGGGCTTATCCCCCACCGTCCTACGATCATGGTGCAGAAGGGTATCGTCTTAGAGTAAAGCAATTCGCACCCATGCTCGAGTACGATGAAGGGGATTACGGGTGCGAATGGCGCTGGACTCATTGGCACGGGAGAGGCTTTGTGGGCAAATATGATCTTACAGCGTAGAAGCCGGCATCAATCTCAGACCTTGTGTGTTATCTGAGTTCAGCTCTAAGTAGTACGCTTGGTCCCTTTTCGCTGTCCGATCCGCAGTCTTAACGAACGTAAGTAGGGCCATAGAGTGGACCAGATGGTCAACTCACTTTGACACGCTACTGATGGCTAGCACGGCATGCGGTAACGCCGACTCATTCTGCGTTCCGTTCAACTTGAGCATCGTTCTCAATCACTGCGCAGAGGCGACATGCCTTTGAGCGAAAGAATCGAAGTTCACCGTCAAGAAGTCGCGAACGGATCTCAATCCACGTAGGACCCCGTTGCTCGACGTCCAATGCCGCAGTCGCACACGAGGCCTTCAGCTATACTACGTCGGATGTAGCGGCGAGCAGGCTCCGGCGACGGTGCTCCCGGCTGCCACCTTGGCTTCGTGCTCTACCGGTCCACCGCTCTACCACCTCCATCCTTACCAAACGCGTCTGTTTCTTTATTCGTGCTTGTTTATCCCGCCCTGCTTGCTGTGCGCGGTCGTCCCTGCTGAAGGGGACCTCGGGCGTCAACTCGGTAGAGAGGGAGTTAGAGAGAGGGCCGCTCTAGGAGAAATGGAGGAGCGTCTCGTATATAACGATATCTGGGTGAAGCGTAGAACCCCAGTTCTTGCAAGCGCAAAGACTTCCACCACTCGCAATCGTACGCTACTCGCGCCTCTTCACCTCCCGCCACCAACCTTGTACGCCTTCACGTAGATCATCTGTCTCGACTCTTGCTAACAATGCGTCCACAGCTCTCTCTCTCATATCCGTACATCATCATTATGGGCAGGAAAGCCAAGGACAACGAGTTCAGCGTCGACTGGCCCGTCGGCTCGTCCGGTTATCCGGGCTTCAACTACGGCATCGATTGGTACTCTGTCGAAGAGGCCACCGGCCCGCAGAGCCTCATCTACTCGTACCAGATCAAGATCAAGACGGAGACATGGGCGCCGCATTGCTACTTCTACGACGAGACGGGCGACTGCTATAGTCTTGACGTCGAGTTGCCCGGAGAGCATGTCGTCCGGTACAACTCCTCTAGCCCCAAGATCGTCAAGGTCCGCATTGGCGATGAGAAGCCTTGAGTTTCCTGATACACTAGTGAGTCTTCGTATTGCTGTATCAGGATTAGTCACTGACATCGCCCTCTTTCAGGCGCTCCGAGGGGAACAAGCTCGTCAGTGTCGACTTGGGACGAGCGGCTGCCAAGGTTATGGGATCGCGTCGGCGGTTCGAAGGGTCATATCGAGGATATCATAGTGTTGTGACAAGACTGAATGAATGGAACAAGATCTTGATCATGTCAGACGGGTACCGTGTGAGGTGTAGAGCGGATGCGTCATGTCGTTTTCACTCGAGTCGAGGAATGATTCCAACCCCATGAAGCCCGTCTTCGAGTCCTTACACGGTATCACTCTACACGGGAATGCACTGCGCTTCAAGAGGCCACTTCCTAGCCCTAACTCAGCCTTGACGATACTGTAATACCGGCGCCACAGGCTTTTCAGTGAAAGAAGCGCACATCCCATATGTTCGCACATTCATCCGTCGTCGGAAGATTTCACAACATGAACGCGATCAAAAGAAGCGCCAGAAGGAAAGATATGCTGCGCGCACAGCTTGTTCGATTCGAAGTGACGCTACCGCGCCAGAGACGTACGTATTTGAACAGGGTGAGCTCTCTTTGATCCGAGCTACAACGGCCGCGCACTCCGCGCGAGTTTGATCATTCGTCGCTCGCCACAACTTGCACATCGACCACCAGCCCTACCATTGGTAGCGCAAGCGACGTCGCGACACTCTCTATCACCATGCCGTCTTCGAGAAACGCTACACTCGAGGGCTGGCTCACGCCGGCCGAAGATGGCAATAAACGCAAGCTCAAAGCGGATTCTCCGCCTGAGCTCGAGAACTCCCCACCCGCAGTGGACACACAAGCGCCGAGCACTTAGCCTCCTCAGAAGCGGGCCAGAGTGGAGAAGGCAGGGATGGGTGCCAAGAGAGGTTCTTCGAAGAAGAAGACCAAGGTGCTCGAACAGCCAACGGAGGAGGATGCGTGGAACGCCAAAATCAAGAGGCGAGGGAAATGGGTGCCGTCAGAGGGCGAGGTGTACAAACAAAAGTATCTGGTGGTACGCATATTTTCGAGTTACCATCTCGGAAGGTGTACTAAGATGTCCAGATCAGGTCGAAACCAAGGCAGCATCTATGAAGTACATCGAAACCTGCGAGCCGAGGCTGACCGAACGCGAGCTCCTTACCCTGCCGTACGAGACGCAGCCCATCAAGAACGAGCAGCATAAGACTTGCCATCTGTACGCTGTGGCGGACATCATTGATCTCGTGCGGGAGAAAGCAGAGGCACTGAGCGTGCTTGCTCGAATCCCCGGACAACCGGACCCTCCGCCTCAAGCTGGCCCATCTCACAGCTGGATGACCAGGTGAGTGAGCATCCTGTGGCCTCTTGTTATCAATTCTGAGGCCGTTCTCCACAATCTATCTTCAAGAAAAGTGACGTAGGACGTAGGAGAGCGGATGCGTACGTTATAGCGTTTGCCTCGTCAACAATGTATCCGACGTCGTATACTCCATGTTTGTGCTTGAGTCCTGTACTAACAATGTCAATGTTATATCGTGTTTGGCTGCTGTACGCCACTGGGCGACATATCCGCCAGCACATCGCGCTTCTGCCGCTCCGAGCACATAACTCAGCATCAATGGTTTCATGTTCTCTCTACAAGAGGGCAAGACTATGGTCCCGTTCGACATGATCATGAGGGTTGCGGTCAAGAACGTTCAATGACGCCTTGTGCCGATTCAACGCCGACGACGTCCCGACGTCTAGGAAAGCCGTGATCCGCCTCGACGTTTCGAACTCCGCGCGGCAAACCGCTCCTAAACTGGCCAAGTTCTAAGTACAATATCTTACACGGCTGCCCGCGCGGCGGGTTGTTACAACAGGTATACTCGACATAAGCGTACAGTCCATCGTGAGTTTCCTATCCAGCAATCATTCTATCTCAGGCTCCGTACGTTCCGTACCCCTTCGAGGGAGCAGTCGACGAGAACAGCATGCTAGGCTTCAGAGGCAACCTCTCGCCCTCCTCGACGTCTAACCCCATCTCAGCTTGCGCACGCGCGTTCACCATCTCGTCTTCTTCACTGTACCTGTGCGCAAACTGTGAGCTATGACTGCAACGGAAGAGGGAGTATAGAACGTACTCATCCTCGTCCAACCCAAACGTCGGCAATTCCTCTTCAGCCCACCTCAACAACCTACTCTCGCCCGGCCTCCCGCGCCACCTCCTCAACCTCCTCATCTTCCTCCCAACAGCCCTATAATAAGGCTTCGACCACGCAGGCGGGTGTGTCGCAAAGTAATACAGTCCTCCAACCGTCGCGAAAGACGAGACAAGGACGATCGCGACGGTGCGCAGCGAGATGTGGTCGTTGACGGGTGGAAGAAGGTCGGATTCAGGTTTGCCGTCTTTGGGTGGGGTGGAGGTACGGTCTTTGGGCGGGTAGCGATGGTTATGGTCGGGTGAGTGCTCGTGGTCGGAAGGGGGAGTGTCGGTCTTGAGGGGGTAGCGGTGGTAGTGGTCTGGTGTCTCGTTGTTGTCGAATAAGGCTGATCGGACGAAGGATGGTGAGGGTAGTGGGCACGCGTGCGGCGTGCGCCAGGTGAATGCGTGAGTGGTGCCGCCGGAGACCGCCAACTCAAGACCGCCTTCCTCGGTCTGCGGGTTTGCTGTTAGTATGAGCTCTGCGATGAAGTCCTACGCAAGTACGTACCGCGCACTCAAATGCGATTAGCGCCCTCAGCCGACTCCCTGCGTACGGTTCACCCGATAGTACCATGACCAGGCCATCATCCCGCTCATAGACGCCGGTATGCACCGAAGAGGAAAGGGCCTTGACGATCGGAACGTGCTGTGTCGCAGTAGGCGCCTTGGGCCGCCGGCTGATGGCTGTGTGCGGCTGTCAGTCCCTGAAGCTTCCATTTCCCATCCGCACAGATCAACGCTCAGCGTTCAAGTCTAAGAGCGCCAATGATAAGAGGTGTCCGTATCACAGCTACAGCGGTACGTGAACGGAAAGGCGGGAGCAGAGGCAGAGCGTTGTAGCAAGGTTTCCCCGCAGAAGCTGCCAGGCTAGAGAGTGGGGAGCCATATATGGTTACCCACGCGTGAGGTGCGCGCACGGGTGTGGTGCATTCGCCCGGGTGTACTCAGATACAGCCGCACGAGTCATAGTGCCGCTCATGCGTGCTGAGCGGGCAGAGGAAAGGTATATGTGAGCGCGCGCTCGAGGACGCGCGACGCGGCGAGCAGTATGCGAGACACGATCGATAGGGGCGTTGGACTCAACTTGTCATGCACACCCATGTTCCCTCTTCGCACTGCAATCACAACTCGCATTAGATGCCATATCATTACCTCAGAAAGATGCAAGCGCCAGCGTACCTGCATCTCTTCGTTCCTCTGCAGCGGTCCATCTAGCGACAATTGATAGACGATCTCTGATTCCTTCTCCGGTTCTGCCGCATAGCGGAGTTCCGCCGTCTTCTGCCCTCTCTCTGCGCCAGCAAAGAGAGGACATAGGTCGTATTGTCGTTCGCCAAGCGTGAAGGCACAGTGTGAGGCAATTGAGCCGGGCAGCTCAAGCGCAGATGCGAGTGACGTCGCCGCGAGCGCAACGGCAAGCAGTACCCTAGCCATCGTGCTAGAGATCTACGGCTTGGAGGGAAGAACGAATGTGTACGGGTAGATGGAAGAGCGAAGCAAAGCCGTATAGCTCAGGGAATATGCGGGGGACCGCCAGGTCTGCGCATGATGATTGTGGGGTCTTCTACCGGCGCTAACGTAGAGGCACAAGCTCACGGGGATTAGTCCGTCCGCTCGGGCCGACTTCTCCACCTCTACCCAGTTGCTTAATTTTGGCACAGCAATTGTGGCGCGTTCTGATCAGATGCTCACAGCTCTGCCACTCGCCTACATACAGTATTGAGTGAGACTAGTAGCGCATCTATGGTTGTCGCCAGTTTTTGACGAACGTTAGCCTTGTGTAAGTCTCTGACGACTTGTTCATTCTTTACTTTCTACGAGTTGGGCAGTGGACTCCTGCACACCTGCATATGGGTGTACACCTTCAGTAGTTATACGGGACTTCCGTATCTGTTAATCAACATGCAGCGCTCGCTCGCTAGCGCCTTAGGAACAGAAAAATCCTAGTACTGGGATCTTCCCGCTTGAGCCGACCTCAAATACCACATTTATGGTACACGGCGGCACACGAGGGTGACGAGGTTCCTCAGTATACAGAAGCTTTCAAGGCTTCAAACTCTGTGTCCCAAGGTCTCTGCCAATCTCAACCCTCGAGTAAAAAGCTGTGAATTGACCCTTACCCAATCACATGTTCAGATACGGGGAATCGAACCCCGAGCTGCCGCGTACTCCTGAGAGGCGGCAATGTTAGCCGTTACACCATATCCGATGAGAGTATTAATTATCAGAATTATTCTAGATACCTTCTGCTACGCGCGGCGAAGTTCTTGTCCGCCTCCGCCGCCGATCAATTCGACCTGACCTCCCGATCGCGCCGTACGCAACCTTTCCTTCTTACCACCATCACCGTCATCATACATCCACCAATGGCCCGCCAATTCTTCGTCGGAGGCAACTTCAAGCTGAACCCCGTCACCCGGGAGGAGAAGAAGAAGCTCATCAAGACGCTCAACGACGCCAACATCGACCAGAACACCGGTGCGTCTGCCCTCTGCTTGACGCAGATTGACTTTACGTGCTGATGATGCACGGTGATATCTCAGAGGTGGTCATTGCGCCGCCATCCATCTACTTGATCCCCGTTCTCGAGAGTCTGCGCAAGGACATCAAGGTCGCGGCCCAGAACTGCTACGTGAAGCCCTCCGGTGCATTCACGGGTGAGATCAGCAGCCAGCAGCTCGTCGACGCCGGCATCCCCTACGTTATCCTCGGTACGTCTTCCTCCCCGTCGCACCATCTCTTGATGCTCACCCTCGTCTAACTCCGATCAGGCCACTCGGAGCGCCGTAGCATCTTCGGCGAGACTTCCAAGGAGATCGCTGCCAAGACGCGCGCGGCGATTGATGCGGGGCTCAGCGTGATCTTCTGCTGCGGTGAGACGCTCGAGGAGCGCGAGGCCGGCAAGACGCAGGCTGTTGTTGAGGAGCAGCTCCAGGCTGTCGTCGAGGCCATCACGCCCGAGCAGTGGAAGTAAGATTGCCGTTTCGTCTGAAGCTAGAGTATTAGCTGATCGGTCTGTAGGAGCGTTGTGATCGCCTACGAGCCCGTTTGGGCTATCGGCACCGGCAAGGTCGCCACCGCGGCACAGGCTCAGGAGGTCCACGATGCTACGCGCAAGTTCATCGCGAAGGTTGTCTCCTCCGAGGTCGCCGAGGCCGTCCGCATCATCTACGGCGGCTCGGTCAACGCCAAGAACTGCAAGGAGCTCGGTAAGCCCTTTGCCCTCTTTTCATACACGCCCTCGCTCTTTGTGTCTACGCTTGAAAGTAGTGCTAACTCTACTTCGCACGCACAGGCACGCAGCCCGACATCGATGGTTTCCTCGTCGGCGGCGCCTCGCTTAAGCCCGAGTTCGTCGACATCATCAACACCAAGCGCGCTTGAGCGCTCGTGTAGAGCAAAATATAATGTTGTACAAGATGTAGCATGTACCACCACAAACCTATAGACGCTTTTGCTTGCTTCGATTTTCATGGCCGCCGGAGGCGGTCTGGCTGAGTCTGGTTCGGCTTCTCGGTCTATTAGTATGGGCGCGATCTACGCCCCGTCAATCGAGCCCGTAGTGCACGGCTTCTTGTACTGTCACTCGACCACGAAGGGGTGCTTGGGCACACTACATCGCCAGGATCGCGAGTCCCCATCGTGAGATGGGCGTACGCGAACTTCTCCGCCGCCATCAGCGCTTAGTCCACGTGATCGCGTTCTGGCCCGGCCCGCCCGGCCGATGGGGCTTTCCCCGCGTTCGACCTGTTAGCCGCTTGCTTTCGACCATCACGATGCGTTCGAGGGACTGGTGTTATCTCTACTCGCACCATGCTACGGATGCCATTCTTGCGTATCTAAGCTCTGGCCGAGCTCGACTTCTATCACCACCTGCGTGAATAGGTTCGAACTCAGCGCGTCATTGAACGGCCCGCCGCCCAGGTCATATGCGCGCCCTGTTGACCCTCAGCTCCTTCTCATTGATCTCAACATGTCGTATAAATGGGTAGCGCGACTTTGAACGTCATAAATTCACTTCTGACGGTCATGGGCTGGATTTCGGCGCTGTTACTGCTCGTGCTGACAGCAGGAGGAAGTGTACACGGGAAGATCGACCGTCAGGCGATTGTTCGCTCGTACAACCCGACTCGCGGACCGCAACCTAATGCGACGACGCCTCTTCAAGTAAGCCATACTCATATGGAACGCTCCCGAACACTATCGCTTACGCGTCGACCAGATTGGCAACGGCAACATAGCGTTCGGCGCCGATATCACCGGTCTACAGACCTTCCTCCCATTCAACACCCTCAGCTCGTGGGGATGGAAGAACGACTCTTTGCCTCCCGGGAAGACTCAAGAGGATGTAGACAATTACAAAGGTGCTAGTTGGCCTATGCATGGACGCGAGGTACGCGTCTAAGTTTGGTCCGTTAACGATGTGCGCTGACGTGAGGTGATATAGGTTCGGTACGACTTCGGCGGTGACCCAGCAATCGAGACGTGGCTCACTGCAAACCCGAACCGCGTGAACCTGGCACGGCTTGGACTTTTCTTCGTCGACGAGGGGACAACGGGAGACGTCTCGATGGACGACCTTGCAGATGCCACGCAGACACTGGATATCTGGACCGGCATTCTCACCAGCTCGTTCACCTTCAACGGCTCAAGCGTGAATGTCACGACCGTCATGGCCCAAGATTTGGACGTCCTGGCTGTATCGCTCTCATCCGATCTGGTCAGCTCAGGACGTTTGGGCTTGTTCGTTGACTTCCCGTGGTGCGATGGGAGCAACAAGTTCAACGCGCCGTTTGTGGGTGTATACAACGCTACTTCGAACCATACGACAAGCTTCGGTACGTCTGAGGATGGCAATGCTGTCATCAGTCATACGATGGTCAACAATACCTTCCTCACGACATTTGGGGGCGACGCGTTCAACATCACGCGCGACACTCCCGATGCGCATCGTTACACCATTCTCCCCACCTCGACTGCGAATGCCTCGACGTTTACGCTATCAATCGGCTTCTCCCTCGACGCTCTTGAGTCGCTACCGTCTCCGGCCGAAGTGGTCAAGTCGTCGGAGGACGCTTGGGAGGAGTTCTGGACCGGATCGGGATTCGTGGACGTTGTCAGTGGGAGTACCGATGAGAGGGCGGATGAGCTGCAGAGGAGGATCGTGCTTAGTCGGTACTTGGAGAGAGTCAATGAATCGGGTGATAACCCGCCACAAGAAGTGCGCACTCCGTTTCTCGAATCTCTTATCAGACCCATACTCATTCTTGTTTTATCTACAGTCGGGGCTCACGAACAATGGATGGGTGCGTCTTCAAAGCCGTTGAGCCGATGGAGGATACTAATGTTCATTACAGTACGGCAAGTTCCACATGGAGATGTTCTTCTGGCACTCCGCGCACTGGGCGCTGTGGGGAACCTGGGATCTGCTGAACCGTGCGACTGGGACGTACCACGACTTTATGACAACGAGCATCGAGCGCGCGCAAGTGCAGCAGGGTACGTTCGCACTCGCGTTGGTCAACGAAGACAACTGATAGGGGATACAGGCTTCGCAGGTGGTGCGCGCTGGCCGAAGATGACGGACCCAACTGGCCGCAGCTCGCCGGGCACAATCAACAACCTACTCATATGGGAACAACCGCACCCCATCATCTTCGCCACATACGCTCTGCGCGCGGCGAACTCTTCTGCCGCTCAGCAATCAGTTGTAGACTTCTGGAAGGACATCGTCATTGCGACGGCGGACTTTATGGGCGCGTACGCCTATCACAACGAGAGCACGGGATACTTCGACTTGGGTCCGCCCATGTACGTCGTGAGCGAGGATACGTCACCCAATGTCACTGCGAACCCAGCCTTTGAGCTCGTGTATTTCCGCCTCACGCTCTCGCTTGCCTCGTCTTTCCTCGAAACCGCTGGTCAAGCCGTCCCTTCGAACTGGACCGACGTCCTCCAAAATCTCGCTCCTCTGCCAATACAAGACGGGCTCTACGCCGTGTACGAAGGAATCGAAGAAAACTGGTGGAACGATACGGCGTATACGAGCGACCACCCAAGCCTAGCCGGGCTCGTCGGCTGGCTCCCTCCCGTCGATGGCGTGGACCTAGCAACAGCAAACACTACAACGCGAAAAGTGTGGGAAACATGGCACGTCGACAACCTCTACGGCTGGGACTTCCCCTTACTCGCTCTCTCCGCCGCGCGCCTCGGTTCGCCGGACCAGGCGATAGACTTTTTGCTGGACCCGTTGTTCTCGTTTGACGATGCGGGGTATCCGACGGGCGGGACGAGAGTGCCGACGCCGTACTTCCCGAGCTCGGGGAGCTTTTTGTATGCTGTTGCTGCGATGGCTGCCGGGTGGGATGGCGCGGAGGGAGAGGCGCCGGGGTTCCCGGAGGGATGGAAGGTTGCTGTTGAGGGGGTGTCGAAGGTGTTGTAGTATAGGTACGCCCTGCTACCTCTCTTCGTGCGATGGATCTCTAACTTGCATCAGTACAGAACGTTGCCCTTGACCTGAGAAGTCCGCGAGAATATCGCGAGAATAACTGTATGCTATGAGATCGTGCGGGCGAAGACATCAACTTAATACTTGAGTCTGGACGTAATCTGAACACAGTATTCACACTTGAAAACTGCCGACTCGGACGAATGTGACCTCCCTCTTGCCAATCTGAACATCCGCAAAGCTCGCCGCCTCTTCATACTCGCAGTACCTCACCAAACCGCATGACGCCGAGCACGTTGGTCCTTCCCAACCTTCCTCGCAACGCGCAGTGGCCGGAAAAGCCGAGATACGCTCGGACCTTTTGGTGGTATCGCTTCCCAATCCGGTCAGGTGTCTTCGCACGAAGAGCAACCCGCTCGCGAACGTTGTCCGATGCATCGGCAGAAGCGCTGTCCCGCTGATTGGGCTGCTTTGAGTGACGACAAGCCGCATATATACTTGGACAGTGTGCTATCGGCGTGCCCTGGTGTACTTTGTCACCATGAAGCCAGCGCTGTTCCTTTTTGCGGTGTTGAGCTCGATAGGCGTGGCGCGCGCGGATCTGCTTGATGATATCCTCACCGCGCTTGAACAGGCTGTAGAGTGCGCTGCGTGCGACACTCTACTCGTTCCCATTCAGGCACTTGCGCATCTCGGCAATGATGCGTTCGTCGACGTTTTCAGTTCCCTTTGCAAGCTCGTCGGTGTGCGTCGTGTCATCCTCTCTATAGTGCTCTATACTCACGTACTGTGCATGCAGGCTGAAGACGACGATGTATGCGACGGCGAACTCGCGCGCTCCGGGCCAATTCTTGCGCACTCCGTTCGGCAGTTCAGCATAGGTGGCACAACATCGCAGAAGTTCTGCAATGCCGTGTTCGGTCTCTGCCAGGTGCGTCGCGTCGTCCACTCTTTCATAACCGCCCGCTCACGTGGAGCGCAGGAGCCTTCTATCACTCCTTTCACTGTCCCCTTCCCTTCAGCTGCTCCATCAAACCCGAAGACCTTCACTTCCACCGGCAAGACGCCCTTCCAGGTCGTACACATCTCAGACGTGCATATCGACACACAATACGTCGTCGGTTCGGATTCGTCGTGCGGTAAACCCATTTGCTGCCGCGACTTCGCCGATTCGGCCGCTACGCCCGCCGCGCCGGCCGGCCCGTTCGGCGCGTCAACGTGCGACCCTCCCGAAAGCCTCGCGAAGACGATGTTCAGCGCAGTGAAGCAGTTCGGCGGCGATGCAAAGTTCGCAATCTTCACGGGAGATGTTGAGGAGGGTGATACTTGGCTCGTGGAGCAGAGGTGTGTGAGCTATTACGATGCCGATGAGCGCTGGGTGCTGAACCCAAGTAGCAATGTAACAGCCGATCTGGAGAGCTTCAACGCGCAGATCAAGAGCGAGTTGACCATGCCGCTCTATCCCTCCATAGGTGCGTATACATGCAGCTTATAGTCCGTAATGTTTGCTTACAAGTACGCAGGCAACCAGTGAGCATCCTTCGCATTTCCGAGGTGGATTCCGATCAATGACACCGAACTCTATCATCCAGTGACGCTGCGCCGGTCAACAGCTTCCCGCGCAACATCACCGATACCACCATCTCATCCCAATGGGTATTCGATACTCAAAGCTCCGGATGGGAGGTATGTTGTTTGCTTCCATGTATCTTGCTCAGCACTCAGTCGCCCGTCGTTTGCGCGGATAGCCATGGATCGGCAGTGCTGCTGCCGCCGAAGTCGACTCTAACTCTGGTTCATACGCTGTCGTACCAGAAGGAACGAATCTGCGGTGCGCGTCTCTGAGGGTCAGAACCCATCGCGGCGTCTGATAACGACTCATAGCATCATCTCCCTGAACACGCTCTTTTGGTACAAGCAGAAGTCAGTCTCAGCTTGCTTACTTGGTCATACGGAAGTTGACTTGCAGCCGAAAGCTTTTGGCTGTACGACACAGACACACAGGTAGCGGATCCAAACGGAGTGTTCGCCTTCATGGTTCAGCAGTTACAAGCCGCCGAAGACGCGGGCCAGCGTGCTTGGCTCATTGGTCACATCCCATCGGGCAAGAGCGATTTCTTCCATGACCAGTCAAACTACTTCGACCAGGTAGTACAACGGTACAAGAACACGATTGCGGCGCAGTTCTATGGGCACAGTCACAAAGTACGTCGGTCCTTCTCCTTCACCTCGTGTCAATGCTCATGCTTCGGTGCAGGACCAGTTCGAACTCGCGTACTCGGATTACACTGACCAAAGTGCCGCTACCGCCGACAGCATCTTGTACATCGCACCAGCTCTGACTCCTACGAGCGGTAATCCCGCATTCAAGATCTACGACATCGATCCCGATACATACGAGGTCATGGACATGAAGGTGTACTTCAGTGAGCGCCTCTCTACCTTCTCTCCGGTGTCCTTCTGACCGCCTTCGAAGCCAACATATCCTCACCGACTTTCCAAACTTCCCGTACGTGATTCATTACATACAATGCGCGCATGTTCTTACCGGCATGTGGCCAGCGACGTGGGAGCTTTACTACTCAGCGCGTGATGCTTATGGCCCCCTTGTCACCCCGCCGCTCCCCTCTACTGCCCCGCTGGATGCGGTTTTCTGGCACAACGTTACCGAAGTGTTTACCGCGAACGCGACCGCCTTCGCAGAATACAATGAACGCGTTAGCCGTGGTGGTCAGGTCAGCGCTTGCACGGGCGACTGTCAAACTGCCGCAATCTGCGACATGCGTGCGGCACGCGCCGAGAATAGCTGTGTATGTTTCGTTCGCTCTCTTTGGGTGTGCAGATTCTCACCGGGTCATATGCACAGGACACGGTCTCGCCGGGATTAAACTTCAGGAAGCGCTCGACGGAGAGTGCGCAGACACAGGCAGAATGCGGCGGTAGTCCCGTCCTGGCGAGGATACTACTCAGTGCGCAGGACCGCTCGTAGACGTACTGGCCTTGACTCCAGAGACTGTACCGAGTATGCAATGGGTGTGCATTATCATCATCTCCGTCTTCGCCGGACAGCCATGATGTCGATGACGTGCATAGCCACCTGCATTGGAACGTTTATTCCCTCAAGTCGGCTTTATCGCGCGGGCATCTGTACCCACCGTCGACAGATCTAGAGCATGCTGTGCATCAAACCGGTACATCATAAGTCACTCGGGACGTGCATTTACTTCATCTGCGCTGCCCTGCCGCTTCCAGGGCTGTGGTACAAAAGGAAGAGCTTCATCGGCGGCGCTTCCAGGCCCATTGTCGTTTCGCGTTCACCATGTCAAGCAACGCGACCATCACCGAGTCTGCGACCGAGCCTGCCGCTTCTACCAGTAGTACAAAACAACCAAGCCTATCGGCCATGTCTGACCACAAGGGCGTCTCAACTCACTTCATCTTCGGCTCTGTCATCTTCCTTGTCGTCACCCTGCAGACTCTCCGGTACTTTTTAAAGAAAGGCACATTGCACCGAAGAGAAACTTCCAGAGTCGTGACCTGTCTATGGTATGCTGTCCTCATAGATCAGCCATACAACGCGAGTCGGTGTTCATCTATGCGCAGGCTGCTGAACGCGATACATTACATGTGGTTATGCCATCAAGCCTTCGTCTTGCCTAATATGAGCAAACTTGAACTCGATTTGCCCATGATAAGCATTCTTACCCTTACATTCTTCATAGTGAGTCCTTCCGAAATCTGGTTCTCCGGCTGTATCTCCTGATACTATACCAGTTCGTCGTCTATATCGGCGTCTCTATCTTCATATGGAAGAAATGCCGTATCAGTACGTTGATCCGTGCGCGTACCATGGTTGCCGAGCCTCACTGGTGTTGCTGCAGTGACAGCGAGCAGAATCTACGCTTCGCTGCTGGCAAGTTGATCACGTTGTTCGAAGTGATAGATTGGCAGAGCTCAACTTTCGTTGTAGGTGCTGGTTCCCTGGCTGCCCGTTATGGGTTATAAGTTCTTCCTGACGCACGTCTCCGCCATCGCACCTATTGGGTTCTCGGGAGCCATGAAAGCAATGATAGCGGTACATCTCCAACCATCGTACCTTTGCTCCGTCGTGCGTGTCACTCATCTCATGGATAGCCGAAGAGCTCCGCTCCTTCCCAGTGCCCTCGATTGCGAATGCCCTCAGGGCTGGCCGCTGATCTGCAGAGGAACACCAGTCAGAGGCGTACATATCTGTTCGCATTTGGTCTCCTCGCAGTCAATGGCTTCATACTCTGGTTGTGAGTGCCCGCACGCTTTGCTTCGTTCTGGCGATGATGGGTTCATCATACCGCGCAGTCTGAGCACATTCCGTATAACTGGGGTGCGCCGACCTTCTTATTCGAGTTTGGTCGAGTAAGGCTGACAACACCTGCAGCATAACTACCTGCCGGGGGGTATCCTATACGAGTCCCACTTCGGACTGGAAGATTGTGAGTTTCTTGCCAGGTGGCTGAGAGCTTCCATACGAATGTGCTGAACCCTTCGTAGTTTACACCATCGTCTACTTAGGAATCAAACTAAGGAATGCGCCGATTAGCAGGCCCGCAGCAAATACTCAGACGACCTCGGAAGCAGTAGCAGCACAACCTGCCGAATCCGAGACCCCTTCACTCTAAGCGATTGGAGAGTGTATTGGTCCTTTGTCGACCATTGTGTCGGATACGACTTGGTTACTTGCCAAATGCCATTCATTTGCGAATGTACGCATATCCTGCGGGCCATCTCATAATGGCTTTGACTCGCGGTCCGGAAAAAAAACATATCTAAGAAACCGATGAAAACCATGTATAAGCGTAAGAAGTCATTACATCCAGGCGCATATGGACATAGTACAAGATGGCAAAGTCCCAAAAAAGTCCCAGTTCCTTCGTGCTGCATCACGGCAAGCCTCCATTTTCTACGCTTCCTGGAGCTCCACGTTCGCGCAGCCGAACAGTGTGCGCTGGCCAGCGGCTTTGAAGTTGATTAAGATGTCGTCGCCGTCCTTTTCGAGGACACTAGCGGGGCACGCAGTGAAGACACCGCCTTCGTAGACCAATACGCCGTTGGCGATTGCAACACCCAGCGTCCCCGCATCTGCGCTGAACGTGACGACGTTGACACTTGGCACGGTGGCAGTACCGCCGGGAGTAATGTGGATATGCGTGGTAGAGCCCGTAGCGTTCGTGTCAATGCTGTTAGGCGGGTCGGTGAAGGTAGCCCCAGACCCGGGCGCGGTAAGGAACGCGTAGCCGGTGTCAGGCTCGATGGAGACCTCTTGGCCCTCGACGGATGGTGTGAGGTCAAAGTCGGTGACATGCACCTTCAGCTTGAAGCTGGTGGCGGACACTGAGGCGGCGGCGGCGAGGAGCGCAAAAGCTTTGAAGGATGGGAGCATGATGAATGACGTGAAGAGCTTGTGAGCTAGGTGGCTTGGTGGGCGACGGGCGTGCGGGCTGCTCTTCACTTCGCGGAGACAATACTAGCTCTTATACCTTATGCCATGAGCCTAGACCTTACGAGCCCATGCTGTTAAGGCAGATCGTGGATCGTAAGGCGGGCATCTATAGCCGTACCAAGCTCAAGAAGTTGGGCCGATTCGAGCATGTTTCAATGTCGCCGAATAGAAAGTGAGCGGTGCGGCCAACATGGGTTGAACACGCTGTGATGCGACGAGCAAAGCAGCGTGGTATTTCTAGCTTTGAATGACGTTCTATTCCCGTAACAATACGAAGGCTGGGGGAAGCGGAGGCGAGTGGCCGCATACGTTGGCGAGGCAAGGGAAGATGAGCGTCACGAGCAGAATGCGTTGCACGCGCTAGGTCCTCGACTGCGCCGAGACTTCGGCGTTAACGCCTTCGCTCACGTCGTCTCACGCCGCCATGTTCCGCCTGCTCTTTGACTGGACGGCATATGGCCTCGGATATTTCGCTTTCGACTTGGCGCATTCACCGCTGGGAAGAGCACGCAGTCTAACAGGACTCCCATTGCATAGCACTATCTACCGCGTTGAAATGCGGATATCGACGCGTATGGCGGAGCGCATCATCGAATCCGACCTGCTGATCGCTCATGATTGCGCACTACGCCTCCGCTCTAGTTGGGCGCTCGCGCAGCGGCGCTCCTAGATATCACACCTCATGTCTTCGTGCCTTCGGACTCTGAATTTTTTCAGATCATAAGACCATTCTTCATGGCAGTCCCGTCATATAAAGTCGGTTAGAGGCGCTCTTGGGGTCTTTGCTTCATATCGGCTCGCAAGCTGGCAGGATCATGAAAGAGGCAGTTCAAGGGAAGCAGCTGGTATGGCTGGTAACAGGTATGAGAAGCCTTCAAGCATGCGTCCTGGGACTCATAAGCTCGCAGGTGCATCAACAGGTCTTGGTCTTGCCCTTGTCAAGCGCATCCTGGCTCGAGGCGACTGCGTCATAGCGACTGCGCGCACACCGTCCAAGTTTGTGGGCCAAATCGAGGGCCCTCATGCAGATCGCCTGTATACACTTGCCCTGGATGTTACATCGTCCTTTGAAGACATACAGCGGACTATGGATATGGCGGTCCAGAAATATGGTCGGGTGGATGTACTGGTGAACAACGCTGGCACCTCAGACCAAATTGGTCCCGGAGAAGAGATCGGGTACGCCAAAGTGATCTGACTGTACGCTTACACGATACGCTGACAATTATTGAACAGAGTAGATACGTTTCATAACGTGCTGGACGCGAATCTCTACGGAGTGGTGAATTGCACAAATGCGATACTCCCACATATGCGCGCGAGAAAAGAGGGGACTATCATCATCGTCGGTTCAAGATCGGCTTATCGAGCGGATGCTCCGGTAAGTCTCAATTCCGAGATGATACTCGTCCAAAGGCTGACAGTAGCCTCAGGGTTTAAGTAAGTAACCTGACACCTTCCAACACCGTATAACTTATCAAGGTCTACATAGCTGCTTATAGCGCGTCGAAAGCCGCCGTACATGGTGAGATACCGCACAAATCCCATCACATTATCCTCAGTGTCTCATTTATCTACAGCTTATGGGGAGACCTTAGCTGTTGAAGTCAAGCCCATGAACATTCGCGTCTCCATTGTCGTCCCTGGTACCTTTAGGACTGATTTCAACAAGCCTAACGTTGTATCCCCCAAGATTGAAGAATACACGTACTTCCACGAAGCGGCGAGGGAGTTCGTACGCACTATAAGCGAGAACCCCTTTGCTAGTGAGCCGGAAAAGGGAATGGATGTTGTCGTTGATGTTGTTAGAGGAGAGGGTCGTGCTGCGGGCCGTAGCGGGTGGCCCTTATGGCTGGTGCTGGGCGACGACTCGCTAAATGATGTAAAGAAGAGGCTACATACTCTGGAGCAAACATTGGAATCATGGGGTGATCTGGGCGCGGGATTATCTTCAGAAAATAGAGATGTAGCCACATCGGCCTAATATAGTACTTCGCTCTGAGTGAGACCTCCCCTCTCCTAGTCAAGATCTGACTCCCTGCCCTGAGTACAATTCATGCTAAGAACGCCGGCTGATCCGGCCGGATATTTCTCGAAAGTTGCGGAAGGCTAGACCATAATGACGCATCGGTATTATCTCGCGTGACCGTGTACGAGTGTTTCCACGCTTTCCGCGTCCTGGTCCGAGCCGACCAGCTGTTCTTCCTCGTTGCCTTCTTCCTTCACTCCGGATTCTTCGCCTCCATAGTGCACTCTTATGAGATGCTGTGGCAATCGGAGGCCAACTTCTGCTACGAAGATAGAGCATAGCTCCGAGTGAGAAACCCTTCTCCGGCGGTTCCGGGCAAGGCAAGCGATCGTAAGTACTGTTGGCCTATCATTCACGAAGCTTCGCCCGTCAGTAGAGCGTGCGCAACCTACCGAGAATCCCATGCTCTGGCACTTGTCCCACATAAGACATGCCCAAGCTAGTCTGTGCGCTCCTAGGTTGTCGAGATGAACTGCAGCGGTGTTTTCTCGATCGTACCACACGAGGCGTGCAGTGCATGCATACATTAACTTGTGTAGGCCTTCTCAAGCACGCAGCGCAGCATCACTGTCCGCGTCCGCATACTATGCTACCTGGAAATCTCGCATGGCGGCGTCTCTCGTCCAGATATCAATACGCGCCGCCTTCAACCCTCACCCCAACGACGCCCTCTGTCCTTCCCAACTTCCCCGACCATGGCTTCCGCGCGACGCGCTTCACTGCTCAACAAGCTCTTCGACTCTATCGTACGCGGCGAGCAAACGATCACCCTCGATAACAGCGGCCACTACCTAGAGGCGCTCTGCACCCGAGACGCGCGCAATATTTTCGACACACTCATCGCTACGCCCAAGACCCTTGACGCACTCCAGGCAGCGATGCACGCTGAATTGGGATCCGATAGGCTGAATGGACACAACGCTCGCGTTCTCATCCTCCTTCAAGATCCAGCACTCGCCACAATCGGTGGCGGCAAGCTACTACAGACGATCCTGTTGAAGGTCGCGACGCCACAGTATCTCCTCTTTGCCTACAGGGCTGCATTGCTTGGAGGCGAACTAAATGGGGAGGGGGAGAAGGCTTTCAGCGGGTTGTTGTGCCAGCTCGTCTCCTATCGCGACACGGGCGCGAACTACCATCCGTTGGTAGCGGAGACCGTTGATACTCTGCTCGCTTCAACGTCACCCGCTGTTCGGGTGAGCACCATCACTTGGATCGATGCACATCACCACTGACAAACGGAGTAGGCCAATGCGCAGAAGCTTCAGAGTCTCCTGTCACCCGCGCTCACTTTGAGCCCGGTGCTCTCTTCAGTCGTAAGCGGTCCTGGCGGCAGACACGATAACGATCCTGTGAACTATCGCGAAGTCGACATCCTTCCTACTCCCGACGAGCTGGCCTGCAAGAAGCCTCCATACCTCCTGCCCTCCCTTGCTCTTGAAGATGTACCCAACGACTCCCGCGCACAGGCCCATATAGAGAATCAATTCCGCTTACTGCGCGAGGACATCAAGTACGAGTTGGTGGAAGAACTCGAGAATCTTTCCAAGAAGAGGACTCCGCGTGGCTTCGCAGTTGAGGGTCTGCACCTCGTTGGCGTCTTCGGCATCACCACAGACAACCGTGGCAATGAGAGCTGCGCCAAGTGGGGATTGAAGTTCGAGTGTAGCGAAGATCTGCCGTTCTTCAAGAGCGCCAAACCGAAGAGGCGAAAGGCCCACTTGATCAACGACAAGCGTCTCATGCGCCACCAGTCACTTACTTGCCTGATCCTCGATGGCGCCGCCGTCGCCTTCCCCATCCTTCACCGCGACGAGGATCTCCTATCGAAGACCAAACCCATCATCTGTCTCCAGTTTGATGGCGAGATCGCGACAGTACATGCGCTCACGATGCTCAAGTCGGCGAAGTCGGTCAAGGTCGTGCAATTGGATACCGCGATCCTCGCGCATGAGCCCGTGCTCAAGTCTCTACAAGCGATGCGCCCTCCCGCACTAGCTCCCGAGCTCTTCCTCTGGGATGACGACCCGCTCCAGCCGCCTCCAAAGACAGCGAACGATCTCGTCGCTCAATTGGAAATGGATCCCCAACTCGACATCGGTGCTGCACTGGGCTTGGACAAGACAATAACCTTGGACTCTGCGCAGACAGCGTCTCTGTTGACTGCCCTCAAGCAGCGAGTTTCTCTCATACAAGGACCGCCAGGTGAGTAGCTGTGTTCACAGCATCTAGGCACAGCATTGATAGATACCCACAGGTTGCGGGAAGGGTTTCATAGGTGGTGAGCTGCTTACTTTGTAATCATCACAATATGCATTCGATACTGACCAACGATATCTCAGCCTTAATTGCAAAGATCATGCACGATAGGACGGATGCAAGGATTCTCATCGCCTGCTACACCAACCACGCTTTAGACCAGTTATTAGAGGACCTGCTAGACAACAACGTCCCTGCCGACAGCATGGTACGGCTCGACGGCAAGACTACGACACGTACGGCGCATATCCCCCTGTTCAATCGGACCCGCGTATCAGCACTCTCGCGGAACAACTTCGATTCGGCTGATGCCCTTCACAAGAAACTCTCCACTTTGGACTCGGACGTACAAGACGAGTTTGCGCGATACCAGGCGGGAGCATCGGACGACGACCTGCTTACTCACATTGAGTTCGACATAAACCTGAAAGACTACGCGGAGGCGTTCCGCGTGCCAGCTCCTGACGACGACACAGACGGGGTGTTCAAGATCTCGGGGCGCGGCCGTGCTTTACACAAGTGCTATTTGCTACGGCGATGGAGGTCCGGGAAGAACGCGGGCGTGTTTCAGCGCCATCCTCGCTTCAATACAGGCAGTGCTGCTCGCGTCTGGCGAATGCGGGTGAATGAGCGTCGCGAACATCTTCAGATCTGGCAGGAGGACACGCTGCGCGACCAGGTTAAAGAGCTTTATGACCGTGGGAAGCGGTACAACGACATGCAGACGGTGCTTAATCGCATATCCTGCGAACGCGACATCAACGTACTCAAGTCGAAGCGCATCATCGCTTGCACAACCACGGCGGCGGCGAAGTACGCGGATATGCTTCACGAGGTCACGCCGGACGTCCTCCTTGTCGAGGAGGCGGGAGAGATTCTTGAGAGTCATGTTCTGGCGCTACTAGGCTCGGAGACTCAACATATGATCCTGATCGGCGACCATCAGTAAGTCGCGTCCGTGGCCAGCCTCTAGCATTCTATGCTGATGCACTCCCTAGGCAATTACGACCGAAGGTGAACAGCCACGAGCTTACGGTGGAGAAGGACGCGGGCTTCGAGCTCAACGTCTCCCTCTTCGAGCGTCTGATCTTGTCAGGCTATCCGCACCAGTCTCTGAAGAAGCAGCACCGCATGCGCCCGGAGATATCTGAGATGATCCGCCACTTGACGTACCCCGATCTCGTTGACGCCGAGAAGACGCACGGGCGCCCAGACTTGCGCGGTTTCGACGACAACGTCGTCTTCCTCACGCACTCACATCTGGAGGATGATCTCGGCGACATCGCGGATGCGCCCGACGGTGGCTCCAAGTTGCTGAAGCAGAACACGTTCGAGGTACAGATGGTGCTGAAACTTATCAAGTTCCTCGTGCAGCAAGGCTACGGGACAAAGAACATCGCCGTACTCACGCCATACCTCGGTCAACTGAGCAAACTCAAGAGTGCGCTTCAGGCAGAGGTAGATCCTTACCTCAGCGAGATGAACTTGCACGATCTTTCACGCGCGGGTATGGCGTCGTCTGCCAACGCGAAGCACAAGAAGAAGCCCTTACGACTCTCGACCATCGGTATCTTCTCGTCTCTGCTCTTCAGATTGATCAAGACTAATGCACCATTCAGATAATTACCAGGGCGAGGAGGCAGATGTAGTCATCATAACCTTGACGCGCTCCAACGCAGCGAACGATATCGGTTTCATGTTCTCGCCCGAGCGCCTGAACGTTTTGCTCTCGCGCGCACGCGATGCATGCATCATGATCGGCAACGCGGAGACGTTCTGCAACTCACCCAAGGGCGGAGAGCTCTGGACCAAGTTCATCAACTTCATACGTGACCGCGGCCATTTTTATGAGGGCCTTCCCTTTCGTTGTCCACGGCATCCTGACCGCACGGCGATTCTGAGGAAACCAGACGACTTCGAGGAACATTGCCCCGATGGTGGCTGTGCATCGCCGTGGTGAGTCTCTCGGTCCAATGCTCTATACTGGCTCACTGACATATTCACAAGCGACGTGATCTTAAGCTGTGGGCAACACAAGTGTCCGTCTCATTGCCATAATGTGTCTGACCACAGCGGGATGCGATGCGAAATGGTGCTCGACTGGACGTGTGCAAAGGGTCACAAGCATCGTTACCAGTGCCCTGCCGGTCCGCCGGTGACCTGTGCTGAGTGTGGAAAGGAGGCGGAGCAGGAGGCCCAGCGCCTAAAGGAGTACGAACTACGGGCCAAGCGCGAAGGAGAGCAGAAGGAACACGAGCGTCAGATGGGCGAGCTTGCGAAGCTTGAGGCGGAGCTATTGAAGCAGCAAGAGCTCGAGCTCGCGCAACAGCGTCGCCAGGCGATTGATGACCTACGAGGAGAGCTCGAGAACGCCCGTAAGCGCACGGTTCAGAGCCAGACGGACATCGGGCAATCAGCGGCTTCTTCAACATCAGTGGACGCGCCCGCCACGCCAACGACAATTTCCTCTGACGCCAGCGCTTCACCTACGACTGCCTCGGGCGCATCAAGTCCGTCGCCGGTATCATATGCTCTGGATAACGTCGACACAACTTCCGCGGATGCACCCTCGACGCATGACACAGGATCAGTCTCGGATTCTCAGGCCGAGGTGTGGGATATGATGGGCGCGGGGTCGCCGCCCAGCAGCCCATCGCCGGCGGGACATGCCAGCCCCGCCGCGATTGTTGCTCCCACATCGCCAACTATTCCCGCGAATATCCCCTCAACGGCTTCAACTTCTGTACTTCCCTCGGTGTCGCCCGTCTCGCCAACTCAACCCGATTCAACGGGACTCTCTCAGCCGTTGCCCCCCTCCCCATCGCGGCTCAAATGGGAAAAGCAGAAAGAAATGGATGGCGCGTCCAATAGGCATATTGACGATCTCATGGCGATGACCGGGCTTGAGACGGTGAAGGAGCAGGTGCTGACTATCCGGGACCGAATCGAGCTCGCTAAGCGGCAAGACATGTCGATGAGCGACGAGCGCTTCAACATCAGTTTGCTGGGAAATCCGGGCACAGGTACGTGATCCTCGATTGATGTGATGTCAACATGTCTGATTCGCGTTCTTGTGACAGGCAAGACCACCGTCGCTCGCCTGTATGCAAAATTCCTGTCATCTGTCGATCTCATTCCTGGCGACGCTTTTGTGGAAACCACGGGCTCTCGTCTGTCGAACGAAGGAATCGACGGCGCGAAGAAGCACATCAACTATATCCTTTCTGATGATGGCGGCGCTATCTTCATTGACGAAGCATACCAACTCGTCTCATCGAAAAACTCCAGTGGAAGCCAGGTCCTCGACTACCTTCTTGCCGAGATGGAGAACAACGTCGGGAAGATTGTGTTTATCCTCGCCGGCTACAACAAAGAGATGGAGGCCTTCTTCGAGCATAACCCTGGTATTCCCAGTCGTGTCCCGTACACGCTCACGTTCGTGGATTACACGGATCACGAGCTGATGCACATGTTCGAGGGCTACGTTGCGAAGAAGTACAGGGGCCGGATGCAGATCCAAGGCGGCTCCCGCGGATTATACACCCGCATCGCGATCAGGCGCCTTGCGCGCGGTCGAGGCAGGCCCGGCTTTGGCAACGCCCGAGCGATGCAGAACATGTTCTCCGCCATTGCCGAGCGTCAAGCGATACGAATCGAGAGGGAGCGAACCCCTGACAACCCCGTCGACGAGATGCTCTTCACCATGGAGGATATGATCGGCTCCAATCCGTCGACTGCCGTCACCAGGAGCGAGGCGTGGAAGAAGCTCAATAAGATGATCGGACTTGCTTCCGTCAAGCAGTCTGTCCAAGAGCTCGTGGACACCATCGGCGAGAACTATCACCGCGAGCTACTCGAGAAGAAACCGCTTCAGTTCAACTTGAATCGCGTGTTCTTAGGGAGTCCAGGGACAGGTAAGACGACCGTGGCCAAGCTGTACGGGCAGGTTCTGGCCGACATAGGCATGCTCAGCAACGGCGAAGGTGAGGAAGACGCTTCAGTCACTCGTACAGTCAACTCATACCCATCTGATACAGTGCTCATGAAGAACCCGTCCGATCTCAAGGGGCAATACGTCGGACAGTCAGAGGCTCATACGAAGGCAGTCTTGAGAAACGCGGTTGGCAAAGTTCTTGTCATCGACGAGGTGCGCGGCAACCATCTTTGAACACTTTGAACACGTAAGATTGCTCATATCTCCTCCTAGGCGTACATGCTTTACAAGGGAAGTGGTGGAAAGGACGGCCTTTCCCACGGTGACAGCTTTACTACTTCTGTCATCGACACTATCGTCGCGGAGGTTCAAGGTGACCCTGGAGACGATCGATGCGTGCTCATGTTGGGATACGAAAGGGAAATGCTGGAAATGTTCAACGTACGTTCACTTTTTTCGCATGAGATCGAAACTTTCTGACATCATACCGCATAGAATGTCAATCCAGGTCTTGCCCGCCGTTTCCGCATCGAGGAGGCCTTCCGTTTCAAAGACTTCGACGACACAGAGCTTCTACAGATGTTGAACATGAAGCTGAAGGAACAGGACTTGGACGCGACCGACGACGCCAAGCGGGTTGCCATAGACTCTCTCGGGCGCGAGCGCAACCGTCCCAACTTCAGCAACGGTGGCGCTGTCGAGAACTTGCTCGGAGCCGCGAAAGCTCGCTATCAAGCGCGTCAAGCGCAGCTATCGCCCTTGGAGCGCACGTACAATGTTGTCTTCCAGCCAGCAGACTTTGACCCCGAGTTCGACCGTGTTGCCAAATCCGCCGCGAATCTTGTTAAAGTCTTCGAGGACCTCGTTGACTCCAATGAGGTTGTCGCGAAGTTGGAGCACTACCAGAAGGTCGCACGCTACATGCGCGCGACAGGCAGGAAGCCTCGAGAAGCACGAGATTTCATCCCAACAACGTTCGTATTCAAGGGACCTCCAGGCATGTATACGTCTTGTTCCCCTCACGGCCGCATCTCAACTCCATCAGGTACCGGCAAGACGACCACGGCGAGGAAGATGGGCCAGGTCTACTTCGATATGGGCATGCTGTCATCGCCGGATGTCGTCGAGTGCTCTGCTTCAGACCTTGTGGGACAATTCACCGGCCATACTGGCCCCAAGGTTCGTCAGCAATGTGAGAAGGCGCTCGGGAAGGTACTCTTCATCGACGAAGCCTACCGACTTGGCCAAGGACGCTTTGCTAAGGAGGCCGTGGACGAGTTAGTCACTGTCCTCACACAAGACGCGTTTCAGGGCAAGTTCATCGTTATCCTCGCCGGCTATGACAAGGAGATGGATCAGCTTATGACTGTCAATATCGGGCTCGCAAGCCGCTTCCAAGAGGAAATTCTGTTCGCACATTTCTCACCGGATCGTTGTCTCCGCATCCTGGCCCAGGAGATCAAGAAGGCTCAAGTACGGTCGCCTGAACTCGAACAGCCGTCTTCGCCAGAAGCTCAAGCCCTCGTCGAGGTATTCGAGTCACTTTGTCGTCTATCTAATTGGGGCAACGCGCGCGATGTCATCACTCTGGCTAACAAGATGGTCCGCGTGACAATCCATGAGGCCGATCCGGACGACATGAGCGGACCTCTGACTTTGCGCTGGTCTGACGCGCTATCGTGTGCACAGACCATGCTTAAGGAGAAACGTGATCGCCTACTGTCGCAGTCGAAAGACTTCGGCGAGGTTGACGACGATCTCCCCGAAATGTCGGCCGATCCGCCGCCGCCGCCGCCAGTAAGGACTCAAACAGCTTCAGCATCCCAGGACCCGCCGCCGCGGCTGCCACCACCAGCTTCCCTGCAATGGCATGCAGCTACATCGTCTCCGAGGCATCCTGAGGCGCAGCGTCGAGGAAAGACCGCGGCAAGGCGTGAACGCGACCGCGTCCCGAAACAGCAACAAGAGCAACGCAAGAAGCGCGAAGCGGAGATCCAGCGCAGGCTCCAGCGAATGGGTTTGTGCGTTATGGGTTACGAGTGGATCGCAGAAAGTGGAGGTTACCGCTGCGCAGGTGGCACACACTTCGTCTCGAATGCCGAGTTGGACATATGACATATCGGTGTCTTGTGGGGACCCTTGATACTTCGTGACTGGGATGTCCGAGTCTGCCTGTTAGTGTATGTACGGCCTTGATCTCCCTCCTATATCTTAGACGTTAGTCATACATATATGGACTTGCTTGTATATCCTTGTTTCCACAATTAGTGTACGCATCTCACTGAACCATACGGTACAATGTATTATATTCCCTCTTTTCCCAAATTGGCGCAGGTGGCAAATAAAGCTCACGTATTTGCGCCTGCAGCTGCGCTTAGTGCTGATGTCGTGTTTGTCAAGCTCTGCGAGACAGCTCTGTGTGCAATAGAGCATGTGCTCCAACGCCTGACTGGCGTAATTGTCATCAATGACGCGTCGCTCGGACCCGGAGAAGACAGCGGTCGTTCTGATTGTTGCTCGTTGGTGTACGGTCGATTGAGATATGACGGAGATACATCAACTTGAACGTGATGCGTCGTTGATGGTATATTGCCTCGCTGATATTGGTGTGCGGCGTGTGCACGCGGTACAAGCATCTGGAATGGAAAGCCCGTCGAATCAGAGGGAACTCGCGTGACCGCGTCGGATCGTCTCACAGTTAATTGAGTTCAAAATTCGCCCGCGCCGCGAGCTGGCGCCTCCGAACCACCACATCATGAGGTGTAGGGCGTCTAAGCTCGAGAATCAATCACATATACTTCCAGATTCTTCATACCAGTCTGACATGCTATGCCGCGTGGCAACAATACATACGTGGTATCAATATATCTGGACATCACGATTGCCGCTGGTCCCTCACGGAAGTGTACGCTCTGGAATGGGATGTACGTTTGCCTTTTGCCTTTGCCGCATACTTAGTTGAACTCACCTTCGACGCTCCTTGCTGCAGGTACATAAGATTTTTCTGCGTGTAACTCTTGGATACCTGCGGAGGCGATGACGCCGCGGTGACTGATGGGAATGCAAGCTGCGACTAGCTTCTTCGATCCTACAACACGAGGCATCCTACACCTCTCCCATTGCCTGTCCGGGCTATCGACTATTGGCCTCGACCGCTTGCACACCGCGAGGGGACCCTTCTATTCCTGTTTGACGCCCAACGAGACTGTTATTCGGTTGCGTGGGATGGCGGTGCTCGAGCAACAGGCGCCTAGGGCGCAGGGGGTTGCTCTTAACGTTGACCGCGCGCAGACGACGCGTCTCTCACCTCCCTCCCTCTTACCTCTCACCTGCCTGTCTACTACTTGCGACTAGAAGCAACGATGTCAGCGATTCGACGTGCACGGCTTGAACGAATGTTCGATATGGTCTTACGCGGCAAGCAGGATATTACGCCACAGAACGCAGCGTTATTTCTGGAGGCCGCGTGCTTGCAGAAACCGCTCGAATTTATGGACCGCATAACCTCTGAAACTCGAGGCTTAGAGATCCTCCAGCAAGCTATGTTGTCTGACCTCGAACCCGCGCGTCTCAACGGACAGGCCGCACAAGTCATCTCTATCTTGCAAGATCCCGCTCTCGCCGCGGTCGCGGGAGGCAGCGTTCTTCAGCAAATTGTGGCGAAACTAGGATCGGTACAACTGCTTATATCCGCTTATAAGCGATCTCTCCTTTCCAGGTCACTAGACGATAGCGGCCAGCTCGCGTTCATCTGGCTTCTGACGCAGCTTTGCGGCTTGCCCGGGGATGCCGGCGCGAGCCATCGCGAGTTCGCTTCTGATTGTGTCGAGGTCTTCCTTGATTCTACCAATCTAGACGTGAAGGTGCGTGTACAGGTTAGATCAGTGAACATGCCCTCTGCTGACGTATCTCTAGAGCCGCGCGCAGGTCCTGCAACGAGCAGCGTCGTCGACGACAGCGTCTTCCATCCACACTGCGCACGGTCCTGGTGGGCGACACGATAATGACTTCGTTGGCATTCGCGAGATCGCTATCCTACCCACGTCCGACGAAATCCAGTGCAAGAAGCCCCCGTTTCTACTCCGTGCTCTCGAACTCGAGGCGATTCCAGAGGACTCCCGCCCGGCAGCCCATCTTGAAAACCAGTTTCGCTTATTGCGCGAGGACATGAAGTACGAGTTGCTCGACGAGCTCGAGAAGCTTCAGGGTCGACGCAAGGGCAATCGAGCCTTCACGATTGAGGGTTTGCGCTTGCACGGCGTGAAGGGATCGGAAGGCGCCCGGGATCGAAACATCTCCCCATGGGGTCTACAGCTAGAGTGTGTCGAAGATCTGCCATTCTTCAGGCGGGACCAACCCCAGGACCGCAAAGCGTATCTTACGAAGGAGAAGCGCCTGCTCAAACATCGAAGCCTCGCCTGCTTGATTGTGGATAACGAAATCGTGGCGTTCCCGACCGTACATCGCGACGAAGAGCTGCTCGCTCGAGCATTGCCCGTAATAGTCCTCATCTTGGAAGGCGAGACGGCCATCATGCAGACGCTGCTCAAACTGCGAACGGCAGATCCAGCGACGGTGCGGCTTCTGCAGGTCGAGACTGCGGTCTTCGCATACGAGCCTGTCCTCAAGGCTTTACAACGGATGTCAGCGCCTGCCCTCTCTGAGGAGCTATTCCTTTGGGAAGAGGGCCTCCCAACCGAGGCCCCTCCTCACCTCCCAGATCGCATAGTCGCGTCTTTGCAGAAGGACCCACACCAGGATCTGGCTCCTCTTCTTGGATCACCCGACAAGATCATCCTTGACTCGGCTCAGAGCACTTCTTTACTAGCTGCCTTGACTCAGCGCGTATCTCTTATTCAGGGCCCACCAGGCGAGTGCTCGTCATGTCTAATGTCGTGTATACCGGTCGTGTTAAATATCCCGCTCTAGGGACCGGAAAAAGCTTCGTCGGATCAATAGTAGCCAAGATCTTGCACGACAACACCGACGTCCGCATCGCCGTGTCTTGTTTCACGAATCATGCCCTCGACCAGTTCCTGGAGGAGTTGTTGGACCATCGCATCCCAGCGTCCAGCATGGTCAGGCTCGGTGGCAAGTCGACGTCGCGGACTGAGTCTCTCTCCCTATGGAAGCAGGCTCCGGTCTCCCAGCGTGTGCGCACAGACTACGTTGAATTGGACGGAATCCGCGCAACGATGAACATGCTCCATGACCGCCTCGAAGACCAGTTCGAGCGCTACCGTAATGGTGCTGTATCAGGCGCTGACCTGATGGCGTTCCTCGAGATTGAGGCGCCGGCGTTCTTCTCCGCGTTTAAGCTTCCGGTCGACCCCGCCGATGATGGGATGACGAAAGTCGCGAAGGGTGGTCGCAAGATCACCGAGCTATATCTTTTTCAGCAATGGAGTAATGGACAGGGTCCTGGCGTGTTTGCTCGCCACCCCAACCTGGCCAGCGAATCTTCCCGGCGTATATGGGCCCTGGACGCGAAGACCCGCCGCTTGCACTTGGATCAATGGCAGCAGAACATGCTTCGCGAGCTGGCCGCAGAGGTGTACAAGCTCGGCCAACGCTATAACGAGGCGGTAGCACGTCTCAAGATCAAGCTTGACGAACGAGATCTCGCTATTCTGCGCAGCAAGCGCATCATCGCGTGCACCACTACAGGCGCAGCCATGTACACGGACATCTTGCAAGCTGCAGAGCCTGATGTGCTTCTCGTTGAGGAAGCTGGCGAGATCTTAGAGAGCCACGTTCTCACGGCTCTTGGAAAGTCGACGCAGCATATGATTCTTATCGGGGACCACCAGTACGCTCAGTTCATCGCATTCTCTAGCGATCACTATAAGCTAATCTGACCATAGACAACTCCGACCGAAGGTGAACAACTACGCTCTCACGCTCGAGAAGAACGAAGGCTTCGAGCTCAACGTGTCGCTCTTCGAGCGTCTGGTTCGCGCTGAATACCCCCACACGACACTGCAAAAGCAACATCGCATGCGACCCGAGATATCGGAGATGATTCGTCACCTCACTTACCCCGACCTCGTCGACGCAGACAAGACGCGGGGCCGACCGAACTTGCGCGGCGCTTCGGACAACGTCATCTTCATTACTCACGCACACCCGGAAGACGAGATGCGGACTCTATCGGACACGCGCGACGGTGGTTCGAAGTCATCCAAACGCAACACGCATGAGGTCAACATGGTCCTCAAGCTTGTCAAGTTCCTCGCACAGCAAGGCTATAGCACCCAGGATGTCGTCGTACTGACTCCCTACCTCGGACAGCTCTACCACCTTCGTGACGCGCTCAAGAAGGACACGGATCCGTATCTGAGTGACATGGACATGCATGATCTTGTGCGTGCAGGCCTGGTCCCTCCCGGTGCTGCCAAGCTCAACAGAAAGCCGCTTCGTCTATCGACCATTGGTACGTCTCTACACTCTTTCCCGACTTCATCAAACTGACTGGACCCATCGTAGACAACTACCAGGGTGAGGAGAGCGAGATCGTCATCATCTCTCTCACGCGCAGTAACTCCGCTCGCGATATCGGTTTCATGTTCTCACCTCAGCGCTTGAACGTCCTCCTCTCGCGCGCGAGAACTGCGTGCATCATCATCGGCAACGCCGAAACCTTCAGAAGGTCACGCAACGCCGAGGGCGCGAAGCTTTGGAGCAAGTTCTTCGACTTTATCACGGACCGCGGTCACTTCTACGAGGGGCTCCCCTTCCGATGCGAGCGTCATCCGGAGCGCGTCGCGCTATTGAGCAAACCTACGGACTTTGAACAGCAATGCCCAGACGGCGGCTGCACTGCTCCTTGGTATGTGTTCGGCCGTCTTATGTCACTTTCCGCTTTCTGACGCTCCGGATCAGCGACACTCTTCTCAGTTGCGGACAGCACAAATGTCCTTCGCGCTGCCACAATCTCGCTGACCATTCCAAGGTCCCGTGCGGCGAAGTCCTGGAGACTGTGTGTCCGAAGGGACACAAGCGCAAGTACAAGTGTTATGTCGGTCCGGCAGCGTCGTGTGGCCCTTGTGACAAGGAGGCCAAGAAGGAGGAGGAACGCGTGAAGAAGGAGTTCGAGCTTCAACTCAAACGCGAGCGCGAGCAACAGGAGTACGAGCGAGAGTTGGCGGCAATCGCACTTGAAGTAGAGGCAGTACTGCAGAAGCAAAAGGACGAAGATCTAGCTCAGCAACGCGCGAACGCGTTGGCGAACAAGCGCGAGGAGCTCAGTAATGCGAAGGCTCGCATGTTGAGACAACGACAGGCAAAGGTTTCTCCGGCTACGACCCCAGGTCCTGTGCCTGCGGCTTCGCCGTCGACTGGCCCCTCGGCGGCGCTTTCTCCGTCTTCGCCCAACGTGCCTTCCAAATCGCCCTCCAAAGCTAGTCCCTCAACCTTCGGACCAACGCTCAATGGTATGTGATATCTGAAAAGAAGGGAAGAAATCCCAGTGATCTGACTACGTCCCTCACAGAGATCTCGTCTTCCAAAGCTTCCAGTGCTCCCGCAGCAGATGTTTCTGCGCAACAACCATCCCCGCCATTATCATCTCCACGCACAGCCCCGCCGAATCCCGATCCAACAGGACTCTCTTCGCCGCTACCGGAATCGCCCTCTAAGCTCAAGTGGGAGCAGCAAAAACAGCTTGACGGCGCCTCTAACAAGCATATCGACGCGTTGATGGAGATGACGGGTTTGGAGTCTGTCAAGGCGCAGGTATTGGCTATTCGGGACAGAATTGAACTGTCGCAACGTCAGGGCGCGTCTATGGCTGATGAGCGATTCAATATCAGCTTGCTTGGCAATCCTGGAACTGGTGCGTTATCACGTGAAGAAGGTCCGCAGAGTATGCTAAAATTGAGGACTCAGGCAAGACCACTGTCGCCCGCCTGTACGCGAAGTTTCTGACCTCTGTCGATCTCCTCCCTGGAGAGGCTTTCGAAGAAGTGACGGGCTCACGTCTTTCGAATGAGGGTGTTGATGGGGCCAAGAAACGTATCGAGAAGGTCATGGCGCAGAACGGCGGTGCAATCTTCGTCGACGAAGCGTACCAACTCGTGGGCGAGAAGAACTTCGGCGGTGGCGCAGTACTCGACTTCCTTCTTGCGGAGATGGAGAATAATGTGGGGAAGGTCATCTTCATCCTGGCGGGTTATGACAAGGAGATGGAGGCGTTCTTTGAGCACAACGTTGGCATCCCGAGCAGAGTTCCGCACACTCTACGCTTCGCCGACTACACCGACCACGAGCTGATTCACATGTTCGAGTCATACGTCACGAAGAAGTACCAAGGTCAGATGAAGATTGAGGATGGGCCGTTCGGGTTGTACGCTCGAATCGCCATCAAACGGTTGGCGCGCGGTCGAGGTCAGCCTGGCTTTGGCAATGCTAGGGCCATGCAGAACATGTTCGCCAAAATCGCTCAACGCCAAGCCGTGCGAATCGAGAAGGAGCGCAAAGCCGGCATGCGCGTAGATGATCTACTGTTCACGATGGGAGATATGATCGGACCTGATCCGTCGGTCGCCGTCGCACAGAGCGCCGCCTGGACGAAGCTCAAGGAGATGATCGGACTCGGTAGTGTCAAGCAGTCCGTCCTTACTCTCGTCGCCACCATAGGCCGCAACTACCAACGCGAGCTCCAGGAGCTGAAGCCTATCCAGTACAACCTCAACCGTGTGTTTCTCGGGAACCCAGGGACAGGGAAGACTACGGTGGCAAAGCTTTATGGTCGTATCCTGGCGGACATAGGCATGCTCAGCAACGGGGAGGGTATGTTTCAGACTGCTGATCATGCAACCTTTTCACTAATCGGTGGGATAGTCATCGTCAAGGGCGCTTCGGATCTGAAGGGCAAGTATGTTGGTCATTCGGAGTCACAGACGAAGGCCGTCCTCAAGAATGCGATGGGTAAGGTGCTGGTCATTGACGAGGTAAACTTGGTTACATATGGTCAGTGTCTTCGTCTTGTTGACGCGTGCACGCATAGGCCTATCAGCTCTACAAGGGTGGCTCCAGCAAAGACGCCAACAGTCACAGCGATACGTTTGGCACTGCTGCCATTGATACGATCGTGGCCGAAGTCCAAGCAGAGCCTGGAGAGGACCGGTGTGTGATCTTGATCGGGTACGAGAAGCAGATGCAGGACATGTTCCAAGTGCGTGCAATGTTGCGATCTACCGGTTGATAACTGACATATCCATTGTATTGCAGAACGTAAACCCTGGCTTGTCTCGCCGCTTCCAGATCGAGGAGGCCTTCCGTTTCGAGGACTATGATGAGGCGGAGCTACTTCAGATCATGAACTTGAAGCTGAAGCAGCAGGACCTAGACGCGACGGTCGATGCGAAAAAGGTGGCTATCGACGTCCTCGGGAGGGAACGGATTAGGCCAAACTTCGGCAACGGAGGCGCCGTTGAGAATATCCTCGGAAAAGCCAAGGCTCATTTCCAAGCTCGTCAAGCGAAACTCTCCCCGGCGGAACAGTCATTTGCTGTCGTATTCGAGCCGTCGGACTTCGACCCCGACTTCGATCGCGTCTCTCGATCCGCTACCAACCTCTCTAAACTCTTCGAGGATGTCGTGGACGCTGAAGGGATCATGACGAAGTTCTCTCGCTACCAGAAGATCGCCCGGGTGATGCGTACAGCTGGCAAGGAGCCGCGCGAGGCACGTGGTATGATCCCTACGACGTACATCTTCAAAGGGCCGCCAGGTCGGTTCACGCGGTCCATCCTGCATTGCCTGCTTACTGATATGAGCGCTCTAGGGACTGGCAAGACGACTACAGCAAGGAAGCTCGGGCAGGTCTACTTTGATATGGGGATGCTATCGGCTGCGGAGGTCGTCGAGTGTTCCACGACGGACATGGTGGGGCAGTACGTCGGTCAAACTGGGCCCAAGGTTCGATCGCTTTGTGAGAAAGCGCTGGGCAAAGTTCTGTTCGTCGACGAGGCCTACCGCTTGGCGGATGGAAGATTCGGACAGGAAGCCGTGGACGAACTCGTCTCAATCCTCACCGAGGAAGAGTTTAGGGGGAAGCTCATCGTGGTGCTCGCCGGTTACGAAGAAGATATGAAACGACTTCTACAAGTCAACGCTGGACTTCAAAGTCGCTTCGAGGAGGAGATCATCTTCCCAAACTTCTCGGCGCCGCGTTGCTTCGACATTCTTGTTCAGCAGATCAAGAGGGCCCAGCCCCCAGTTCGCTCGCCGGAACTCGAGCGACCCAAGTCCAACGAAGCGAAGCAGCTCATCAGCATATTCCAATCCCTGTGCCAGCTCTCGAACTGGGGTAACGCTCGTGACGTCATCACCCTCGCCACTCGCATGATCCAACTCGCTATCGACTCCGTCGATGCCGACGCTCTTGGTAGTGGGCCACTCACCCTGCGCTGGTCGGATGCGCTCTCGTGTGCCAGAGTCATGCTCGCTGAGAAACGCGCTCGCCTCCCCAACGCGTCACAGCCCAGGCGCAGCTTACAGGACGACGATCTTCCCGAGGCATCCATGACCCCGGAGCCTCCTGCGCCTAGCGTCGCACCTCCTCAGACTGATAACGAATCGATTTCCTCCTCACCGACGCCTACTGTCGAGCAGGCATTCGACATACCGCCCCCGACTTCGTCAGCTACCGGCAAATCTAGCCCTGGTAGCGCCAGTCCCACCACCGCGAGTCATGTGCAAAGGGAAGCTGGCGTATCCGCTGAGACGTGGCGGCAACTACAAGCTGACAAGGCCACGGCACAAGCTGAGGAGAAACGACGTCTAGATGAGATGGCGGCTCTTGCCAAGGCGCTCCAAGAGGCGATGGCCCGTGAGGAGGCGGAGAAGAAGCGTGCCATCGAGCTCGCGCAGGCTGTTCGTCGTGCAAGAGACGCTCGTGCCAAGGCTGAAGCGGAAAGACGACTGGAAGCCCAACGGCAGGCTAAGATCGCTGCTCAGCGCGAGCGCGAGCGCGCCTGGAAAGAGCATATGGAGCGTAAGAAGCGGGAGGATGAGCGCAAGAAGCGCGAAGAAGAGGCGCAGCGCAAACTCCGCCATATGGGACTTTGCGAGGCCGGATTCCAATGGATCCAACAGGCCGGTGGATATCGTTGTTCTGCGGGTGGTCACTACGTATCGAATGCCCAGTTGGGAATGTGAGCCGACTTCGAGTTCGGGAGCAGTCGCTGTGCTAGTTACCCTTCCATGCCTCGCTCAGATGCCCCAATCCTCACCTTGTTTACGCTGTGTTCCGTTCGGAAGTTCTGTCGTGAGCCGCCCTTCTCTATGTCCTGACTACGAATAGAAGCTATCGTTGTATCATCATTGCCATGCATGGACACCTCTTGTTCTGTACTCGCTCATAGCCCTTGCTTTTCTCTACTGTTGTATTGAATGAAGTTGCAGTTCGCGTTCAGTACCCAGAATAAGGGTAAACTTCTCGAGGATATTGTACAATGCAGGGTGGGTGTAGGTACAAGGACTAGAGACGAGTGACGGGCATGATACGTGGTGTTCTCCGGTAAAGCAATTGCAAAGCGTTCAAAACGTGGTGAGGACAGGATCCGGTTGTGTACGGTAGTGATGTAAGACAATGTCCAAGGAGAGACGAGGTCCAAGTGTGTCCAATCTGAGAGCATCTTAAGGAGCGGTAGTCGTGATCATGATAGTTTACATTCAATCTAAGCGCCCATGTTCGCGGTGCGCGATGGGCGCGGGTAAGGGTGAGGAGCGCGGCGCGGAGCAGCATGCATGTCAACTATAGGTGCGACAAGGCTATCGATACGCGTGCGGCGGGTCATCGGGCGCGAGTCGCTCATACGGCGTGAACGCGCGGCAAGTTGCTCGTGGATAGACGGCGCGCGGGCGCCAGGGCGAGGCATGGCGGTGCGGTGGGTGTCGCGGCCACGAGCCGTGGGTTCTACGTGGGGTGCGGGTGCCGGCTGGGGTTGTACGAATGTGGCGCGCGCGGCGGCTTGCGGGGCCGCTGCTACAGGACGGGCAGGCTGTGCCGTAGACTGAGCGGCAGCGCGCGCCTCTGCTGCAGCACGCGCTTCGGCGCGCTGCCTGACTGCCTCGCCGTCATCAAGTATGTACCACGGATACGACGAGTGGCTATCATCGAGACGATGGACAGGCTGAGACACGGGCTGCTCTGCAGCGCGCTTGCGTTCGGCTTCTTGGCGTTCAATGACGGCCTGGCGATGTGGCGGGCGCTGCGCGCGAGTAGGCTCCAGGCCGTACTCAGGGCGCTGCGGGTAGAGAAGGAGGCCCTCGGTGAGCGTGATGGTGTAGTTCGGCTGGACAGCGCGGCGCATGTGAAGGCTGTTCGAGTCGATGGCGGCGCCTTCCGCGAGAGTAGTCTCATCCGAAGGCGTTAAGCGCTTCTTGGCCTCGGTACGCCATATGTGCATGTACTGCTTGCGAGTCTCCTCGTCCCACTCCTTACGGTGACCTGTCTGAACCTGAAGGTGACCGAGCTTCTCCGCAAACATGTCCAGGAGCCATACAGAACGCCTTGCCTCGCGTTCCGTCGTGAGGAGTTTGATGGCATAGTGCTGCGCCTCGGCCTCCTTGTTCATGCAATAGTCCGTAAGGGCGGCGAGTGCATGAACAAGGCGCACATATCCGCGCTCGCGCTCGGGGCTGATGGTGTGCTTGTCGAGCTCGGCGAGATGGTCGCGGGTGCGCCAAAGCATGTGCTTCAGCGCCTGGCTAGCACGGTCGTCGTAGATGGCGCGATCAGTCGCGGCTTGGAGGAGACAACGGGCTTCGAAGAGCGGCTCCGGCTCAGAGGTACCACGAGCTTCGTGCTCGTCCTGTCTCCGGCGTTTCTCGTGACGCAGAAGAGTTGCCCAGAGTGTCTTGTCGAGTACTGTAGGTGCATTCGCACCGGCAGCCTGACGCGCGCGGCCAGCCGCGGCGGTCTGCTCGACGATGCTCGCGGGTTGCGCGGAGCTATTAGGTGGTGCGCGATCGATATGGATCCGGCGAACATCAGAAAACTTGAATTTAATGCGACATTGTGGGCAGTTGGCTTCGTTGCTGTTGCTGTGCGGCGTGCGCACGCTGTATAGGCATCTAGAATGAAGCGCGTCAGATCAGAGAAACTTTGTTGACGAGATTGATAGATGAACTGCCGAATGAAAGGGTACGTACGATCGACAGAAGACATGTCCGCAGTTGACCACACTCGGGAGCAAGTCGAAGTCGGGCTTGTCCGCGGTGGGGTCTGCGAACGTCTCGAAGCAGATATCGCAGGTCGAGTCGGCGGTGAAATAGAGAGGCATTTTGATCTGTCACCGCGTATGCATGTAAGTGGGTGGCCGAATACACAGGTAGCAGCATGAGGTGCTCACTTTATATGCGGGGTCTTGACGTTCGTGAGCTTAGTATGGGCGTATCAGGCGGGAATGAATGAGTGGGACTGGAACACAACGAAAATGCAGGGAAGACGCCTTGCCTTTTGAACTCTGCGCGCTGCCTCTACCTGCCAGATCGAGCATCAACACGCGGCCTTCGAGGCTTTGTTCACCTCTTGTTCTCAGAGCGTGCGCGCAACAAGAACGCGGGCAGAGTACTTGCTGCCCTGACAACGCTTGGGCCAACACGAGGCGTGTCAATAGTTTCAATCGCAACCCCCTTGACTGACGGGGCTGTACGTGCTTCGCGCAAGACAAGAGCATCGAGGCGGCGTGGGATGGTGGAAGAGGGCGCTTTTGTCCCAGAAAAGGCGATCACACGCGACATGACAATTGCCATACTAAAGCGCAAACAAGGCAATTCGGTGGTACCGAAGAACCTTGCAATAGTATGAGAGTCGTAGCCATGCACGGCCTCGTACCAGAGGCAACGGCTGGGCACGAAGACAAAGCCGATCCCAATCTGGGCGGTGGTGCTTTACGGTTGGAGGTCCAAGTTTGGCCCAAGTTGCAACCAGGGCGCTTACGGTGCTCTCGGCCGTCTCACGAGTGAATCAAGTTCAAAGCCTAAGGTATTGCCTGGTATTGCCATCTTCCCATCCTTGACACTCCGTCGTCCATAGTACGTTGAGACCGGCACCGTTAGCCGGAGATATCCTGCATAAATCCGAAGGTAGCTGTATTCACAAGAGCGTACATGACAGCCCCAGCAGAGTATTCATTTCTAGGTCGTATGTTAGCCACGACTCGCAAGCTGGGCGTAGGTTCTCGCACCCAATCAGACATACGGCCACAGCGCCGAACACAAAGGAACGCTCCAGTCGGAGCGCCCTGGTCACCCGCCACTGGTAAATTGCTGATAGAGCGCACTCCGAACCGGCGTTCCCGCCCCACTCAGCTCGACTTCCGTGTATAGAGCATGTTTGGCATAACAGGGCAGTATGAATGCATATAGAAGTCGTCGAAGTTGCGCCGCAAGAGGCGCGCATTCGCGGAAGCGCCCCGCCCGTGCACTTTCGGCCGATGCCGCCATTATCTCTTGAATTTCGCGGCTGAAACTTGTTTCCCGACTTCCACCATCGGCGAAGTGATTATCGTACTTGTACAATCATACGAGAATCTAACTTATCATGACCCTAACCCTAACCCTTGGCTTTATCTCGCTGTTTGATCGCCGTACCTCGAGGCTCACGAATCTCCTCATCCATATAGCAGGCGCCGTGCGAATGCTAGGACAAGTGCTGACGCTGACGCCAGCGCTACTAGCGCCCCTACACCATTCATAGAGCCCTCCCCTTCCTTGTATTCTTGAGAGGCCCCTCCTTCCTTGTATTCTCGGCAGAACGCTTGAAAGTCGTTTGGGTTACACATCTTCTGCGCGTCTGCTTCGTCATCTGGGCACATGCTGATGAGCTTGCTGCAAAACATCCAGTACATCTCCAGCGCGACGGGCGTGAGCGGCTCGTGATCGGCTCGCACAACTGTCACCTGCAGACGGACTGAGTAATGGTACCATCGTAGACTCGATGTGGAGATCTCACCGTCCCGGCGCGATCCCATCTCAGCGGCGCAAGTCCGCTCTCAGGCGCGATCATCATATACGTCGCGCTCTGATTTTGCTCTTTCTTATCCGTATCGCGATAAACAAAGAGCGGGATCCCGGCGAACTGCGACACTGGTGCAATGCTGCCCTGACTCCAGACTGGGTGCCCTGGAGGTACTGTAATGGCTTTCGGCTCGAAGTTCGGTCCCGAGACTTGAACGGCAGCGATGGGTGCGGGCGGTGGACCGGTGGGCAGTGAGGGCGCTGACACGCAGAAGCGCTCGTGGCTCTCCCGGGACTTCTTCTGACATGCTGATGACTTCACGAATGGTGAGGGCAATGTGTGTGGCGCGCGGAGATGCACGCACGCAGTACATGGATACTTGGCATACGGAACAGCGCTTGAGGGTGGTCGACGCGCTCCAGCACTCGGTGCATGTGTCTAGAGGCAGCGGCTTCCAGGACCGAGAAGAGGACATGGTGGGCAGATCTTGGATGATATCGCACAGAGGATGGCTACTTATACTGCCATGGCCAACGAAATGCATAGCGATGCTCATGTGATGTAGGATGCGCGTTTAGACGCGCGGAGACCGGATGTGCGGCGGCGAGTATGCATTGCCACAGAGCGCCTGCCACAAATACGAGCGGTCTGGGCACTGGCGACTGACTGATGCGTCGCGGGTGTCTCGACATCATGTACGAGCTCGTTTCATTGCTTGCCTCCTAGAGCATCCCACGGCAGATAACTTCGCCGAGTCCGCCGCTGAGCAAATCCGCCAGTGGTCACCGAGCTATAGGCCCATACGTTCACGCGTCTACTGGTCCTGTATGGGGTTTATGGGACCAATGATATCACGGTGAAAGGTTAGATACTACATCAAGGTATCTCTAGGTAGTCTTCAATGAATCTTCGTTGTTCGTCCATGCTCATGCCCATCCTGCCGCGCCAGTGTTTCGGCATCAAGGGCGGCCGTGTCACGCCTTCCCCGTTTGAGAAGGGTTGTACAGCTAAAGCATCAAGCAGTGCGGGTGCATCTTCTGCACGCAGTTCACCGAGCCTAACCCAAACGCTTCAGTATTCGGGTGTAAGAGAGGACTATCAGAGTACGCACCATTCTCCATGAGGGAAGATCAGAGCGTTGGCAGCATATCTGGGATAATGGAGACACCGTGAGCAAGTGTTCCAAACGAAAGACAGGGACACGACGTACTTGTGACCGCCTACGTGCGCTACTTCTCCAATAACGACGCGATCCCAGCCTTTACCCTTCTGTTTCGTCCGTCTCCTTTTCACCTCCTCCATCAACGCGTCCGCCAGACCACCTCCATGTTCCCCACATCTACAATCCCGCTGTCCATGTGTACACACGTAGATGTGTACCGGTCCATCGTATTCTCCCGGTTCGAAACGTCGCAATGGCGGCAAGTCGCGCTGGACGAGCCTCACGGTGTCTACGCGCTCCTCAAAGTTGTTGCGGGTTATGCCTTTGACATGTAGGGGAGGTCGTTCCGGTGCAAATGCCACGGCATCGTAGTGCTCTTCATGTCGGTCTTCTTCGAACTCGTCGTCGAATTCGTCCTCCTGCGGCGAACCATGTGACGCGAGTTGAGAACTGCATAGTTTTTCAGAACGTGCCCACAAGCGGTCTTCAGTGACATATCCCAAGTTCACAAGGCCGTTGTGAGGCAGAAGAGCACGTTGTATGTCTATGCGCAACGGCAAGACTCGTCGAGACTCAAGAGCGCGGATAGGGTTCTGGATTCGTAGTACGAGATATAGGTGGTGTTCCAAAACCGTCCCAGCAATTGGCTCGCGTAATGAGTCTGCAGAGGTCTTGGTGGAATATAGTCGACCTAATTGGCGAAGGTTATGCACGCGCATGGTGGTCGCAGTGAAAGTGATGTTTGACGTAGCCGGAGAACGTGCTTGCACATAGAGAAGGTCTTATGACAACTTGTAGCACGTATTCGCCGTCAAAGTTGCAGTAGTCTTGTTCCAATTCGCGAGCACTTGGTTCAGGACGTCTATGTGCATCTTGGTGGTCAGGGTCTGAAAGCCTGGGAGGTGGGAGGACCTGCACAGCCGCGCGCGTCGAGCCAATCAATATGGCTTTCTTTCGAACCACCACTACCAGCTGCTGAACGTTGCGCTTCGCAATATATTCCTATGCTGTCTACTGTCATTCTCCGCGCTGCCTTGTCTGCTTGTGGCAACACCGAGCATCTGATCCAAGACGTACGCTCAATCATTGCAAGTCGATTATTGAGGGGAGGATAGTAAGGCAACCAAGAACGATCGGGGGAATTGAAGTGGTCCTCAGAAATTTCTATAGCATATTGATGTACAAGAGAGTCTTGAAAAAACTACGTGTCGTACTGCAGGGAATGTCCATTGCAGGCGAGTTGGTTACTGGGCCAATTCTGCTTCAGCGAGACGACGGGCAGCCCGTGCCTTCCTTGATTCCATTGGTTGCATAGGCGGTGGCATCGGGTTATATCTCGCAATGTTGCTTCTGTAACTTCCGTGAAGGGTGAGATCAAATGCACACCGATGATGTGATATACTGAGACTTACTGTACGCCGCACTTGACAGAGTCCCACCACCACATTGGCAGCTGATGCTCGACCCCGAAAGCCTTTTTGATGGCGTTCAGCAGGCGCATCTGGACCCTCACGCTCAGTCCGAGGTCCTGCGAATTGGTATACAATGCTATCGCATGTGGTGTCTCATGGCCCAGTACATAGGCATACTCAAACGGAAAGTTTTCCTGTTTCGAGAAGAAGAACATAATGCGGCTCATACAGCGGTATTCGTCCTGCAGCCACTTAGGTGGGTTTCCCCAGTCGACTGATTGACCACTCTCTGGATCCCGTAACACGTCGTGTCGCTTGGCGTATTCGAGAGCTTTAGGGTAGTCCACGACGTAGCCATAATAAAGGATTGCGGACTGGTCCAAGTCAGGGTCAAGAAGTAGCTGGGGTTGACGGACATCTGTATACAGCTAGGAGGATGTCAATTGGTCAGTATCGTACAGAAACGCCCAACGTCCGCCAAGGTACCTTGAATAATCCGCTATGAGTGAGTGTAGGAGAAGCTAATGACCGCATGGCACTTTCCAACTGAAGATGGTGGTTCAAGACAAAAGCCCATTCGGGCTTCTCTGCTCGCTGTCGCGAGTCAGTCATGCAGTCGACCGACGATCATCCGGGTAAACTTCGCTAGTCTTGAACGTACGTGGTCTTAACACGACCAACGATCCTCATACAGCTCAGGAAGAGGTATTTGTAAGATCATAGCATAATCGAAAGCAAAGGCAAAGTCGTAATGAGTGATAGTACACCGCACATGCAACAAAAAATAACTGCGTGAAGAGGACGGCCCGGGGTTCATGACGATCATGCTGAGCCCATTGCCCGCTCAATGGCTAATTGTAACCGTACGCGAGCACCAGCTGCCTCAGCCGACTCTCCGCCAACACGCTTCTCGCCGCTGTTGACGGAGTCCCAGAGAAGGGCGAGGAGCTTGGCCCATTGCCTTCCCCAAATGCGCAACGCAGACGCGCCGCCGACATCCAACGCAACTGAAAGGGATGACGTCAGTGAAGTCCATTCTGAGAGAAGTGAACAATTGAACATACCGGCAAGCAAGTCCGCCGCGATCGGTGTGGCGAGTAGTCGCGGCTGGTCAACGATACGCGCCACCCAAGCCCAGTACCGCTGTCTGTGGAACTGTCTAGGTAAAGGTTGCCCCGCCTCCGCCCACAGAATCGCGAAGTATAACCTCATAACGCCCGCCATCCTTGCCGCGTAATCGACCATACTCTCATCTTCCCTCCTCCCTCGGACCTTGGTATACGCCTCAGGCGTGAACACTGTTCCGTCAACATCGGCTTGAGGTACGGCGGCGGGGACGGCCCAGCCTCCTGTACGTTGCACGAGCTTGGCGAAGAGGATGTCGCCGAAGGAGGGTGGGAAGGCGGTGAGGAGGTTCGCTGCTACTTGTGCGAGAGGGATCGCGGCGCGAGGTTCGGCTACTGCTTCGGTTTCAGCTTGTAGGATCAGGCTCTTGGCTACCGAGTTGAGGGTGATAAGAAGAATGGGCTCCGGTAGCGTAGGTTGTGTGACGGCCTGTAGGATGAGTTGCGACTATAAGAAACTGGTCAGTATGGTGTCCAATCAAAGTCGCGAGCTGAGAGCACGTACAACTTGATTGATACTCGCAGCGTCGTTCGTGAGTTGTCCGACGCGCCGCGTAATATCCCGCCTCTTCTCGTTCCACAGCTTCTTGCTCTCCTTCGTGCTCTTAACCATCTTGATCGGACCAGCCTTGAGCTCCTTCAACGCTTTCCTCGCTTCCGTCCAATCCTGCCCCGGCGTCGTCATCCCTAGCTGCTTCCTCTCTTGCTCGCCCTTCAACTTTTCCTCGGCGGCAGCTTGCTCCGCCAACTCTTCTTGCCTCCTCTTGTCCTCTTCGGCCTTCTCCTTCGCTTTGGCGGCCTCCTCCTCTTTCCGTTTCCTCTCCTCTTCGGCCTTCCGCTTCTCTTCAGCAGCTTTCTTTGCCTCTTGCGCCTTCCTCTCCTCTTCCTCATTCGCCTTCCGCACACGGTCAGCCTCAGCTTGCGCTGCCCGAATCTTCTCTTCCTCCGCACGAATGACCGCATCGACTCGCGCTTTCCGTGCGGCGTCCGCTTCGGCCCATCTACGTTGTTCATCGGTTGGTTGTGTGCTCAGACGACGCAGCTGTGCCGCGACAGCATCAAGTTCGGCGGCAAGTGCGGCCGCTTGTCGTTGCGAGATAGTATTGCGCGCTGATTCTCGAGCAGCTTCTGCGCGAGCACGAGAAGCTTCCTGTTCTCGCCGCGCTGTGTGCTGAAGGATAAAAAGGGTTAATCAGTACAGGTACAAACCGTAAAGATAAGGCATTGAGACGTACATAGGCATCCTTCCTAGCTTGCCTTTCCCACTCCTCGTACGGATCCTTGTGTTGCGCACGTAGTCTTATAGCGGCTACTGTCTCCTCTATCTGGGCGCGTTCGGCTGGTGTTAAGTCTTCCCGTCGTGAGAGACTCCTAAAACCCAAACGCATGAGTTCAGCATTTGGTGCGGCGTATGGCGGTAGCGTGAGAAGGAGAGCGTCTGGAGATGAACTTACGCGTCAAGTACATCAGCATACTCTTCTTTGAGAGCACCACGGGTTTCTGACGAAGAGGAGGCATCGGAGGCGTCGTCGTCGGATGGTGAGCTCTCAGACTCTGATGAAGAGGAGTATAGTCCATAGGTCGAACTGCGTCGTGGACCTGGGGTACGCCGTGGTCTGGTCGTCATAGACTGTGTGAGTAGCAGCGATGTGATGGGATGGTGGGGGCTCGAACACATACCGTCTGACAGGTGATGGGGATGTTGAACGCGTCAAGCCGAAACGCATTGTGGTTGAGGCTCTTTGTTTCGGGAGTGTAGGCAGCACCAGGCGAGTTTTCTCCCAGGTAGTTTCGGGTATGATAGTATTCGTGTTGTACGTTCTGGATAAGGAAGATAGCCGTGTAACAGTATGGTGGTGGTTGGAAACCAAGGAGATGCGCGACTCGAACGCGAATACGGTGCCGCGGCGCCAGGACCGTGTGGCGCACGTGTGCGGAACTCGGACCGAAGATCCCTACAACGCGCGGTGGGCGTTTGTCCCGGACCGCCATCTTTGTCTATGTACCCCACAAAGCAACAATCAGCGCACACCGTGCTCGCACTCTTGTTATTCAGATACTGGTGTGCTAGTTGAACTGGTCTTCCCTTCATACAAGGCGTGATTCACTCTCCGGTCTTCCACGACGACTGTACCTGGATCGTTTGCGACTCCGAGTCGCTTGCCAAGTGTCCTGACCCATCGCCAGTACTCTCTCCCCCATTCAGCTTCTTCCCTTTTACATACCTGAAAGGACTTGTCAGGTGCATGTTCTATTCCAGGGGCTCTTGACGATACCCACCACTCGCCTTCGCTGTCCCCAACACCCGACTTGCCACACTCTTCTGAGGTTGTCTGAATCTTGGTGCCCCCAGTTGACTCTCGCCCTCCTGCTGGCATATGCGTGGGAGTAGGAACTATCGTATCATCATAGATGCTAGCATGCGGATCTTTGTCAGCACAGTTTTCCTCCTCGAGGTACAACGTCGACATACCCCATCTCCAGGTCGGCCAGTGACCGTTCCGCAAATCGGATGGCTGGTGGCGCGGCGTTCGAAATATCAGCGCCCGTCCTTCTACTCCATAAGAGTGCTCTCCAGATAGGAAGGGTAATTGCTGAATAGGATGCACGTGCCTCCGTCGTTAGGCCAAATAGGCCAAAAATGGCGAACGCGAGAATGGGAGAAGTCCAGTAGCTGAAGTACGCATGCGCGATATTGAAAGGTCCTGCTTCTGATTTCCAATATGCATAAGACCAGCTCACTGGTTCCCAGTTGTTGTGCACGGTAGCCCAGCCAGTATAGAGTGGATAATTGTTGTAGGCGGAATTCCTGACCCCCGCTATCACTCCTAACACGATAGTCACGACGCCGAAGGGCAATGTGAGTATCACGTCTAGGCTTGCGAGGGCCAGGATTCTCACATAGCTGGTGCGGTCTGTCGAGACATTGGTATGCACAAATTGGCTGATATCCCTTCTGTGCAGGTAAAACGTTCTCAAAACCTGCGCTAATACCACATCAGTTCTGGCCTTTAGTATCCGTGATAATGAGAATCAGGAAACTTACGATAATACATGATGACCGAGAACAAGGGCGGGATGATGGTCCAAGACTCCACGCTCAAGTAGTAGGGTACTGTTCCCGATATAGCTTGTGTACAGCCAAATCCTTCCTGTATCGCAAATCGGGATCCTTGGAAAACATAGTCTTTTCCAAATCACCTTCTTCAGCCAACTCCGATCAGCAAGGAGCGCATTATGGTGAACTCACAAACAGGACCGGCGAGGAGCGCGGGAAAAAGCAAACCCAGAGTCCAATCCACCATCAGGTTCCAACGTTCCTGATACCATAGTCAAACCGGCAGGCCTTTGATGACATAGGTATACCTGATACTCTACCGTGGTGGTTCCAAGCAAGGCGTCCGGTAGAAGGCTCGTTATTAGATAGAGACGGCGCATAATGATAAATGTCGACATTGGCTTCACGATGTGGATGAATGCTCCCAAGTGCGACACTTTCTCCCTACGATTAGTTTCCCATATGATCAATACGGTAGACCCAGGGCACTTACCGATATCGCAGTATACGAATAATTTGATTGTTGCGTTATCAGACCATATGATGGTGTCGATGGCCCCGGCTACATTCTCGAGGAAAAGCCAAAAACATAGGAAGGCAACACCTCGATTCCAGCTCTGACGGACGAAGCTGGTAATAAGTACGGCGAGCACACCCATTGATGCCAGAATGCAGGCCAAGGGGTAGAGAGGGTATGTAGGGTCGACGGCACCCAGCATGGTGAGAGCTAGTTATCGCCTTTCACTTAGCCTACAGCGCGTAGCTTTTATCCGTGTTATGCCGTCGGAGCGCTGGCAATCCTCGCGATACCAGAGCAAAGATGCCGACTGGGTGAAACGGTCAGATCACGGATTAGGAGAGATGGCCGGAAAGTAGCCCCCTTTGTGCACCCGGTGTAGAGAGATCATATCTGCGCGCCTTGGTGACTTTCATCCGCTGGAAACTCCCACCTGCGAGTAGGCATACTTGCACCCGAGTCGCGAGGCACCTGCGCATACCCCATGATGTTGGATATCACAAGGTCCGAATAGCAAGAGGTAGGATACGACGCGGTGAGTCGAAGTGTGAGCACGGTAATGGTGCGGACCGTTCTAACATTGATCGGCGGGAAAGCGTGATGGGCACGGCAATACAGGCATCACGCCTCAGAAACACGATTTAACCACAATTAAGTCTTGTATAGCAATATACGTACCCCGATCTCGCGCCGGCAGTGAGCAAAGCGTAGTCTTCCCGTTGACCCGTCGTCGCTCCCCACTTTCTGGCACTCTGGGCGGAAACGTGCAGAAGGAAGTACCGATCTATGAGCTCGCTGCACGTATTCTTCGCTTAAGCAGTCTCATTCTGACAGGTATGGGCACAGTTTGTTTCGTGTTAAAGAGCTAGTTTATGCTGAGGTCGTGATGGTAGGGGATCAAGGAGAGGCGCGAACGCACGGCGGACAGCCGGGTGCCGAGCGGATCAAGCACGTGTGAGTTCGGTCCGATGACTGATCTGAGTCTGGCAACGCTTGTACCACACCAAGGTGTCTTCACACATATTTACATCAGAGGAATCGACATTCAAGTTTACAAGGTCTCGAGGTATTGTGAACTTGACACAAACTCTAGCCATAACTCGACGGAACATGCTTTTCTATCGAGCGAGGCCGTCATTTCCCGTTCCATTAGCTTTGCTTTGTCTACGGTCCTAAGGATCAATGACGTGAGCCTACTCTTGAAGACTGAACGTATACACATACCTCGTCGGTCGGGATTCGCCGGAACTCGCTTGACTTTTCCGCGTCGAGGTCAGAGCGCGTAATCGCACTCTCTTCTTCATGCTCTTTGACTGGGTCCACGATGTATGGATCGCTCGGAAGTGAACTATATGCTTTGTCTGAAACCAAACGTAGTGAAGAAAGGGGAACCGGACTTACCCTGGTTCCACATCGTCGGACACTCCTTGCGGGCCAGTACCGAACTCCATTGTACCCAAGGTTGAATGTGCATTCTGCACTCGGGCTGGCTTCCAGCCTACCATACTACCCACAACCAAAAGCAAGTGTCGATATGACGTGCGAGCCTCTGACGTCAAGCCAAAGAAGGCGAAGATGAAGAATGAAAGGACAGGCGATGTCCAGATGGTGAAGTAACTGGCAGCCATAGTCGATGCCCCAAATGACTTCAGCTGAGCATACGAGACACTACTTGGTGTCCAATCCTCGTGAAGTACAGACCAACCCGGATAGAACGGGAAGGAACCGTCCTGTACCCGCGCCGAAGTCAATTTGAGAACAAGGCTCACGAGGCCGAAAGGGAGAGTGAGTAGAATATCGAGGCTTGCGATGCTGAGGAGCCGGAAGTAGTTCGTGCGCGAGACTGAAGTGTTGCTGCGCAGGAAGCGGTTGACGTCTCGGCGTCGAAGGTAGAATATCCGCGCCACTCTCGCTAAGAAGAAAAGCTGTGTCAGGGAAGCACATTTTCTTCGCTCAGGGATGGGACACGCACGATAGTAGATAGTAAGTGACAGCAGGGCCGGAAGGAAGTTGAAAGACTGGATCACGATGATATAGAAGATAGAGCTATCTGTCGCGTTAGTACACCCAAATCCCTCTGCGACTTGGAAACGGGCGCTCTGGTTAACGTAGTCTGAGTTGAGGGAAAGCGGATCGATCAGTGCCCGCGCATCATTGTGGCGATGCTGGACGATCACTTACAGATGGGACCAGCTACGAGAAGAGGTATGAGGAGACCCAACGTCCACTCGATGGCCATGTCCCGGTATCTCTGCATTTATGAGCTTGTAAAGCAAGAGAGAAGACATGAATGTTCAGACCGAAGCATTACTAGGAAGCTCCACGGACTGGAGGCTAGCGATCAAGTACAGACGGCGCGATATAAGGAGTGTCGCCATAGGCTTGACAGCATATGTCATCATCTGTACGCGAGATACTGTGATTCGGAAGGTCAGCTCTGGCTCGGGACTTTACATGCGTCTGTGCGTCACATACCTATATCGCAGTACGCATAGAGCCTGACGTCCCCATTATCAGACCAAACGATGGTGTTTGACACCGTCCACCAAGGACTCGATGAAGAGCCAGAAGCATAAGAAGATGACGCCCAGATTCCATTTCTGTCGAATGAAGCTGGTCAGTAGCACAGCGAGCAACATCGCCGCCGACAGAAGCTTGGCTATCGGGAGAAGGGGGTACGTGGGGTCGACAGCGCCCATGGTTGGCCAAGTGTTAAGGGCCCAATGCCACCGTCAGACTTCACCCTTATGTACGTGGTATCGGCCTATCACAGGCAGGGTCACAACGCCCTGTCGAGTGAGAGTAGTTTGACCACTGTATGGGGATTCACCTTCGCGCTCACCAGTCAAAGATCGCTGTACAAATGGAAGGTGTAGTAGTTCGATAGGACCTCCATCACGAAGAGATGCTCGCAGGACGAGCAATGCGAAGAGTGACTAGCGGAGTTACTTGACTGCTTCTTCGGACCCGTAGATCCGCGCGGTGGGAGGTGACCCGCGCGCATGATAGCGGGAGAAGTCTTTGGCTGTGCAGGAAGGGAGATGCGAGCAATTAACAGCATCCTATTCCTTTCTAAGCCATAGCAGCGATTCAGCAAATCTTCGACGTGTCGATATACATGTCGGACTCACTGAAGCGCAGGTTGCAGTCAGAATACGGAGAGACATGCAAATTGTTGCACAGCTGAAGAACACGTCACAATAAGCGCGCATATGTGGGGATGCACGCGCTCGAGTCTGCATGTAAGGAAGCGGAACGGTGTTGATGTTCGCACGGGAGAATCGCTTGGCGAATGCTGCTCGAAGGGAGTAAGAGATGAGGGCTGTTCACGGAACGCGTCCACGATGGGATTGCAGCGCCTGCAGCAGTGGTCAGCGGACGAGGAACGCCCGCCTGGCATCTTCGGCATTGCATACTGACACCGCAAAACCATATTCACTCAAGCTCTGCCGCATACAATGAAGTCCGAGACAGTGTCCTTGTTTGACCCGCAATCAACTAGCACTAAGCATACATCCAAACCCACGAACGCGTCCATCCGAGTCTCGTTTAGATGTAGAACCACAGAATACGGCGAGTGCGACGTGCGCTCGATGTCTGGGCCAGAGCCCCGACGGCCGCGGTGGGTTGGCTCGTGGGCGTGTCCGTTACGACGCGCACAACAGTCGAGAACCCGCTCGTCGCGGCGGCACCCGCAGCGGCAGCTACGGGGGCAGCAGTCGTAACGGGGATAGCAGTGAGTGCGGGCTCGCTAGCGGTCGATGCCACGGCCGTTTCGGTAGCGAGAGTGCTGGACACGGCGTCGGAGGCGACTGGGGTGGCCGACGCGCTCGAGACGGCCTCAGTGGTCGCGGTCGCGACTGCCGTCTCGACTGAGGTGCTGGCATCGGCCGACGAGGAGGCGGCGACAGCAGTGGTAGCAGCAGCTGCCGAAGTGCTTGCTGCATTCGTGGCAGTTGCAGCAGCAGAGCTGATTGCGGATGTCGCGGCGGTGGCAGCGGCAGACGTAGAGTTGGAGGATGATTGCATGGCAACGTCGACACCTATCACTTGATATTAGCTTGTATTTCGCATGGCGTGTAGATATGCGTACAGTAGTAGTAGTTCTGGCTGAAGTCCGGGGTAGCCCAGAAGAGTTGCACAACGCAGTCGCCAGCCGTCTGGCACTTGTCGCCGACGACATCAGCGGTGGGTAGGGTGAACTGCGTCTTAGCCTCTGCGTCGTGAGTGCGGTTAGTGAACGCATTAGAACATGGATGGCGGGAGCGAACACGTACGGTCAGCCGGTGTCTTGCCTGAAGTAGGGCAGAAGTCGTCGAATGTCTTCAGGAAAGAGCCGATAACCTCGCCCGAGCCGCCGACGGTCGTGTCAATGAGTGAGACGTTGGCGGGTCCACCATGCGGGATAGTACAGTCAACTTCCATGGTCATAGAGTCGCCCGGGGAAACCTTCTGAACGTTCGCCGTGGGCTGATCTTCAAAGAGCTGTGAAGATAGGTCAGCTCACTTCGCGCAAGGAAGGACGAGGGGGGTCCGCATACCATGCCACGGCAAAGTGTAAGCTCGCATCCTGCGGTCACAGGCTCCTGCTCCTCGATGTGACCTGTCTCATCGCCCTTGACCGAGTTGAATGATGCCTGGCCACACTTGTCGAGGAATGCGTTGCCGGGTTGACGGATCGGTGGGCTGGTGATCGCGGCATGACCGAACGCTGTGGGGAGGAGGGAAAGGCCAAGGGCCAGGAAAGCCGTCGATGCGTGCATTGTGATTGGTTGAAGAGAGCAGAAGAGAGTCGTGGAGAACAAGCAGGAAGATCGATGGCAAGGTGTGGGCAAGTGAAGCAGTCGCAGACGGCAGATACGAAAGGTCTGCAGGAGCCGGTCCTGGAACGAAAGTGCGGGTGCAAAGAAAGGGAAGGTGAAGAGAACGGATAGTCGAGAAACGCAGACAAAGACAGACAAGGTCGACGAAGGAGCCAACCAGCACGACGCTGCTCGCCTCCTGGGGTCATGCTGCGCCGGAGATTACCTCGTATCAGTAAGTCGTGAGTCGCGACGGAGACGTTGAGATGATGGACGGTGGTTGATTCGGCGTCGTTTCCCAGCAACCGTCGCCGCCAAGACCTCAAGGCCTGGCAAAAATGTCTCTGGTGTTCGATATTTTCAACCTCTTGTGCCCACCCCACGTTGAACATTGTTCGCATATTTAGCATAAGCATATTGGGTCGCACTGGACGAGGAGAGTAACGGGCAAGGATCGCGAAGGATTCGAGGGACCTGGGTCGTTCATATGATTTTCATTGTCCAATCGGAGGGCGACGGCGCTCACGGACCGCCGCACGGCGATTGCCCTTATCAATGCCGGTGGCTCTAGACCACACCTTTGCCTTGCCTTGCCTTTTGCAGTGACCTCGTCCATCGAGTTGGCGTCCAACACGGCCAGATACTCTGTAGCTGATACCGTCGACGTGTCCTGGGCTTTTGAATTCACCGTATTCTTGCGTATTCGTTGATGATGCAGCCTCCTGAGGTGCTCGATGAGAATGGACACCGGCTTTATCGTTCTAGCTACAGGCCGGGAGACACTTTGGTCGCCCCGCCGTACGAGCTACACGAGGACAGCCCCGGCTTATACAGCCTTCATGACCCGAACCTGAACTTCAGAGTCGACAAGAACGTGATCACTATCCTCACGAGTAATGCAAGTCCCGGAAACAAGTTACCTTCGCCTCGCTCATCGAAGATTGGGCACATGCATCGCCGTCACTCACGAGTAGTGCCATTCCCAGAAGGCGATGAGTCACGGTCAAACTGGCTAGGGGTACTGGGGCAGCTCATCGCGGCAGTCATGTTTGGGAAGACGAAGAGCAGCGGTGCGCCATACGATGCCCGGTCTTGTCTGGCATCTTGACATCGTTGTATTAGGGCTTGCGGTACCATTTGAGCTCTCGGACTTCCCGAAACATATGAAGTTTTATCTTCTCGAGAAGACCCAGACCGATCTGCCTCGCCAGCGGCGAGTAAGTGTCTATCTTCGGGGTGAGTGCCAGTCTTTCCATAAGCCGGCCGTACTCAAAGTATTTTCTCAAGAGAGCCGAGGGACGACTTTCGAATCACCTTTCGAGTTTGCCCGCCACGCCATGTGGCTTATGGATGGCAAACCCGAGAGGGACGGGTTGCATGCTTGCCTTTGTGCATACTGTGATCGCCAAGTCATACCCGGAAAGGCATATATGCGAATAGCACCGCAGTCGCCGATTTCCCGCGATCTGCACTTACTCGCTGAGTGGCCCCTGCCGAGGTACTTGCAGAAGGGATGGTAAACTTAGGTATCGAGGAGGGTGTGTTATCATCATTTCACTCGATCTCGTTGTAATGACGCGCTCATATCGATCACAAGGTCCTGCCAAGTACCTCTGTAGTTCATGGTGCTCAACATAGGTGGGTACGGGGTTATCGTGAAAGCAATGTGTTGCGTTCTCTGCCTCGCATTTTTCGGAGTTCCATAATGTGCCACGATATTTGTATTTTCCTTCTCCTCTAGCTGGTCAAATATGTATATCTATCCTCTACATCCTATCGTGTATACCAAAGTCGTGCCTACTATCCAACCCAGGGACCCGATTCACTGTCCGTATGATACACGTTCTATGAGCAACCCAGCGCAGCCCCTCCTTCTCTTCGGCCAAATGTACAGCCTAACGGCGATACCACCTTCATAGTGGCCGTCCGCATCGTATCATCTTATACCGTCAAAGCCGACCAAAGCGGCTTGCATATCTCCTTCTACGAAGGAAGAGCAAGGTAGCAGCGGTCCAGGATTGGCAGTACGAGATGGTCGACACGGAGGGTCGCGGACCATCCGCCCGTATAGACTATCGAACACTACAAGCGATGAGTTAGAATCGGCCGAGCATTACTCGGGGTACAGAGAACGCACCTAGTGGGTTCTTGGCCCATGCCCCGGCGAAGCAAAGGATCGTCCAACTGCGCCGCATTCGTGTTGTAGGCCCAGTGGCGCCCGAGTCGACAGCCGACATACTCAGAGTAGAGTCAGAGTCGACGAGAGGTATGGAGTGGCATAGCTATATCAAACGTAAATTGGGGCGTATAAGGATGCTTCCCATCGGAGTGTCCAGGAGATGAAGGTCAAAAGCAAGGCGTCGACGCGGCGACGCAGGCAATCCTTCCTCCCTGCCACCATCATCCTACCATCTCTTTACCTTCAGTGCCTGTTCGGTGGCTGTATGATGACCGTGCTACTGTCAGATATACGTTCTCGACGCGAGACGCTGCCCAAGTCCCGTCGCGACCGCTGCTCTTCGCTCCTGAGGGGGTCGATGCCGTTGTCAACCTGTTTAGTCACTCCTCGGCGCGCACAACGTCTGGTATCAGAACTCTGCAAGAAGTGCTTATCAGGGAATTTGGCACGTCGGTAGTCACAGCATGCGTTTGCTTTTTACCGTCCGCTCTTCTTTTACTCGCATCATCCCTCAGATATATCTTATCCTTCGCATGAACGCTGTCCTATGCGTCACATGTGAGTCCCGTCTCCAACTTGTCCCACTCTCAAGGCATCGTGAGAGCCGTGTATCTTACTATTTAGCTGCCCTGCGACCGGGTGGGCGTTCCAAGCATCCTATTGTGCACCGCTTACGTCGAGCTCAGCTGAACTGGCGTCTCGTACAGAGTTCTCCGGTCCGGTATAAGTAAGCGATCCGTGGGCATTCCCCACGTACTGCGACCGAACAGTGACTTCACTTCACGAGCCGCATCGACACTCTCCCTCTACCCTGATCTTCTTAACCCCTGTCAAATCCAAGTGCGACTCTTCATCCATCTCAGCTCAAGCCTCAGTCGCAGACAATGTCGACCTCGCGCCTGCACCACGAAAGCGGCCGCCTACCGCGCTGCACTCATCGGCTCCAACATACCAGCGCCGACACCGCGCCACCGTACGAGCTCTCGAAAGATCGCTCTGGCAACTACACTCTCAAATGCCCTGCGTTTCACGTCGACGGCAATGTCATCACCATCCTCGAAACCGACGCGGACCCAGACAACTGCATCCCCGACGGCAATATCCTCCCTCAGGGCGACGACATCGTCACATCGCAGATGATCCCGTTCGCGGCCCGCGATATGACGCGCGAAGACTGGTTGGAGCAGGTCGGGATGCTCATAGCGGCTGTGATGTTTGGGATAAGGAAGGACGGTGCGTGGCCACGTACATGTGGGTTACTCGGAGTGGCGCTGAGCCGAACCTGCTTGCTTTTCAGAGGGTGGGAAGGACTTTACGCTCGCCAACTTTCCGGACAGATACGTGTTCTACCTGTGGGAGAAGACATGGGACTCGGGGTCAAAACGCCCGCGGACGGACGTCTATCTGCGGGGTGCGTTGTGTACTCGAGCTCGTCCTTGACCCATCTGTGCTCACAAAGAACTACCCGCCCCGTTAGCCTCGGAAGAGCTCAGATTCGCCAGCCCGCTTGAGTTCGCTCGACATGCTATGTGGTTGATGGACGGGATGCCTGTGAGGAGGGGACGGCCCGTGTGCATATGCAAATACTGCGCACCCAGATCCTCGCAGGAGGTAATCTCTGCTGAGCTGCGCGTCATCGGGGGTATGCGTCGGAAGAGAGATCTGGAACTGATACGCAAGCGGTGAGGCTCGCGAAGAATTGTATATTCTTATCCTGGCATTGATGGGCTCAGTGGCAGGGCGTCTCGAAGGAGCACATGATTATCTTGTACATGTATTTAATCTCTGATTTGTCTTTCAATGTGTGCAAACGCCCATCTCTGTGCTCTGGCGCAAGCGCCTTTCTTCAAGCCACCAAAGCCTGAGATGCTCGCATGTACGATGCAGTTCCTAATGAATCTCGAAAGGGTACGACTATGAACCACTTCTTCTGATACATGTCCCTGCGCTATATGCATTGCCAGGGGTTCAACTGCCGCGTTCCCCAATGCGAATGCAACTTGCAACAACGAATGTCGCGACGTAGTACCCCGCGCTCGCCACAACGTCCTGTGTGTTGCAACAGCCCGAGTTCGCGACGCGCAAGAGAAAATACTGTTCGTTCCCACCTGAACGTCCTACTGCATACTTTCTCTCTCTTATCGGCCATCAAACGTGATGAACTCTGCTCCTGCTCGTCTATGATTGCCGCCGGCGCACGACTGGACCACACACAGATCGTCATTCCTAGTTCCAAACCGCGTCGAGCGCCGAGATCGTCAGTCCATTTCGTGTTCGTGATGAACATGGAGAGGGACGAGATAGAGAAGACTCAGATTTGTTTCAGGATCCGCGGTGTGAATGGTCTGTAGAGAAGCACGTCCACCGCCGTACAAAGCTTGATAAGAGAATGACGACTCGAGGCAACAACGCGTCGCGACGAGCGCCAAACACTTCGCCGACCCATCCGGCCTCGGAGCGCCCTGTACGTCCCAATCGAGCACCTTCAGTACCTCCAACGTCTAATCGGATCCTCTTCTGCGTGCTAAAGAGCGCGCATGACCAGCGGCGAAGTTGTAGGCACTAGGCACAGCGCAGATGACCCGCGGATCGAGTATAGGCGCAGTTGGCTTCTGAAGGCTTCGGGTGAGCGTGGGCGTCGGGGCGAGGAAGGTTTGTTGTTCGACCGTTTAGGTTCGTTGATCTTGATGGGCGTTCTGGTATGAAGGAACGCGAAGCGTGCTGAGCGTTGATGATGTGGTATGAACGGGAGAGATGATGATGCGTGCCCATGATGCCACAGTTCCCGCGCATGATGAACTCGTATTGTCGGTCCAGGGACCGCAAGAGCCTGCACCGACACCCGATGTTGTGCTCCGGCGTTGTGTGTACAGCGGATGGTCCAGGCTAGAACGAGGCGAGCGGAGAGGTCCTTATCGTACACGATGCAACAGCGGAGAAGTCAGCAGAAGTCGCTATCGCACACGAGCCGCACACGCGTGGACCACGAGCTGCACGCGAAGACAACGAGGACGAGATCGTCCCTGTCCGCGTCTGGTAGGATGGATTCAGCAGCTTGACTGGCGCGTATATCGGAGAGCCAACTCAGATTCGTGTGCGCTGACTTGGCGGGAGATGGAGGTGTGAAGAGCGGGAAGAGAGGATGGATGAACGTGGCGAACAATGCGACGAGGACGAGATGACGCGTGTGCCCGACGCCGCCGGAAAAGAGCGGTTGTACTCTGTGAGAGAAATAGCGGGTAGAGACGAGCGCTGTGAGCGTCCGTATCTTCTTCGGTTGTTTGAGGCAGCATTCGCATCGTATGACAGCATAGAGACAAGACGACATTGGGCTGTGGTCGCACGCTCGCCCGACACGCCGTGCTGGACATTCCGAAAATCTTCGCTCGCTCGAGCTTCTCATTGCATTGAACTTTCGTGGTCCGCGAGGTTGAGCTCTAGATTGACCCAGGGGTGTTGGATTGGTCCTGGAAGATCTTTGGCATGCAGCGTACGCGCGGCGTCGCAGATGTTTCAGCAAAGCAATCTTCCGCATATCGTGTCGCAAGAAGACGCGCGAATGAGCTCGGACATCGAAAGTTTTGATATTGCTGAGCAGCGTAGTCTGCAAACGTTCGTAGGCAGGAGGGCGTGGTGCATAGCTCGACATACAGTGTCGGAGTAATGAAGCACGCCATGGGCTTTGGGCTACTCGGCAAGACCGATTCATACATTCTGGGGCCCGGGAAACCTGACTCTATAGGCCACGTCAGGCAATCGGGTATCCCGGTGAGCGGTGGGTACAGAGGACAACGTCTTGAGACAGAAGTGACGGAATGAGTCGAAGCATAGGGAAGGGAATCAAAGCTTGCTGAGCATGGATGAAGTCAGGCTGATGTGCGGCGGCGCGCTTCGCGTCGAGCTCGCTGACGGATCCCAGAGAGACCAAGCCGGGCCCAGACCCCAGAAGCGCAGAGAAACTGAGTACTCAAGAAGTCAAGAAGCCTCCAGTAAGTGGTAGAGGGTACTGTAGAGGCCATATGAGCGTCAGCACTCAGGTAAGCACTGCGGTGACAAAGCCTGTGGCGCGCCTCGGCCACGGCTCGGTGTCGCGCGCAAGCATTCACAGTTGGGCTCCGGCCTGCCACGCGAGTTGCGCGCACCGAAAGATCGACATACGGCACCGGAGTGGCACCGGGCTCGGTGAAGGGGAGAGGGAGAGCGGGCTCCGCGACGATGGCGTCGGAGAAGGCGCGTGCGCTCGACGTGGCCCTCGCGCGAGATTCAGCGTTCATCTCCGAGCGGAATAGATCTGTTGGCAGCCAGCCACCCAAGACTGCGCGCACTGTAGATTGAGCTGGCAGTGCGGTACCGAGTGCATCACTTAGATAAGCGAAAGGTATATTGGCGGGTGGCGACGCCTCTTTCGTGTGTTTTTGATCGGGACGGTGCATTGTCAACGCTGTACTACTGGTCGCAGCCCAGCGACTTTGAAGGCATATCTCACAGATAGTGCAAATTTCCACAGGTGTATGGCATAGATACGAGTGTGCAGAGAAACGAGAGAAGCGGGGTAGACTGTGGCACGCCGGCCTACATGCCGCACTCGCGAGCGTCCTAAGTCGCACGTTCCATCTCGCGTTGAAGAGCATGTATCAATTGAACCTGGCGGAGATGTATCTTCCCACAGAATAGAAGGGGGTGGTGCGCGACGGTGCGCTCGGCAGGGAGAGAAGGCATTGACTTGTGCAGGCGACCTGTGTTCGGATGGAGGCCAAGAGCGCAGACTAGACATATACGGCGGACGGACCGCGTATACAGCGCGCCGGAACGACGCTCGAGATAACACGCGTCCACGGGTGTAGCGAAGGTGGTCACCTGCTACAGGGAAGCAACAGGGGCAGGACATCGGACGGGGAAGTTGGCAGCATGTGAGCTGTGGCGTGGTCTTCGCGCGGGCGCCTCCCCCGTCCCCTCCATCCCCTCCATCTTCTTTCATCTCCGGCCCTAGGACTTAGGAGGTATATGTGCCATTCGATCTCATGGTGATCAAGATCCATCGAGGGTGGCGTAGAAGGCGAAGTCGAAGCACGACTCGATCGTGAGCAACCGCCAAGGGAGGAGGTGAGAGAAGGGGGTGCGATCTTGAGATTGGCCTAGCGCGCGTTTGGACGGGCTGTAGCAAGAAGTTGTAGGCTCGCAGCTTTCGCGGAGGATAGCCGATAGGGGATCCCAGCACGATTGATGATCGAAGACGTCTATAGGAGGAGTACGCATGGACCTATACGTCCTCCCTCCAGCAGCTGTGGCGCACGTATCCGTCAAGAATCAGCTGCTTTGCGGGTACGTATCAGCGTCCTCGCTTCATAGATCGAGCTGCGCAGCTTCATATACGGTCCTTCCGTCTTTCGTTCGTTCATTGATGCATGATGGCTGTAAGAAACTCGTTACGTCGGGCGGAACGAGGATGCGGGGACGGATTCGAGTTGACGAACGTGCCAGTCTGAGTGGGGCGCCACAACGCGTATGGGTCGGGAAGGGTGTTCAACTGTTGGTTCGTGCAATTGCGGGTAGAGATGATCGGTACAGAAGTGTGAGGTGTTCCCCGTAGAGTAATGATCCAGCACCCAAAAGATCAAAGCAGTACGGCGCAATCTCAATCTCAATCGCGGGTCGGCCTCCATCGCGATTCGCAGCCTCATGTACGCGGGTTTCATCGCCAGATCCCGTCACACCTCAGCTCGTCTCAACCCAGCAAGGGAGTCATACGAAGGTGCTTGAAGGTCCGCGAACGAACTGACACTGACCAGAAGACGTAGTCATAGTCACTGCACAGGTCTCAATACGAATGCGAGTGGGGTCGTGGGTCGCGTATCGTAAGCAGCCCGGTGACAAAGCCGGGCGACACGGTGGGCGTCTGGTGCCGCATACGGATAACAGCACGTTACGCGTCCTCGCTGCGGCGCAGGATTACGCGTTCGTCGTTCAGTGTTCGGCTTGGAAAGGATCGGCGCGTACGGCAGCTAGGATAGCGGCATGCATGGGCGCAGGCCGGGGTAGCAGCTGCTCGCTCTCCGGTCACTCTGGTCACTTGCGCGAGAAGGCAGGACGGCGAGGTGGACAGGGTTTGCGACGATCATCCATAGATCAAGAGGAGGAGCAGTAACCGAGCGCGCTTGGATGGAGAGGTAAGCAAGCCGCCCGAATGAGGAGAGGCAGTAGACGCGCGGACCCGTCATTGCTGTATTCGTACGTCCTAATAACGAGACGTTCTTCACATGATAGCCTTCCCGCCGCGCTGACGCAACGTCTATATACGCCCTCCTCATACGTTCAACTGCCTTCATGACCTCAAGTGATTGGAGAGCGGGAACGAGAGCATGGAGACGCGTCGCGAGAGCATGGAGACCGCATCTCATGAATAGATGGACGGATCTCGGGAGTCGGGCATAACGCGCTTATTGAGGGCGTAAATTAGGGAAGTGGAAGAGCATCCGTCACCCGTTGGGAAAGAAGAGAAGGGCGAGGCGCTCAGGGCACAGGGTCGGGCGTAACACGAGGCTCGCAGCAGTGTGGAAATGCCGAGGATGGAAAGTGTGCTGCGCCGCGCGGGCGGGCTCAGAGCGCGCGTAAGAGGACAGCGGTCGAACCGCAGGAGGCGTCGAATGTTTGAGAAGACATGTCCGTATGCGGGTGGAGAAGGCTAAGCGTGATGCGGGAGATCTTTCTGAGGGTTTGAAACGGCGTAGAGCATGAGGACGCGGTTTGAGGCGTTGTTCGGATGATGCTCAATCGCAATCGTCGCGTTGGGGCAGGGCAGCGCCGGGCTTGGGTGGATGGGACCAGACGCGTCGGCGGACGGGAAACGTGTTGCGGTGGCGATGAACGCCTGGCCAGGCACGGAGCGCTCGGGGCTTCTCAATGGCAGCCAACAAACCGAAAAAATTTGCTCCCGCTGTTCGCTCCCAAATCCTCGCTCCATCCCGGTTCGAATTGCATTTCCAGTCTAGCTGGAAGGTATGCGCGTACGCAGGCCCTTGTGGCACGGTGAGCACGAATGACAAAGGGTGAGACGAAAGGACAACAAGCTCAAATGAGTCGTCGTGTGAACCTTAATCTGCCGCGCGGGTATATAAGCCGGAACGCGAATAAAGTCGGCCGACTTTTCTCCCTCCACATTCTCCCTCCGCCGTCTCATGCTACGACACCGGTGACTATCCCCCTCACAAGCCGGAATGTTGACCCTCGACGGCACCCTCTCCCTGTGCGACGTCTGCGCCGAAGACTTCACGCCCCGCAACCTCCCGCACTCCATCCCCTGCGGCCACGTCCTCTGTGCGCCCTGCGCGACGACGATCGTCGAGAAAACAGTAAAGGGCCCGCCGCTCTGCCCCTTCTGCCGCGAGGGCTTCAGCAGGGCGAGCATCCGGAAGATCAGGATCGATTTTCCGAGCGCCGCGTCTGGCTCGGGATACACCACGCCCCGCCGGAGCCCGCGCAGTCCTCGCGCCCCACTCATTGAGGACGACTTTCCGCACGATTTGCTGCTCAAAGCTACTTCTTCGGCCGTGCCCCACCCGTCTTCGACCCAACACCACGCGAACCCGGTGTCCGACGAACTGGCCAAGCGCCTCGAGACGCGCGTTCACAAAGTTGCCACGGTCAAGACGGGCATTGACGAGGTCTCCGCTCTCCAGCGCGAGCTGCAAGACTGGCTCGGCGAGCACGCGCAGGCGTCCGAGTCCAACTCTGGCCTTTTCCTCAGCGCGCTATTGCTCAGGGCGATCATCACCAACCATTTCGCGTTCTCCGAGGCGCACCGGGTGGCCGCGCAGAGGGAGAGCAACTTGAAGGCCCGAGTCGAAGAGCTGGAAGAGCAGAATCGGAGGTTGCAGGCTGAACTTCACTTGTGCGTGCGCTCGACGTTTGCTTCCCATTCTATGACGTCTAATGTGAATATTACGCACAGACACGCCCGCACACAAAAGCCCGGCCCTGCGCACGCGCACACGCCCGGCATATCCACGGCTTCAGCGGCGGCACGCGCATCGCCGCCCGCCTCTCCACCTTCCACGCGCGCATCGAGCCCCACGCACGGGCTCAGCCACCAGCCACACAGTCTGCACCAGGCCGTCGCGCACGCCCTGCACCATCACTCTTCGCCCGCCTCGTCTTCCGCGTCGCAGCACACGGCCGTATCGAGCCTCCAACACCAAGCGCTCGGTCACTTCCGCTCTCAGTCGGCCGCACCGGGATCGACGAGGGTCGGGCCGGCGCCAGCTATGGTCGGCAGCAGGAGCATGACGCCCGCGCCCATCCACGCGCCGTCGGGCGGGAGCTCGAGGGGGAGCGGACCGACGAGCCCGCTGAGGCCGCAGCCTGTTCGTGGCTCCGCGAGCATGAGCAGCGGGCCGATCACGCGTGGGAGCACGCCCGCGCCGATCCAGCGTGGGACGACGCCTGCGCCGGGTATCCAGCGCGGTACAACGCCTGCGCCGGGACACTCGCTCGTGCGCGGTACGACGCCCGCGCCCTTACAGCGCGGCACGACGCCCGGCCCGCACCGCGGCGCGACGTCTACGCCTGGGCCCAGCCCGGCGAGGAGGACCGGGCGGACGATGAGTATTTCGGGCGGATCGATCACCAGTTCGGGCGGTGGGACGATCAGCAGGGACGTGGATGGGAACGAGCGGTGGTATCCCAGCCCGGCGTCCGTCGCGAGTGCGCAGGGCGGGCCGGCGGGCGGGCATCAGCTTAGGCCGGCGGGCCCGCGGATCAGTGCCGGCGGCAGGGCGTAATGGATGCATCGAGAATTGGAGAGTCGGACAGGTTGGGAGCGAAGGAGGGCGGTGAAGTGAGGCGCGCGTCTATGTTCGGAGATCGCCGCGATCGCACCTATCTCGTTCATATGCGCCAGCGGCACGGCGCGCGTATGCTCGCGATGGAGGACAAAGCATTGCGCGGGCGGCTGATGGATCGATCCCAGTCCACATCCGCACCGCACGCGCATCTTGGATCTCCGACTACACCTACCACTACGCCCTCTCGTTCGCCCCGATCTCATTCGTCCGTCCCGACTCATCCGGCATCCGCACTTCCGACTACACACCCTTTCCCTCTTCAGGCCGGTCCATCCGGGATCCGTCTTCGCCCCTTCGCCTGCACCCTACCGCGTTTCCCCGTCGCGCGATCTCGATCTCTCCGATACCCCTCGCTCGCATCCAGTCTTCCACCCTGATCCTTAATCAGGACCCGGCGCGTCTTCTGCCAATCCCTTCGTCTTCTTCGCCACCTACATTCGCCCGCGTGTTCGCTCCACCGTCCACGCACCTTGGCTTCGACGCCACACACCCGAGCTCGAGCACGTTCGTCTTTGCAACTGGACGACGCACGCTCGCGCAGCCTGACCGCGCCTCATACACCCGGCGCCATTGACTCGCGCATCGATCCCCGCGAGAGTCATCCACACACCCACCCCTTCGACCTGTGCATTGTGCCAGGGTCGAACCGAAATGTGCCATAACGCGCACCGCGACACCTTTTCATCGCCCTGCCTCGTCCTTCCGTGACCCGTCTCTCTTCCCACCGCCTCATCCATCCCATCTGCCTCGTTTCATCTTACCGCGTTGTTTTCGCCTCGGATCGATGCCTCGTGGGCCGGACCCTGTCTCCCCTCGCCTCGCTGCTGGCTCACTTACGCCTCGCTCATGCTTGGTGCTTGCCTTGACTCGCAAGGGCTCGCCTATGCTCGCCCTGCCCTCTACCCTACCCATATGTGTATAGTCCCTGTTTATTCCTTCTTCGTCCTTCCCAGTTCCGCGCTCTTCGTTTTCTGTACATGCTTTACGCTTCACGCTTCTTTTGCCCCTGCCTCGTCCCCCTCCATCCCACATCCGTCCCGAACAGACTCGACTCGGTCTCCCGCCCATCAATCCCATCTGACCCTGACTCGACTCGCCCGTGTCCTTATCCCGCCTAATATCACCCCCGTCTACCTATCTACGTACCCCCAGTTACTCTCTCGGTTCTGGTCCGCCGTACAAGCTATCAGCTATCGTCGCTGTGCTCGCATCTACCCTCTGTCGCCTACGCGGCAGCCCCCCAAAAACGCTTTACCGCTACCCTGCCCTCACCCCATCCCACATCACCCTCACCCCACAACACACCATACGACGCCTCTGAAAGATCCCTCGTGCCCAATGCTTTTCCAGCTGCCTGCTTGCTCGCTAGCTCTTATGACACCATACCCATACCCCTTCTCGACGCTGTTATCGTCTCACTTTCTTCCCGCCACTCTCACCCTTACCACCATCTCCCAACCCCTTCTACTTCCCTCTACCCTTTCAACACCCCACGCTTGCTTTATGACTTGCTCACGATTCTTCACGACCCGCGGATTCATTTATTACTTTCTTTTGCCTACGTATCCCCCTCCCCCTCCCGTTTTCCTACCTACGTGCTGTTCGATGTTTGGGCTGCTGAACTTTTCCCGGGGCTTTGTAGTCTCGCTAGGAGACGCGTTACATTACCATAGTCTAATGTTAGGCCCGCCGGTGGATCGTTTTTTGATTTAATGGTTCAGTTATAAGTAGACGTTGATTGGTTTTGAGTGAACGCGTGACGATACGATGAGAAATAACACTGAGGGGAAGTGGGAGGAGCGCGGGGATTGCCGGTTGCTTCATGTATGCCACTACCAGTGCATCGACGCGTCCTTGTCTCCCACCTTGGTCACCGCGCGCTGTCGCTGATATACTTGCCGATCACTACACTACGCGATGCAGCATGCTACTCCAAATGTCCCCTGTCCCGAGGTCTTGCTGCGATTTTCATCACACACTCACGTCCCGAGATACGAACTGTGCAAAACCGTCGCACGAGGGCGTTCTGTACCGGTCAGGATACCCTTGGAGCGAGAATGCATCATCAACCGGATCGAGAACAGTGCATGAAGGTTGTATACAGTGATCAGGGCGAACTATGTACTCAATCTTGCAAACTCCTGTACCAAGAGCGAGCTCTTCGTTCATCACACGTTACCTGCAGCCCAAGCCTTGAGAGTCGAGATAGGCGGAACGAAGAAGTATTCGCCTCCGCGCGACGTGACGAAGAATTGTTGCGGCACGCCTGGGGGATCGGCGGCACCGGCCTTCTGAACCCGAGCAGAGCCCGAGACCGAGATCTTGTCCTCGTTCCACTTGACAACGAGGTTTATCTCGTCGCCCGGTTGGGGCTCTGCCCCGGGTGGCTCGACGAAGGCTACTTCCCTTGGGTCGGGAACAGAACCCTTCGGAGGATTGCTACCTATGATAGGATCGGTACCTGCGGCACACCGTAAGCTTGGAGACACGAGCACAGTGGCAGTGGAGCTCTTACCGTGATACTCAGGGATCAGCGATGTGGTCGGAAAGTAGAGGTTACCCGCGTACTCGACTGATTGACGGACAAAACCGTCGTCCAAGCTGGACTGGTAGCACACGAAGAGCAAACCGCGCTTGTGTGCGCGGTCAGACACCCCCGATTGAGCTTCTTCATCTGTGACCTATAGTCTATGAGCAACTTTCCAATGATATCGCTGTCATGTATGGGCCTCACCTCGTCGCCGTAAGGCAGACCCGCGCGGACAATCATGCCCGCTTCAAGATAGCGACGCTGGATATATGGGTCGAGATTGCGAGGGACGGTCTTGCGAGTATGCGCTGTGTAAGGACAGTAGTAATCGCTCAACTTCTTCGGCGACACTACAGAGACGTCTTTGACGTGGTAGTCGAAGTCATTGTTCCTCTGATCGTCACCAGCAAGCTTTGGGTCATCCATGTATGGGCATAACGCGAGCGGCGCGCCCTGTGTGCGCACATCGTCAGAGCGCGTTCTAAGTCAATGAAGACTGTTCAATCACCGATTGCCACCGTCCAATCATTCTCGCGCCCCACAAGTCCGCGCCTTGGTCGTCAGTCAAGGTTGGGCATTTGGGCGGGGCGAACTCGCGCCAGCGAACACCGACTTGCTTCTTCCATGTGTGGAACTCCGGTACGTCTTGCTCGAGCTTACGGAACACCATCATGGTCCCGCCCTTCGCCCAGGGTGGCCGCGAGGCAGCGGTGTTTGGGTCGTCGACGACCGGGTCGCCTTTGTAGCCCATGACGATGACGCCTGGGTTGACTTGAATTTGACCGGGCTTCGGGATCGTGAGATGTCTGAAGAAGCCATGAGCGACAGGGCCAAGATAGGACATGCGAATCTAGGCGTGACCTAAGGGCAGGTTGCGAGATGCCATCTTTGTACCCGAAGTGTTCGTGGCCGTTATTCTCACGAGGGCGGGCCCTGCCTCGAACGACACCGCCGTCGCCGATCTCGATAGAAGAGCCGAATCGCCTTTTCACTGCATCGGTAGCCTCAGTACAGGTGAGGTCGTCTAGGTATAGTCGTCAGCTTAATGTCGTGCAGAGAGATGGGAACTTTGAGGTGCATACCACTTGCAGCGACGGTAATGACGCCATGAAGCGCCCCTTCATCGTCGTTCACAGAGCCATTGACAGGATCAGGGTGACATTTGTCGAAAATCTCGTCCCAGTCACTCTGATCATCCAAGAAGATCTTGTTGTCGCGCATGGCGTATGTGTCAAAGCGCGTGTCACCGATGTCGCCCTTGACACCAAGCCTGTACAAGCCCATACGAGAGAAAGCGATCTGATAATCGTATTTCGTGATGAAAGGAATGTTACGAAACGGCCCAGCTTTCCCCTTCTTCTTGGCCAATTTCATCACAAACTGAGCCACGTCCAACGAACTTGAAGGTTGGAAGCGACCGAGGGCATCCTTGAACGCTGTGACGTTGGCGATGCGAAAGAAAACGAAGTCCTCAGCTTTCTACAATGAAATGGGGGTCAATGGAGTATGAGGAGCCTCAACGATATGGCATGTACCTTCGGAAACAAGTAAATGACATCGCCTTGTACGTCTTCGAGATCTGGAAGCTCCACATCTTCGTCGGGCTTGCTGAGTTGGAAGCCCTCTTTGGGGTCCTCGGTCTCGAACAGATATCCGCCGCGGTTGACCAAGCGGTTAGGGAGGTGTGCGGTGTTTGTGACATCCTCTGATAGCTGAGGGAGTAGCGGTATGATCGCGCGACGCAAGTGCACGCGGGGATCGGATCCAATGGCGCTCATGATGGAAGGGCGAGCAGGTAAGAGGAAGAGTGCAACGAGTTGCAAGACTATACATGCAGGCGGGCCTTATATATGCGTTGAAGGATGCGAGTAGGCCCATAGACGGCTTACAGGACGCCGCCACCGCACTCCAAGCATTGTAGGATATGACAGCAGGATTCGCAAGCTCCGGAGTCTAATGAGCGCCTTCATCTGAAAGTAGTATCTCCGTAAGGTCCAGATGTAGCGTAGGTACAAATGTGGCGAAAGTGTAACTACCGCGGATGATACTCTCGCGCATGGGTAGATGATATCGGTTCCCTCCATGCTCAGAACGATATTCCGGTGATAAATATACGCAGGAATGTAGGAGTGCCTCCCGTATTCCTTGTGCGATGCGGCTAGCGTATAATCGCAGACTGTCAACGCCCTAGCGCCGTCGACCGTTCTCTAGCCATGAGACTTCGGTTAGCACTGACGCGAGCGGCGTCAGTCTGCCAGCCTCGCCGATCATTTATCGTTGCCGTATATCAAGCAGCATATTCCAATAGAATCTGTAAGTCAATGAGTCAGGCAGTATTGCACTCCAGACGCAATATCGATCGCACCTTTCGGGGATGACTGGATGACTTGGGATCCGGGGTCCATTCTTGTAAGCATGTTGGCCTGCCGAGCAGACTACGAGCGACGTGGAAGTGGGAGTGCAATCATACGAGCCTACAGTTCAGTACTGTTGCCCGACAGGAATCGCCGTAGTCGTGGTGAACACGAGGTATTATGTCGCGACTTCGGCCCCTAGTGCAAGTCGCGTCGTTCAAGTTGCAAGAGGGGAACGTGGTAGTGATTCGCAAGGCATTGCATATACACCGCAAGACGGCCGTCCACCGAACATAGTTCATGGTTGAAGCCTATCAGGATGACATGGCTCGCACCATACGTGCGAGCATGTTTGACATGATGGTCCATGGTGGCTTGAAGAAAGGCGCTTGAGCGTGAGCCGGCCTGACGCGCCTCGTGGGCCCCGATCAATGCGCGAAGGGTTAGGGTTAAGCGCCGGCCGGGTGCGTTAACCTTTCTTTCATGACGAAGCGGAGTAGACGCTTCGCTAGAGGTACTCAGACCGCTAGCGCTTATGTCACCGACCTAGGGACTAGTTGAAGTTCCCCCTCCGCCGTAAATGGACCCTCACCCAAAGGGCAAGCCCTGAGTGCATCTTTGACGACTCGGAGGACCTTGCCCAAGAACATATTTTACAGTAACTTGACAGCCGTGGCTTTGTACAGTTCAATTCAGACGCTATCTTACACTCCGGTAGTACGTCGAAAGCGAGTGTCCGTAAGCAGGGCGCTCATCCGGAATCCGTTGATTCCCGTTCGAGGTCCGTAGATGATCCGCTCCTAGCCTTCGAGAGTCCCTTGTTCTTGATATGCAGGTACAGAAGCGTGTAAACTAGTTTCACTTCGTCAGCATGACCTCGGGATAACATGTAAACCAGCCGCGTACCATCGCTGAACCGTAAGAACGAGGGTAAGGCTATGTTCTCCGGATACAGTCCAAGGATCATGTCACCGGCCTTGCACAAGCTTGTACCACGCGCATAAGTCAACGAGAGTGATAGCCAAGCAGAAAACTTACAAGTAGAGGAGGAGAAGGTTCACGGCGCACGTTGCTACAGCCACAAAGTACTTCCGGCTGGGTGAGGCGTGGGGTGAGGGCGCAAACTTGGATAGACTTGAGAGCAGCCGGAGGCGAGGGCATTCCGACGAAGACTCGTTTTGGGGCTAAGCCCTACCGTCAGCCTTATGGCTCAATGTCCTGGTTGATAGCGAGCCACACCTGTATGAGAGCACGAGCCGTACCCTCGATACCAATCTGTGTAACGACCAGGATGTGGGTGAGCAGGCTGCTGGTGGCCAAGCCAGGCACACGAAGGAAAACGGCTTGGACCCATACTGCCAAGATCTGTCGGTTCTGTAAGCAAGGCATCGCGCAGACAGAGTCATGTCACTTACCACGAAGAATGTGTACAGCCTCCTTCCTGTCACTGGAAAGTTGAGGGCGATTAGATCCAGAGCCCAAAACATCAAGCAAGACATGGCAGGACAAACGTGTAGTTAACTGCCTTGATAAGATCACGGATATACACAAGTAGACGATGGCCTACTCCATTCTCAGTTCACGCAGCAGTTCTACGCAGCGCAGTTAGACGAACCGCAACTATCTCCTGCGATAGGATGGCCCCAATAGCGGTCGATGGTTTCTGCCCCGGTTCCAGTGGTTGCGCCGTCGAGAATTCGCGCAACGCGTAGAGGATCGCGAAGTCACAGAACCAGCGCATGGCGCTCAGCAACCTATACCGGAGTCAGATCCATCAGACTCGTACATATGAGAAACAGATGGCCAACATACCACAGAGAGAATGCATTCTGAAATGCCGGTCCTTTGCCGCCGCTGGAAAGGCAAGCGTACATCTGCCTGCTGATCAACGCGAAAGTGATCGTCCTGATCAGCACGGCGACGACAGTTTCCCCAGAGGATGGCGGGATTAGGGACCCTCCGTCATCCATGTTGAGTTCGTCTCCAGAGATGCTGGCATTGAACGTTGCATTCGGGAGTAGAGTCGCGTGAGGTGCTAGTGCATTCGTCGACATGATGGGCAGAGGACCTGGGGCTTGTAGTCAGGCGACAAGAGCGCTTTTATACATGCAACGGCCTAATGACCCCGCGAGGGCCATAGCACCTCGGCAGAGATCACAGTACTCAATGGCCCGATACACACGTAGATGGATAGATCTCGATGCCTGTCATCGCTGCAGAGCCTCGGAGGTGCGGACTGATGGAAGGACCCTTGGACGGACTCAATGAGGGCGATACGCGATAGAACCGCTGTATTAGGATTGCATTAAGGATGCATCCAGTCATCCACGAGATTATCGCGATGACGGGACAGCGATACACGCTGTATACGGCGCACAGGCATCGTGACGTGTTCGTGGTGAGAGAAAGGAAGAGGATCAACGGGCTTTGCTCGCCGCGTACTCTCCCACGCGATCAAGCTAGGGTTAAGGTTGTCTTGTCATTTCTGGAAGACGACATAGTCTGATATAGACGTAGAAGATGGGACTAGATGGTCCGTATAGCACACAAGAGTTCGAAATATCGTAGCTTTGCAGCTGGCCTTATGACATGTCATCACACGCATCATCTGTGGCTACCGATCGAGCAGGCGCCCGGCTCCTCGCCGCCCCTCCCGCTGATGAGCTTGGACGTAGCATCTCGAGCTCTTCCGGAGCCCTATTAGCCAACTCTGAGCCACCACTGCTGCCTATAGCCGCGTGTTTGATCTTGATGTTTAGGTAAAGTAGGCTGTACACTTTGGACACGATAAGTGTAAGAACACGTGCAGAGCGAACAAGCTGATTGAGGGCTCACCATCGCTCAAGCCAATGAAAGGCCCTCCTGGGATGAATCCCCAAGCAAAGTAGTAGATTCGAACAATGCTATATCGACACGATTTGCTCAGCTGTTCGAAGAAGTATGAGACTAGTGGACATACAGGTGGATGATCAGGAAGTTTGCCGCGCACATAATGACGGCGACAAGGGACCGACGAACTCGCGAAGGCTGTTGTGCGTGGGTAAAGGAATGCAGCCGTGAAGGCATCCGCAAGCGAAGACAATGTGTTGAAAATTTATCCCTGGGCTAGTCCTGGAAGTTATTCCTGACGTCGACATCGGCAGAGCGCGGGGGTACCAACCGATATGACAGCGTGAGTGGTGCCGTGGACTCCCATCTGCGTGACGGCTAAGATATGGGTTAAGGCAAAGTCCGTTTCAAGTTCGTCAACGAAGATGGGCGGAATCCACAGAAGCAGAATCTATCATATAAACATGAGAGGACTGACGGATACAATTGAAGAAGCGAAACAAACCGAGAGAGATGTTGTAAGCTTGCTTTTCCCCACTGCTAGGGAAGAGTGAGCTGCCAAGTGTCAATATTACTTTGACGGCACCCACCGGAAGATATTTCCTTCCATACGACAATGGTTATGCAGGCGTAAATACATAGCTACACTGATGTCAGTCAGAGAATCCCGCTGTATATACCCGAGTGTCACGTACCGTGGCGATGAAGAAGGCAACGCCTGCGACGACGATCTTCAGAAATGAGCGCTGTGTGTAAGAACGAACTTGTGGTTCGGATTGCTGTGAGTATGCGAGGTACACAGCCGACAGGCCCCATATAAGACGTGTGGCACTGAGTAGCCTTCATACGTCGAGGCAGAACAATCAATAGTGGTATTGAGCTCGAGAGGGGGAGGGCTCACCAAAGACAGAGTACGGTACGAAAGGTAGATCCTTTCCCGCCTCTTACAATGTATGCGTATGCACGCTGGCTGATCAACACGAAGGCGGCCGTATCGGCAAAGCATGCAGTGATCATTTGTCCCGACGACACTTTGGAGAGATCCATCGTGACAGCTACGTCTGAGCTGTTGGTAAGGGAAACAATGGGTATCGTTTCATTCGACATAGCGGGGTGGAGAAGGAGACAAACTGGCAAACGGCCGCGGGACTTATCTTTATACAGGTGCATCCACATGCAGCGGTGCACAGCTTGACGAATCGCCAGCGCTCTTGCCGTCGAGGCTATGCAAGGTGCTGTCTCTTCAGACTCGTTATCCCTGGTCCGATAGCCGACACGGCGAGCAAGTTGCGCAGCGCAACGGCGTACATAATATCAAACGTGGTGGTCAAGAAGAAGCGCCATTTCGGCGAACGCTTGCGGCGAACTTAGGCGAAGTGAAACTGGCGTTGGGTTAGGGTTGGCTTCCATCCTCGACACCGTGTCACCGTCGTTGACGCTCTCCAGCTCTCGCCCATCACCACCGCCCGTCAAGACATCGACATGGTGGGTTCTTGATGTTATGCTGCGCTACTTCCCGCCAATTGGTGGCGAATGGTGCGACGCTTAGAGGCTGGATTGCATCGCTGACGCTCGGATGTACCTCTAGCCGCCCAAGAAAGCCCGCGTCCAGCAGGAGCAGACCGTCCAGCTCGGCCCCCAGCTTGCTGAGGGCGAGCGCAACTTCGGTGTCGCGCACATTTTCGCGTCTTTCAACGACACGTTCGTGCATGTCACCGATCTGTCCGGCAAGGAGACGATCTCCCGCATCACCGGCGGCATGAAGGTCAAGGCCGACCGTGACGAGTCTTCGCCTTACGCCGCCATGTTGGCTGCCCAGGACGTCGCTGCTCGTTGCCGCGAGGTCGGCATCACCGCTCTTCATATCAAGCTTCGCGCTACCGGCGGTACTGGTACTAAGACCCCTGGCCCGGGTGCACAGAGCGCCCTCCGCGCTCTCGCGCGTGCTGGCATGTCCATCGGTCGCATCGAGGACGTGACACCCGTCCCGACTGACTCTACTCGCCGCAAGGTACCTCAATTAATCAAACTATATTTTACAGTCACTGATCACACTTTCTCTAGGGTGGTCGCCGTGGTCGCCGTCTGTGATCGCACCTTGCGATCTGCCGCTCAAAATTTGCCGGGTGTGCGCGTATATGTATCTTGTACTTGTCCACAATCAATTGTCGCCCGCTCGACACGCAGCAGGCCCTCGCGCCTGTCCCGTGGTCTTGAGCTTTCCCGAATACACCTGTATTGCGATCCCGGCATCTGGAATGTGTGTGAACTGGCGTGATGGTCTCAGTCCAAGCCCATATCCCTGTTTCGAATATCGCGACGACGGACTTCTTGTGACCATCTGCTTCCGGTGGCGGAGGCATGCGCCAAACTCTTGCACCGATCTCGATTATATATCCCGGTCTGTTGGTCACCATCAATCAGTGGATGCAGTCATACCTGCTCTATCGACCCCCGGTCGCGCTCTGGCGTGTTCATCCACACAAGACTTGGCGTAGCTCACCCATTCACCATTCACGGCTTTGAAGAGTGGGGGGAAGAGATCGGATACTGCCGCCGCGTATCTCGTGGTACCCCATCAAGACCTTTTTCTGCCCCCGACGATAGTTCGCGATTCTCAGACATGGGAAGTACGCGTGCGCACAAGCAGTGAACACAGGGGAAGAGCCGGCCTCTACAAGTATGCGACGGGTCGAGTTCGTGCGTGAAGGTAGTGGTTCTCAAGATGCTCCTTTGCGCCCCTGCTGTATTCATCTTGAGCCTTGCGCTCCAGGGTCACGGAAAACCACTCAGTCCTCCCCCTAGGATCATATTCGCACGATCGGTCACGACTGCTACGTCGTTATTAGAGTCTCCCTCTATCTCAGGGGACATATTTGCTCTTCATGGTCACAACCTCATCGCCAATCACCTCGATGAGCAAGGCATGCCTCCAGGCGACCTTCCAGCTGCTCAAAGCCTGGTTTTAGACGCGTTTGCCTCTAACACATCAGCCGCAAACCTGACGGACCCAGTGGGTATCCTTGGAGCTGGTGCGTTGCTTGAACAACGTTCACGAACGCTTTTGCTCATGCGCTGGCTGCAATCACAGGTGCGAGCGGTTTATATACTGCCCTCATCCTCCTCGACCTCGGCATTCCCTTTAAGATCATCGAAGCTCGCGAGCGCGTCGGCGGCCGTCTCTTCACCTACACCTTCCCGAATTCAACAGGCGCCCCATACAACTACTTCGACGTCGGCGCCATGCGATTCCCCAATACTTCTTCCATGACGCGCGCGTTCCAGCTCTTCGATTACGCTCCGCTCAACGAGAATGGGCTGAACCTATCAAGCAAGCTCCGGCCATACATCTTCAAGAGCGAGCACTCGCTACTGAGCTACAACGATGTGACGGTCGCTCAGGACGACGTACAAGCACTGGCACAGGACCCGTTCCACACGAACGCCGTCATACGGGACAAGAACTCCTCCGCGTACCTTTCCGTCGGAGCTGACACCATCGTGAACGACGTGCTCAAGCCCTTCGCCATCGGCCTCCTGTCCGACGCTCAAAACCATACTACGACGGGATGGGACCACATGAAGAAGTACGACAAGTACTCTGCGCGGTCGTACATGGCCACCGAGTACCGACCCAGCAAGAGCCTCGGTTTGCCGGACAAGCCTTTGCCGCTTGATGTGATTGCGTGGTGCGAGACGTTCGAGGACTCGAGTGGGGCGTATGACAGGGCGTTGAGCGAGATCGTGCTCGATAGCATTGATTTCGGGTGGTCGGAGAACCCCAGGAAGAGCGCGAAGTGGTACCTCATCGAGTGCGTTGATCTTGACCATGTCCCTCCGAGCCATAACTAACGTGCGGCGAACAGCGGTGGCGCGTACGAGATCGCGGATACGATGGCTCAGTACATCAAATCGCAGCAGCCCGATGCCTTCTCACTCAATACCTTTGTCACGGCTGTCTCCTCCGACAAGAATGGGACCAAGGCCATCGGCGTCAACGTCACGACGGATTACAACTCTACCCAGCGTTTCTCGCACGTAGTCTCGACTATCCCCCTTCCCGTCATGCGCACGCTCGACCTCACCGATGCCGGCTTATCACCAATCCAACTCAACGCGCTCCGGGAGCTCGAGTACGGACCTGCCGTGAAGATTGGCATGCAGTTCGCTAGCGCGTGGTGGACGAATGGTACGACCAACTCTGGACGCAAGCTCGACATTGTCGGAGGACAGACGTATACGGACTCGCTGTTGCGCACGGTCGTGTACCCTTCATATGGCGACCCATACAGTGGCAACACCACCACGCTGATCGCGAGCTACTCGTGGACGGCGGACGCGGATCGACTCGCGTCGCTCGTAGCAGGCGATCAGAGCAGATTGAAAGCTGTTGTTTTGAGAGAGTTGGCGAGGATTCACGACGTAGACGAGGCGTTTCTACGTGAACAGCTCATCGATACATTTGCATGGAGCTGGTCTCTGGACCCCTACACTGGTGGTGCGTGACACTGTAATGCCTTGGGGACCCCTTAGCTGACTCTTGTGTGTGATTGACAGGCGCATTCGCCTTCTTCGGACCTGGCCAGTTCGAGGATCTCTATACCTCACTCACCAAGCCCGCAGCAGGAGGCCATCTTCACTTCGCAGGCGAGGCGCTCAGCACGCGCCACGCATGGATCGAGGGCTCGTTTGATAGCGCGTGGCGCGCTGTCCTCTCGATCCTGGTGCAGCAGAAGGGGCTCAAGCACTTGATCCCGAAGTTCTTCGATAACTGGGGGTCGAACGAGGAGTGGGTAAGGACTGTCAAGAAGGGTGATGGGACGGAGGAAAAGATGGACGTGGAAGCTATGTTGAGGGACAGTCTCTTTGTGAAGCATCTGGTGGCGGTGTAGAAGCCTGACCGGTCTGTCCGAGCCGATCGCGTAGGATACCGCACACATTCCCTTGGGTTTTGTAGTATATGGGTTTGGAGATCAGATTGTATCGTATAGTACCTATAGCATCACATAACGGACTGGCGTACGTCCACGTCGAACGTATAAGCAAGATAGTCGCATACGCGCAGCAAGCCACGTGACCGCGATTCATTAGTTCGGCGTGCGGCCCGTCGATCCGGATGCTGCACACTCAGCGAATTTATTCGGCCATCTCCCGGCGTTTACTTCTAAGCGTACGATTACAGGAGTAGTAAGATCATAGTCTGAGGCTAGGTTGTTCGGGACGATCATATGTTCGTTCATCAGAGTAGGCTGGATTCGTCGACGTTGAGGATGAGTCTGGTGTAGAAACGGATGCCCTCGATGTATCCCTCGGCTTTAATCGCTGCAGGAGAGCTATCAGGACGGATTGTACGCGGAATCGAGTGGCGCTTACCTTCATTTACGGTGTGCATACCATCACGGTCCGTCTTTCCGATGTGACCATAGCGGAAGATGCTGAAACGCGATCATCAATGCCAGCGTTGTAGGTAGCCTGTCTCGTTCCACTTACTTCCTTGTTAAGCGCCTATACCATTTTGTGTCCGAATTGGCAATCATGATACCCGGCGCGACCACGATCTGCTTCCCTGCAAGCTCAGCACGCTCGGAGGTGTCCAATGACGACAGGATAGTGCCGGACAGTACTTCCCACGCCCCACTCCCCTCGGTCGGTGTGACAGGTGCAGGATTGAGTCCACGGCGAATAGTAGAGACGGTGATATGGCCGTCTGCAGGACCTTGAACGCCGTACATCGTGCCGAAGGATTCAAGGGTAAGGTTCATTCTCGTGGCGAACGGTGCCAAGACTTGAGCGTAGCGGGAGGCGGTTTCGGCCACAGAGCTATCCTCGGCGATGCGGTGGTTGATGATCGCATGAGCGCGCTCCGGTAGCGCATTGTACTTCAAACCGCCATGGATTACGTCGACAGCCTGTGTCGTGCCGGCGAATGCGCGGAAGAGGTTCTCATCGAGCTGAAGCAACTTTTTCTGCGCCGCCTTCAATGCAGCGTCATCTGAGATCGCGCGGGCAAGGTAGCCGCGTAGCTCGTCGGAGAAGGAATCGTCATATGCTGCTTCGCACCGTAAAGATCGAAAGTATGTGCTGTCACGCTTCAACATCGCTGGGAACGGGTTGTCCTCAAGTAAGGCAACGATACGAGACAATACTCCGATGCCCTGTAGAAAGACAAGTCATCATCTGACACGAAAACGCGAGCAAAATGCTTACTGTGTGCGCAGGTGGGACGCTAGAATGACCGCCAGGCGTGGCAACCTCGATCTGAACATTCAACGCGCCTTTCTCCGCTACATTGGGGATAGCCATGACAATGTCATCATGTATGAAGTACTGCCCGCCCTCATCAATGAGCATTGCAGCGCCATTCTGACCATAGAGTTCGACGAGATGTTGTCCAATCGTTCGCGCTCCCTGTGCGTTGTAAGGATCAGACCATCGTCGCCCAAGCCCAAAAGATATTGACTGACATTACGCCCGCCGCGTTCCTCATCAAAGCCGTAAGCCAGTATGACAGTGCGTCTGGGCATATAGCCTCTCTGCAGTAGCAGCTCAATTGCCGTTCTGTATGCATGGGATTCAGTGGCCGACACGAAGAGCTGGTGGAGACTTCGTACATCGTGCCGATCAGCATAGCTTTGTCGTCAGCGCTACCGCGGCCCCAGACGTTGTTGCCTGTTTGGGGCATTTAGCCGAGCACGACAGTTCCCATGGAAGATGTTCTCACCATCAAACAGTCCGGAGAAGGGTGGTTGATCCCATTCGCGGCGGGTCTCCGGATTGACTGGGACCACATCTACGCCGAGGACGTTCAGCAACTGCTCAAGATGTTACTCAGAGAATGCTTCACCCATGTGCGCAGTCAAGACGAGAGGCTTGAGAGATTCATCGGACCCTTTCCAAGTATACACGAGGCCGTAGCGATTGATCTTGTGTATATCTAACTTCGCATGCCTAATTGCACATCAGCACCGAACGACTGTGCCGACCAATCACACACGACGGCTTACACCAAAGGGAACCGTCCACGTAGGAAGTCGTGCATATCTAACATAACATCCCAACGAGGGTCCTCGCCCGGTAGCTCAAAGTCGTCGAACAGTTGCGTGCTGTCTCACCATTAGCGAACTCGGGCTCGACTGAGAGAAAGAAAGAATGCTTACGGAGTTCGAACTGCTTGGGAGAGCGAGTCGATTGTCCAATTCTTGCCTTCGCAAGACATGAGATAAGCGTCGATGTCTTGAAACAATGGATCGCCTTTGGTTGGATTCAGCGGCTTGACCTGTGGGCATAGGGAGTGTTTAAAGATCGGGAGGGGTGCTGAAGCGGCGGGTACAGGCACGTGGCCGACCAGGGAATGAAAGCACAGGAGATCCGAGAAGGACCAATACAGGGCAAGTACGACGAGTCCGGCTGCAACGACAAGGACACGGCGCGGCGGGCTGCCAGAGCGCGACTCGGGCAAGCGGCCCATGGTGGTTGAAGATGAAGAGGGCACATTGCTTGCGACGACTGCATGAGAATGCAACCTGCGACGTAACATCCAGACACAATACGTGTTGGAAGCGTAGGAAGCTAAAGCAGGCGCGCGCCAATCTCCGCAGATGCTAGTGGGCCAACAGGTGTCCACAGGCGAGCATGTGATGTTCGCGAACGGGCAATATGCGCCGTTTGGCCTGGTAAAACGGCAGTACTGCTGGCGGGAGATGTAGTAGCGGTGTCTGGCGGGAACCTAGGGTGGTGGCGCCGCTCGCTCTCCGGACCGTGGGCCCTTCGTATAGAGGAGCTCGGGCCGTAGGCGTGCCGAACCGCTCCTCGCGTCGTATTTCTCAGAGGTGTAGCCGCGCTGGTGACAAGGTATATGTTTGTTTTCTACACACGTAGCCTACAACCCGTGAAAGTTGTGTTTAGACTTTTTGCGTGGACAGCAGGATGGCGATGGCGGGGAACATGACGGTCGGAACAGAACAACGATGTAAACTGTGAGCGCGCGCAGGTAATGGCCACGCGTGAGACGCGCATCGGCCGAACGGGACCGATCGCAAGACTGCAGTGCGCGCGGCGTCCATTGCAATGGAAATACATGTTATACTTATTCCCTCTCGTATTCGTCAGCGAACCTCGTATCCGGTATCTATTTCTTACTCCCCCGCCTCCCTAACAATGATCCCGAGCGCCTACTCAACTCGCTTTGTTGCACTCGAACTTTCGTAGACCCCATACGGTCCGCCTTGCACGACTGCTACGTCGTTCTCCGCCGCCAACGTGCGAAGAAGCTCTTCGAGCACGCTAATGTCCTCGCATCTTATCACGTTGTTCTCCTGCAACCTCATTACCGCGGTCTTGAACCAGACCCGACAAGTGAAGACCGTCTCCGTGCTCTGTAGCTCTGGAATGATGTCGTCCATCGGCACAGCCGCTAATAAGTTGCGTGCCTCGTTCATGGCACTGGTATTGCTGGAGTCAAGTTCGCCTGCTCGGAAGTGAGAATGACTTTAATGTGGCAGAGTACGAAGGATGGAGACTCGCCGATTTTGACGGCTACACACAGCGGCTTGATATGCTGTAGCTTTCCGATGTCATGCTCCACGTCCTCGAATTCCCAGCCGGGACCGTTCAGTTGCGTTGCATGGCATTTGCGGAATGTTCGCAGCGAGAATCCTGAGCTGGAAGTGGTCCCGGTGAGCCCAATGGCCCAATGGAAGGTGCCATCGCCTCGCGATGTGAGTATGGCGAGGATGCTGGAGGATGGAAGAGGTGGTCCTAACAAAGAGGAATCTACCATCTTGCGAACGATTGGAACGGTTGGTATCGTAGACGATCCAATCCTGTGATCCGAATGAAGAAAGAAAGGTCAAGCTATGGCCAATTTGTCAGGTGTAGAACCAAACAGTCGGACAGCGCTTTCGGGACTTGGACTGTGGCGAGAGCGCCTAACGAGATGATGGTGGTGCGAAGACTAGTTGAGCACCTTCTATCTTGATCGCCGGCATTCATTCGAGGTCGTGGCGCTTTCATGGTTCGCCGGTCAGATACGTAAACGAGTACTCCTTGTGTGTAGCGTTCCAGCTGACGTCCCCTTTTTGCGAACATCGGAAGTCAACGAATATTGAAGAAGTTCGACCTGGGTTGTGCCACCGTGGAGTTCTATATCAGCGTGTTCATTTAGCTCTCCCGATGAGGGTGGAAATTGCGAAGTGACCGGACAGATGAAAAGGTATCTCATGACGAGTATATCATCCGTATACAACCGTCCTTGGACCCTGGAGATTGCTTCCGAGCGAGCACAGCCACGTCTGACTTCTCCGAGCCACCCGTAGTTCCTTACTGGGTTTGGTCATCATCAAGTCTTGAATGTGCATGAAGTGCGCCAATCACGGGTGGTGTCTGTCCCCAACAAGTCGTCAATGATCGTTCTTCAAGCAGCGCTGGTGCATGCGTACCAAGTTCATGATGACACTCCAGCGCTCGCTCGAGCACCGGATCCACCGCTTGCCACTGCATGTCTTCCATGAAATAGCATGGAAGGTTACTTGCCAGACGAAAACCGCCTCTTGCGCACAAGCATAATCCAGTCCGACGTCTTGTATGGGCTTCCCGGGTATCTGGATACGGGAGAACGGGCCCGACCATTCAGACACTGCTCCGACACTCACGCAACACAGTGAAGCAAGGAGTCGCCGAGAGGCTGCAGATAATGGACCCTACATCCTACAGCATCTGAAGGAAGCGGTCCCTATGGGTAATCGAAGAGAGTAGAGACAGCAGCTCTCCCTCCGACGATGAGAGTCAGCCTGTTATGTGGATCTCGGTGCAATGCCTATGTGCCTCATAGCTCCAGCCATACTGAGAAGGCAGCCTGTAGAGATAAAATCGTCATTGAGACGAGCTCTCTGTGTACTGTCCAGATGGATCATGGATGTACGGAACCAAGCTGCGTCCATAGCCGTCTACGCGACAAGACAGCATCGGTCCGGATCCGGCCCTTGTCCCGAACCACCACTCACCACATGCACGACATGATGTTGAGGTTCGCTACATTCTGCATAGCCTCTGTACGTGACGAGGCATGTAGCCTCAATCACGCATTGGAAAAGCAGTTCCTGCCTCCTCGTTGTGGTTTAGCGTCGAACGCTTAAGTATTCACTCGCGTCGGCTTCACCGGATTCATCATCTGCACCCTTCGCGACACAGTCTATCTCAACATGCCCCTATACATGCACCCGGAATCCTTTTGCGATATCTGCAAGGACTCATTCGAATTGTTCTCCGGGGCCTCATCACCGAAGGCTCCATGTGCCTTATCGTGTGGCCACGTCTTCTGTCGAGGGTGCGTACAGAATCTCATGCTAGCCTCGAGAAACATCCTGACAAAGCCCAACAGTTGCCTGATGCATGTTCAGCCACACTTGAACCGCGGCTATACCACGTCAATACGCGACTGTCCGATGTGTCGGGAACGTTACAGCCGAGACTGTTTGAAGCCCTTGATGGTCTACACGTTACCGTTCACGAACGTCACACCCGGTGGTCACCGAGCTAGAGAAGACGCCAGCCAGCAGGGACAAGCGTCACGCGTCTTCTCTAGCCTCAATGTCGGAGATTGGATGCGCAAAGGAAAGGGTTACGAGTCCAAATAGTGCGTTCACCGTTTCTTCGCGCCTCGCTCCATCAGGTTTACCGTGATATACAGCTCTTGACGCATCTTGTTGTCGTAGCGGATGCGGGAGCTACCTCCATGTGTTTTCCAGCTGCTTCGCTGAGTTGTGTGTGTCGCATGCATCGAGAGTTCATGCGCAGACACATCGCAACATGGCATGCTGGAAACACACGTCGCGGCTGAGCGCTGATGCCCTATTCCTGTTCTTCAAGTTCCACTCCCTGCTTCTCGCGTTCATTGTGTTGCTACCTTCATGATCAACTACCTTATGTCTACTACTATTGTATCATACCACACTTCACTTGTCACCTACGAAGGCCGTTGCCTCAATAGTAATCTGCAGTGTGCCATCAGGCTTGACCTGACCTCGCTCCCCTTGTCTTCAACGCTCGCTACCACTTCAATACCCTGCCTTCAGCAACAACTCCGTTAGCGGCACGCTTGAAACAGGTTACAGTAGCGCAGATGAGACGTGCTGTGAAGACCTGATGCCAAATAACTCCATATCGATCTGTTATCAAAGAACTGGCGGCGATAACCAGATCTCATCTGACCAGCTTCGGTGCGGAAAGGATGTGTCTTCAACGAGGCTTCTCTAGACCATCAAGTATTTGCTCCTATCAGGGCGCGCGCGACCGCAGTGCGCACGCGTCTTGCCGACCACCGTGATCCCACACGGAGAGATCCCATATAAACAACGCGGGTCGCTACCCAATTTCTCCAGGCACTCGCCCCATCTCCTTGACTTCCAGCTCTTGCTTTCCATCTCTCTATACTTGCAATGGCCCCCTCTCCTCAGTGTGCCGCTCTCAACGCTGCATTCCAGCGCAAGGGTATGTCCTTGCGTCTGAGATGCCGTATCATCATCGCTCATGTACCCTACTAGGCATGTCCTACGGCCAGATCGCGTCCCGCCTCGGCACGTCCGAGCAGCACGTTATCGATGGTGCGTTAAGCTTTTGCATATCCATGCCGTACGATGCTCATCGCCCGGCGGCACAGTCTGCACTGGCGCAAAGCAGCCGACCCAGGCGGAGTTCGAGGGTCTCGCGCGTGTTCTCGACATCACCGGCCCAGTACGTGCTGAATCCTTGAATCCTGATTGGATAGCTAACCGGCCTTCTTGATCTCAGGTGCCTCAGAGCCCCGCGCACCAGACCAGGTTCTAATCGCACGCACCACTGCTATTACATCTCGGTCCTGTAACATTACCCGTGCACTTTGTTGTATCAGTGTCTGTCCCAATGTATCCAATATATACCTTCCGATCCTGCGTCACCAAGCCTGCTCGGTACCCCAGACAGTCGCGTACTGTATGTACGCGGTGAGATTTGGACGTGTAAGCACGGGCTAACGGAGTGGCCTTTCCATTGAGATTCATCAGAGGCTAGACTGCCGCTGCCAGTTCTACTCGCGCGGTGCGCGATGGCTTCCTCAGCGCGATGTCTTTGGCGTGTGCGTGGGTAGCGTTTTCTGTCAGCTTTACTGTAAACTTGAGGGAGCCTATCTCAAATCAATGACGATCTACCAAACGTGGAAGCATCTGGCGGGTGCATGACACAGCCTTTACCCAGATGCAGAGGACCCAGCATCCTCACTCCGACTTCGATTCTCATCGCGAAGAGCGAACATGGGGGCATTGAATCCATCGATCATGTAAATGAGAAAGCCTACAGTTGCAGCGCTGTGCGATACTTTCGAATGAGGTACAGTATACATCGACAGTGGCATGTCCATCTCCTACTCTCCTTGGGTCGGGATGACCGCGCAACGGTCGTAGTTGCCGTTCTGGTCCGCACCTGAAAGAAAGTTAGACGCCTCATCGATCCGATAGTGGTGGAAGAAGCGTACCCCACCACTGCGGGAACAGGTGCGATGTACCCGCTGCGCCTTGCACAGCGAAGGATAGGATGAAGACCTGCAATATGGCTCAGAAAACTGCTTGAACTCAGAGAGTGCGTACTGCTCACCATGACCTGGGTTCCTCCGTCGAGAGCGGCACCAAGAATGTAGTTGTACTTCGCGAACCAGCGAGGGTAGCGCGTGCGCAGGTACCACTGCGAGGTCCACGCGATCGCGAAGTACGACAGGATACTAGAGTTGATTCCGACACAGAGCCATCCAATGTAGTAGCAGATGACAGGCGTGTAGAGGTAGTCGGTTCGAAGGCGCGGCCAGAACTTGTAGGCAACCCAAAAAGGAACGGGGACGAACAAGCCTATGACATAGGCCCAAGCGACCCACTGGTACCGTTGTCCGGATGCGAAGAGCTCGTGCGCGAGACCACCCCATGCGATGGCTTGAGAGTTGTACTGCTGAGGCTGTTGGCCGGACCAGATGTTGGTTCCCTCGACGGAAAGCAGGATGTCGCGCTGATTGTCAATGATACTGTTCATGAGAACATAGTTGAGCACAGCGCCGAAGAGCGTTCCGACAATCTGAGCGGTGAAAGCAGCTCGAGGGGGGAGCTTGGTGTCTAAGTGGGTGAAGATGAACGATGAGCATGTGCTTCACAGTCTGAGTATCCATAGACGTACATTGCGCAATCTTGAGGTCTCGGAGCAGCAGCTGCGCCTGGGTGACCGAGTCTGGAGTGCCGTAGTCAGCTTAAAGTCCTGCGCCAGAAACGAGCAGTCGTCACTCACTATACGAGTAGAGCACGAAGAACATGTTCGCGACGGGCTTCCCTGGGTGGAGGAATCCGCCGATCATCTGCACGAACGGCTGGATGATGAAGGACAGGCCCGTAATGGCGTACAGCGCTCCGAAGAAGAGGATGGAGATGAAACCTAGAATGCACGCAATCAGGAAGCCCCACCATGGGAGCGTCGAGTTTGTCTTGTAGATGAGCACCAAGGATATGATGACCGCGATCGTGAACACGACGAGGTACCAAGAGTTCGGGGCGTCTGGGTACTACGAGGAGATTAGCTTGAGGATCGACAACTCGTGACAGTGTGACAGTGCGTACCTTGAGCATCTCGCGGTAGTGAGGGTCCATGTCGGGATCGTCAGGAATCTCGCGCTGGCCATTGTCTTGCCAGAACTTCCACTTGATGTTGCGAACGGACTTCTTGAAGTTGGACGGCTTCGCCCAAGACCATGCGTCCTTGACATCCGCGTAGTTCCAGAGCATGATATGGCTAGATGACCATCAGCTGCTTTCAAAGTGAAGAGTCCTTGTTGACGTACGTAAAAGTAGCAGCCATGCCAAGATTGGTAGACAGCAGTTGCACTACCCAGGTGGCGGCGTAGAAGGGTAGTCCTTGTTCCATTAGCAAGGTCTTGTCGACTTCAAGCTTCTCGTTCAAGATGAGCGTCTGATTGTAGAGCGTTCCATTCTCGTAGAATAGCGTCTGCGAGAGGAAGGGGAAACTTTGCGCCTGCCAGATGTTCTTGTAGTATACCTGGCGATGAATCAGTCTCGAAGGCCTGAGCGCAGGTTGGAGGGCAGATGCTTACAGCGACGAAAACGACCCTGTGCGATACCGATACATGTCAATCATACATCAACTATGGGGGCGAAAAGGGGGTACTTACATGCAGAGAAGGTACCCTAGAAAGTTGGAGAACTGAGCCTTCAACGGGATGACGAAGGGGTTGACACCTCCGGAGATGTATTGCCAGTCAAAGCAGATGCTCAGTAGTCCAAGACCTTCGTTGCCGTTTGAACCGCCAAAGACACGCGTGAAGTCCATAGACGATTGGTTCGCCAAACAGAATACGGAGCTGGATACGGCATCAACATGTCAGCAAGGGTCAACGGTGCATTCCAAGATTGGGGCTTACAAGCCTGTAATCAGCTAAAACTAGTCGTCAGCATTATGTGCGTTTATCGCAACGATTCGAGCTCACGGGGAACATCCACTCTGGCAAGATCTCCCAGAAGAATATACTGCGATTGTGTTGTTAGTTGGGGGACAGCGGCGGTGACGCAAGGACTGACGCAGTGAACGCCCAGTAGAACAAGCGCAACTTCTTCTTGTTGGTCTGACTCGCTTCCTTTGCAAAGAAAGCATCGAGCATAGACGTGAGTGGCAGTATTCCAGGGTACAACATCTTGGACGGATACAAGAGGACATCTATAATCGACTCAGCGGGGATGACACTATTGGCCGAACATGCACTGGAACTTACTGCGCAACAGACCTCCCATCCCGTAGCCAAGCAGCTGGCTGGAGAAGAGAAGGAAGATCGAGGCAGCCGGGTTTGGCGTTGTGTTGTAGTACAGACGTTGCACGGCGAGAACCTCTGTCCCGAGAGCGCTATTCGCGGCGGCCGAGGCCATGATCACGATGAAGGCGTTCTCTTTCTTGTTGAATGGTCCCTGCGTATGACAGTATGAACAGGAACGTCCTTATCTTCTGAAGGTGAGCGGTGCGTACCGGATTTAGGTAGCGGAAGACTCCGCGTGACGGGATCACGAACTCCATGAAAATGCCAACTACAATGCATGATGAGAGCACACTCGTGCAGTGGTGAATCAGCACACGTACGGACGTAAGCAATGATGGCGAGGAACATTGTTGAGACGAGGACTGTCTGCGGTTTAAAGTAGTAGATCTCGGCTGCGTCTCCATCAGCCTTGGGTCTGAGGAAAGATCGGTGATGCTAACCAAGTACACCTCCAAAGGCTGAGAGGCCAATCCCTAAGACGAGGGAGCGGAAAGTCCAAGGGCTCAGAGATGGGTCGTCCTCGATGCTGATGACATGGGTAGCGATGTCGCGCTCGTCTTGGAGGACCGCTGTCGACCCACTGTCAAGAGACTCGGAATCGCGCTCCTTGGTGTAAGGAACATCCTTGACGTCGACGAGGGAGCCGCTCTTCTCATTGCTCGCCTTCTCGTACGGCGCCGACAGCTCAGGTGCTGGGGACTCCATGGTGTCAGTTCAACCAAGTCGTGAGAGCGAAGAAGACAGATGCGCGCAGGGAGCGGAGAACTATATGTACGACATTTCCCTATACTCCCGCGACGAGGAGTACTGTACCTCGTGGTGTACACCGTTATCAGTGGCATCCTGTGCAGCGTGTGCTCATGGGTACGCCAGGTGTGGGTAAGTTATTCTTGCTTCGGGACACGCGGGCTTGATGAATCCCGCCCATACAGCGACACAGGGTCCCTATTGAGGTTCAAGTATTGCCATTAGACCTAGGTTGCGAGCTTCTGAAGCGACGCACTCACGGATCAAGACGGCGTCGAAGTATCTACGATTTCCTTGTCAGTTGGTAGGTAACAAAGAAGCCAGAAGAAGATCATTCACATGGGCAAGGTTTGCATGCGTCGAAGAATGAGCATGCTAATAGCTGTCTATCCAGCGGCTGTTCGCAGAATTTGCTCAAAAGTGCGTACTAGGTCGCACCAACGCAGCTCTTCCCGCAGTCTAGCTGTAAGCGTTATCAGCAACGACTGTGTAGCGCTGAGAATGCAGGCAGTGGCTTACATATGGCCTTGATACAGCGGACTACGCTAGCTGGCCCGCTGAATCTACGGCACCCCGGCGGCAGAGGGCCGTCGAGGGACTCCTCCCGTGTGTATAATTGAATAGGTACCCCGTTCTGCTACCGGCCAATGCCCCGCGCCGCATGACGCATGGTCAGCGCTACGTGCATCCCTGCGATCCTTCGAACTTCCTGTCAAGTCTGGGTTGGCACGTTCCACCCCACCCTGATATTGGGGCATGGAGAAGAATATGCGGGAGCGGTGCTATCAGGAGGTCCCGTTCACACGAGCGTAAGACCGAATATATTCAGGCTGACAGGCAGAGCGCCGAGTGTTTGACGTTCGTAGAAGGTGTTGTCGGAACTACACGTCTTCGTGTCCCGCCGGGTGTGAACGCGCCATGTAAACCCGCGCCCTTCGGGCATATCAGACCTCGAGTTTCAACCTGATTGCGCCTTGTATTGACAGGCGTCTATGCAGACAATGTGGAGATGTGCTGTTGAATTCGGGCATGATGGTGGGAGGCAAAACGGCGTGTATGCAAGCAACGGCCGAGATGCCGGTCCGCGATGCCGGTCCGTGGGCGAGCCGCACTCGCCAGCCGTCGTTCGCTTGAGACCGGCCTCCATCATATCGCATTGTGCATATACTTATACGCAATTGTCTCAGGCGTGCATCGATATGCTGCAACATCTTGACGCATGCTACTCGAAAGGTGACATCTATCCTACTCATACTCGACAATCCCGGAAGTCGCTCTTCCGTATCACCTCGCCAGAGCAACGAGGGAAGATCACCGCCTTCACGACCGCGTGGGACCAAGAACGCGTACTCTATGCTGCTATACTTAAGCTTGATCAAGCCAAGTCCTTTCCAAGTCCTGTTGTAGCGTGATAGAAATATGGAAGATTAGCTCAAAAAAGGGCCGGGCCGCGCTTCACGGTAAGTTGATCGAGTTCATCATCGCGCTCTGCGCCCAAGTTACCCTGACCGATTGTCCTCGAAGGGATGGTGTCACACCGTCATTGTGACCGGAGAGGCTCAAACCCAAGGCTCGACCCTTCAAAAATAGACACAGCTCTAAATGTGGTCACCGTATTGAAAAAGGCGTCGCCTGGGCTTACGGGCCCATCTCCCTCATCTAAGAGCCACCCGTAACAAAACTCGTCCCTGGTGACAATTTCCAACCTCCCAATATCCGTGTCCCTCTTAGCCTCCTCTCAGCCGAGTGCAACCCAGCAAGGTGAAGCTCTCTTAGCGCTGGATGGTTGCACAGTGACATCCGTCGTGCCGGCAGTCGTCATTGAAGGTTCTCTGCTGGGTATGCTCGTGGTGCCCAACGTTATCGTGTCTATGTCTCAGGGTGAGCCGTGAGGAGTACTCCTTGTTTGCACTCCTCTCGGGTCGTGCGCTGGTGCGCCTATCACGTTCATCTGTCCTCGGTGCATAACTGATCAGAGACTGCAGGCTCAGGACATCTCCCGGCATACGTGCACCCTGCGTCTTTTGCTCCCTAATCATTCTCTCCCTAGTCTACACGGCCATATTGAGTTCCAGCGTACTGCTTGCTATTGTGAAATTGGAAGTGCAAATATCTGCAGATTCTGTACTGCGTTATTTAACATCTTCCGAACCATATTAACGGACACCATAGTCTTCCCTCGATACCGGAGGCAGCTACATCACTGTCACCGGCGGCGACCATCTTAATGCCGCCCTGGCTTAGATAACAGTGTGTGCATCTTCATGCTCCTGCCTCTATCTACTCAATGAATCCTGTCTGTAGACCGTATGCCCACTCAAGGTATTCATTCTGCTGGCACTCGGCGAGATCCATCGTGACCGTGCGTCGCAGTTCTCGAGCCAAGATATGCCGCCGCGCCCTCCCTTAGTGCCGGTTATTAGCAGTGAGATCGGGCCGCACAGAACGGCGCAGTACCTAAACTATGAGTCGACCGGTCATCCTCAGCTACAACTACGCCCCTCACGAAGAACATGCTGAAGACGCAACTGGAGACTGTAAACCCGAGGGTGCGCTCATCGTCGGGGAGCGCATGGATGTATGAGCCTCCATCATATATTGAACGATGGATCGCGTCGGTTATAAGGCAGGGAGAGCGAGAGGCAACGCAACAAGAAGTGTAGCTAGCTTTTTGAGGGCCATATTCTGTCGTTCATAATGAGTCATGACCATCGTGCCACAATATGACGGTAGTAGGCAAGGCGCTTGCCAGCAAGAGCGAGACAGTAGACTCGCGGCGCGGCGCAGCGCCATTGCGATCAGGGTTAGGGTTGGCCCACAACGCGCGCGCGGACACGCTCGTCATCGTTGCCGTGTCAGATCTACAGATGAAGGCGCCCGTCCAAGCGCTCGAGCTCTGTTTACTTTGGCCGCCGAACGCCATGATTAAGACTCTGGCTGACAGGGCTACTTCGAGGCTATGATGAACAAGAGAGGAGAGAAAGAGAATCGTCTCGGTCATATCAATCGCGTACAACATCAGACAGGAGGACAAGACAAGCCGAGTCAGGTTCGAGTCCGAAGAGACAAACGAGCAATAAATCTCGTGTCAGGAATTGGGGAGTACGATGGGGGGAGGAAGTAAAGGGGGAGAGCGGGCCCAGTCGGTAAGCCCACGACAGGAAGAAATGGACTACAGTAAAGTATGTAAGCCCCGAGCCATATTGAAATCCAAAACCAGAAGTGAGGACAGGGAAAGGGGGAGGTCATAGGTGCAGTAGCGCAGTATTTGCTCGCTTCGACAATCGACGAGCTGACGTTGGTCCGGATGAGACTTACTCGCGCGTCGCCGTCACGCTCGAGCGTTGCCGTGTCTACACCATCGTGCTTCTACGGCTCAACTCAACTGCTGCGGACGACGACGCGGGGCCGCGCCGGTCGTCTAGTGGCCGGTGCCCTTGACGATGGCGACGACGATGATAATGATGATGACCGCGATGGTCACACCGATGATGATCCTCATCTGTACGTGGGTGTATTAGCACAGAGTTCGGGCAGCGGGAGGCGCAGTGCTGTGCGTTGCGCAGGGAGCGGTGCGTAGCGGAAAGCGGAAGCCGTACCTTCATGTCTTTCCACCTTCGGAGCGCGAGTGATTGTTAGATATACTACTCATTCGGAGTATCAACATTCGAAGACATACCACATGTTCTATGAAGGGTGTCAGCGCAAGCTCTATATCGGGTTCGAACAGGATAAGAGTGGGAAACGCGACCACAGATATAGCCAACACGGGGCAAGCGCCTCCCGAGGGGATCCGCATAATATTCCAGCGACGTCCAACACAGTAGCGATTCCCGTATCCAGACACAGAAACCAACACACCTTCCTAACGCGGTTCGCATTCCTCCTGAAGCCCTGCGCGCTAACGGCCAGATTGTCGGTCTTGTCTTGTAAGCTATCGAGCCGCTCCTGGCGCTCGGTAACTTTGGTGATGTTGTCACGCATGATGTTGACAGTGTCGTCGATCTGGGCTTGGATGTGCGCAGTCTTGCTCGGGCCGCCGCCTTGTGCGGGTCCGGCGCTGCCGGCGCGCGGGACGTAGGGGTCGTAGGGTTCGGACCTGTATTATGCATCCACGTGGTTGGTATTGAGATCATGGATTTCGAGTCGCCATGGTGGTGGAAGGAGTGGTGGGCGGTCGTACGGCGGCGGTCGATGTTGGGCGCGGGGCAGTGGGAGCGGGCGAATACGCGGCAATGACATGAATATTCCGAGAATTTGGGTGACAGAGAGTTCAAGTAGCTGAGTGTCAGTAATATATCCAATACATGTGGGATGGAGAAAGGACTTGCATATTTAGTTGGTTGGTGGAGAGGTGGTCGTTGGATCTCGAGAGGCCGCTGACGACGCTGGGGCCGCGGCGCCGCGTCGGAGTTTGCCGGCAACAAGCACCGCTTCTTGCTCGCGCGTCTTCTCGTACCTTTACCACCATGTCGTCGCGGCTCGCCAGCCCAGATCAGCTCAGGGATATACATGATTGAACTATCAGTGCTCTTTATGTGCTATGATGTCTTTCCCTGTCTTCTCCCATTTGAAAGACGGTGAGATTGAAGTGCAAATATCGGACAGCGAAGGCATACTCCGAGTCGGTGTCGCTAATATGTACCGGCTCGCATCTCCAGACCTACGAAGCGTCCTACGATACACGTCTGATACCGATGGCCAGAACCTACTCGGCTCTGAGGTCCATATCGCTTAGGCGCCGAGAGCGTGCGCTTGCGCTTGTATCACCGCCCGAGCCCCCATCAGTCTAGCGAACAGATGCTCTCTGGTGGAGATCGACAGCCCGACGGACAGCGTTTCGGACATCGGTGCAGCGCGCTCGACATCTCTCACAGCTGGCGCAAGGTCCATCGCCGATTGTTGACGATCCTGGCTCAAGATTCGTGGAGCACGGTTGTTGAGCCTGACCTTACCGAGCGCCACTAGTATGAACACTGCGCCCGCATATATGGTCTTACTCGACATTAGTTCGCGAATCGAATGACAATGGACCTATGCGATACTCGTGGTTGTCTGTGCCATGGCGGCGTCAAGTTGGTCTCCTATCGTCACTTCGTAATACTTACTCCTCCGCAGAGTAGAGTTCGTATACAGATATACTCCGCACGAAGTTTACGCAGTAAAGAATCTGATTGAGAAATTTCAGGTCCTAAGTACGCACATGACGACGTGCAGCGAGTGGACGCTCACCGAAATCGATGTATGGACCAGACCCGATTCTACGGGCAGCGAGACGCGAATGCTCGATATGCATAGGCCCGAATTGGATGGAATGAATGGCTGACGTGCGCACATCCCAGCAGGTTAATATCAGCATGAGGCCATGTCAGACAGATGTTGAACCTCACATTACGAACGTATCGTATGCGGAGGTTCATAGGGAAACCGAACCAGGATGATTGGCGGGTTGCCGGTCAACATCGACCGTGATGCGCATGTCGTCGTGGTGGAAGACAGTACTTGGCGCATGCGATATGTATTCAAGCCTGCGCTGAGTTGCCGCTCCGAGTCTCTATTGCCTCAGGAGAGTATGGTGGGTGTCGCCAAATGGCGGTGCGCCTCCAGGTTATATTATGACTGCACCGTTCGAGTCGCATGGACGTACCGTGGTTGCGATATCGATCCAGCCACCGTATTCGCATCATCGACTTGCTCTCATGAGTCGGAGGCTTGGCAAACACGCACAAGTGCCAGCGGAAGGTGCTATCTATGCTTAACCAAAAGGACATAATACGCAGCCTGGAGTAGACGGCGACGTGGTGAGCGTCTGGGAGAAGTCGCGGGCTCGATAATATGGGGAGGGCGGGACCGGCCCGAAGTCGCCGGGTCAACTTTAGTACTGTCCCCATCGCGTACAGCCTCGAGACAACACCATGAATCTGTACGCGTGAGGGGAATAAGTTAGACTGGCGTATCTCAGGCCGACCGCCTGGATGATGCTCGAACGAGGTACTGGCGAGTGGACGCGTATGGGTGTCAGAGGGTGCACGAATCGGGCCGATGTCCGATACTCGGAAGAACGCGCGTGGTGGCCTGCGCAAGTTGCTTTCTGCCACAATCATCCTTTGCACTTCGTTTACCTCGCGTGGCGTAACACGACAAAAGAACGAGGAACCATTCGCGTACATAGTTTCAACTGGCGTAGTCTGCGCGTAGCGAGGAAACTTGAACACCTGCAGCCTTCTCCCCATTCATTGCTTCCACAACTACTGCGTGCTCACCGGAGTTCGCAAACTCTGTCAAGCTCTACTGATTCACTCACGCTATAAAGATACAGCGTGCTGTTAATGCGATACTCAGCCGTAAAGGCTCAGGTCGGATGCTATTGTAGAGAGAAGCGACATGCTCGCTACACTTCGCACGACTCGGAGCTTCGTCAATGGATTGCCCACGTATACAGTCGCTCTTTGTCCAGTCGCACAACCAAGAAGACAAACATCGCAAAGCTTTCACTCCACCGACTGCTGCGGCTAGCATGCGTCCTGTCCCCGTCGAAGGTTTAGGCCGAGGATTCCATACGTCCTGGCCGTTCTCCCTTGTCATATCGCAGCTTGGCGTGCACGCCATGCAAATCTATCACCAAACTCAAGGACGACGCCGGTACTGCTGGGAATGCTCAAGAGCTTCTCGCCACTGTCCTACGCTAGACGGGTCTATCAGGATCAAGCGTGACTTGCGGCTTACCTTCAGGGCTCACTACTTCTCTTTCGACAAGCCGTAAAGGGACCCCACTCTAACATTCCATGGTACCTACGCCAAGAAGAATTGCGTACCTCACCATCGCTTACTCCCTTTGGTGGATGCCCGGCTGTCTGCGAACGGCACGTCCGCCGAGTTGCGGTTTTCGACCGTCGGATGCGCTTTCAGAGCGCCTTCTAATACGGGTCTCGATCGGAACAACCAGGACGGAGATCAGCTCTTCGTTGACATGCATCAAGATCCAGGTCGTGAGGTGACGGCGCCCTCCTGAGCCCGCCCGTGCGACAGTCAGGTGTCCTTACTAGGGCCAAGCAGATCGGAAGGTTTCGTGTAGTTCGTTGTTACCAACGGGTATGTGCTCAATTGCCACCTCTAAAGTTCGCCTCTTCTCAATACCTTCTCATAGCTCATTCCGCTCGGGCACGAAGATCGGTCAACGGAGCAAAATAAAGCCATCTACGCTTGATCTTCGGCTTGACACACAGACGCCCACACGGCCTTGGTGGCGTGGCATTTCCCTGTATGCAAATACACGCCGAGCTCAGAATCGCGTATCGGCCGCTCCGCGCAACTCACATCGTGTCCTCAAATGTTAAACTTACAAGGCTAAAGCAGGCCCGTAGGTACGACTGGCCGTCGCCTGGCACGTCATGAGGAACACAAGTCTCAAGGATCGTCTTCATCTTCGGTTCAGAATGGGCGTTCAAGCAGCGCGCAGTCAAAGCTTCAGCAACACAGCCACAGACATCGATGTAATATGATTACTTTATGGGTCAGAAGTCTCTCTGTTGAGGCGGCACTGCGTCTGAACCTCAATAGGCCATCCATAGGTGCGAGCCTAGATGACTCATTCAACTTCACGTGCTATGTTCAACCTCATCAACAGGGACAGTACCCCCGGATACGGTTCACTCGTAGCCGTTCCAGCATTCTGCCTAGTGCAAGTAACGCGAAAACTGCACATGACCCATGCACTTGCGTAGGAGCTCCCTTCGACCTGAACGTTACTTTGTGGGATACTGTCTGATCTTGTATAGTCCGGCATCGTTCTCCATCCTCAGGCACACGAGTTGTCACCATACAGCTGTAGCCTCCAGCTGACATGGGGGCGTATAGTCCCTATGCTAACACGTTCATGGAATGGGTGAGCGCACAAACGACTGTAGAGATGTTGAGATCTGATTGAGATTATCACCAAAGGTTTCTTCGTAGTGCTATTCCTAGCGGGTTCGTCGAAGAATAGCGCGGATAGAGCTATCTGTGAGTGTATACCTCTACCGGAACTGTCGTTGAATCGTCGACATAGATGCGCCGGTACCATCTCAACTAGAATACAAGACATGATCGTTCCGAACCTTGAGCTTCGCGGTACATCTATACGAGGCGGCTGTTCAGATCGTCCGCTGCGATATCGCTTGTTTGACACTGGCATCTACATATGACCTAGCTAGGCGCTTCGCTCCCCGCGCGAAGTCAGGGACGGCAGATGAGCAGAGCTTGAGGGTACGTTTGAGAGCAAACGCAACGAGGATGGCGAAAGCGCTATACACATCCTCACCTCGGCCCGCCCAGACAAAGGCCAGCGAGCAGCGCCGTTGGATCAGCTACTAGTGATGTACGCATGTTTCTGCGTGCTCTGCTATCTAACGCTCTGTATGGCTTTTTATCAGCTGTAGGGACCGTCGAGTCTCGACTGAAGTGCCAATCGACTGTTCCTGATAACTCGCCCAACACGGAAACCTGCTACCTACCTTATGTCGACAGAGCATGTAAGCTCTCCTGGAGTACTGCTGGTGCTGTTGGGCGCTATGAACGTCGCCGAGAAGAGGTGTTGAATTTCCTATTGGGGTGGGAAAAGCCGAAACCTGCGAAGTGCGAGACACGCGCACGGCGTTGGCGCCGCGCCGCGCGTTCCCGAGACTCGTAAGGCCAAAGAGCCGTATCGTCCAGCAATATGCAAAACATCAGCATTGAGCAATGTAACCCGAGCCGAAGCCGGGTGCAGCGCGAGAAACGACCTTGGCAGTAGCACCCCGCAGCCGTAGTCTCTCACGGCATGGTCGAGTACAACGACAGAAATCTATTACTATACGCATCATCCTTCGTTAGTCCGCTCATGAAGTACGCATCGCTGGCTATGAGACTCCATGGTATGTCACCAAGAAATGAGTAAAACACGAACTATTGATAATAATATCGTGAAGTCGTAAATATCGGGATCACGTCGGCCCATCTCGGGAACGTAGCTGTCAGCAGACGTCAACGTCCGAAGGCTGCGGTGGACTGAGAACGCGCCTCTCGTCCTGCACTCATGTTGACCTCCATCGTCGCTCAAGTCTACTCCTCGATTTACCTCTTCCAATGTACTGAGAGCCATGATTACGCGCAGCACCCCGGAATTTGACTGCGGCTTGCGACATTCCACGGTTGTCTTAGCCTGGATCCTCGTTATCTATTCAACTGCACGCGATATCTCTCGCGGCTTGGAGTGAGCGGTGGAGAAGCCGTATGGCGAGCGAGGCCAGAGATCGGATGAGAGAAAGCCCGTCTGACAGACGTAGGGTCGCGATGAGATTGCATCGTGCACAAAGAACCCTTTCTCTGGGCGCGCGAACGATTGGGCTTGTTGCTCGCACGTCGATACTGGCCGAAGGGATAAAGGAAACCCCGTCACTTCTCGCTGGCATCTGAGGCAAATAGGTAAGATCTACATACCTGTCAGCCTTGTAATTAGCACTCATAAACGCTGTATTGCCCTAGATCCGTACCTGCAGGTTGCATGCGAACATCATGATCTTACAGCGGCCCGGTATTACCTTCACCCTCCTTGTACTGCAGGGCCACAACGTGCAGACGCCGTGTAGCCACCTTGTTGGTGCCACTCCCAATGGCGTAACTGCGCACGTACTCAACCAGCCATGTTGCGCAAACTCGCGGGAAGTCGTGATGGATGGTCTGTGTGCGATCGTCGGCCAAGTTCCTGCCGTTTCGCGGGGCCCGCCCACTCTTCGCCACAATCGTAGTGCCATCTGCGCCCAGATGTGTACCTTCTGCCCGAGCATGCAATAGGTTGCGTGCAGGCTTAACATGTCTAGCCCTCCGCGTTTGCGATTCTCCGGAGCCTTCTAAAGACTTATCACCGCGTTGAACATCCGATGCCACGTGTTAATCAAAGGTCTCACACACCGAGGACCCTTCCCGACGCCGTGTTTGCTATGCTTCTGTTTGAGGAGGCGTGGATGCTACCGCATGGGTTATCTGCTATCTGCAGCCCTAGCATGAAATCGGAGAGACAGGTTCTGACTCCGATGACGCGCACAACCTTTGGTGTGCTGTGGCTCTTGCAGACATCATCTCATATCCCCTCGTCGCTACGCACTGCCTACACATCCAGAGACGGGAGATCGCACACGCCACACCTTGCCAAGATAGCAAACAACCACGCAGGGACATTCCGCAGTATGGCATCGACAGCAACATCGGGCAGTAGCTGGTCTCGGCAACCGCCGGTCTAAAGCCTGCTCGGACGCTGGCTTCTGCTGGCTTCTCTTCTTCGTTAAGGGACGCTTGGCATGGCAGCGTATACACTGCCAGGATTGGGAGGGAACGCGCAAGAAGTCGACATTCTCGCGCGGGTCTCTTCGGAGTCTGAGAGCACTTCCGAGTCCTGGCGTGCTCTTCTCAATACACTTCCCTACGACCACACCCGCATGCAGCTGGAGGTCTTGGCACAGCATAGACCGTCTTCATCCGAGGCTTATCGTTACCTCTCGAAGAATGTGTCTCCCGAGCAGACAACCGCGGCGGTATACTCCGAGACGAAGTGGCGAACTGCATTCTCATCGGAGTGGGTGAGGATACGAGGATCCGAGGTCAAAGTCTTCCACGCGCGCCGGCCGTATCTTTTATTCCAAAACCGCATGGTATGGAGCCACGCCAGGATGATTGGCGTGTCTCGTAGCCGTGTGCATGCGGAAATGAGGAGGCAATTCGGATACACGTCTCTGAGACTATTGTCCGGATACGAATGAGGCGCGGTCAACGTATGCGTCGTGGGCCGCTCTCGTCTGTAGAGGCATTTCACACGGCTTCAAGGATTGGCCGCAGTATCAGGTTCGTCCAGTGCTTGGCCCTTCTGTATGTTACCTGATGGAAACCCGTTCCTCTCAGGTTTCTCTTCTCCCGCCCCAGTCAAGACTCTACAAGTTTCCAACGTTCCCGCCCCTGGCATACAGGCGCTTTCCCTGCGATCTTGTGTCGGCGCCGGCCGATTGCCTTTTGTCAGGCGCATCACAGACCAAGATCGCAGGGATGGGTTGAGCGCTCACATTCGGCGGTGATCTACTCAGAGGTGGATGCGACCATACAGCGAACATTGTGTAGCGATGTTATCGTGGATGATACCATAGCATGGTTGATCGACGTATGTCTTTCTCGGAACGTCGCTGGAGCATGTTTTTCTGATAGCCATGTTTTTCAGACGAGATCCATGCGGCTTCTGAGCATCGTGAGATTGCGCTGCTGGTCTTCTTTGGATTGTCTTGAAATCCTTGGTCGAAGATATTCAACTCCATTCTCATGGATCTGCATCGCACCAGAAGTGCACACCGCGTGGAGTCTACTGATACACAGTTTCCCTGCGCGCTTACGGACCAAAACAGCTACACGGGCACGGTGTGCGCGCCAATCCGCTATATAAGCACTGCGTATGCTTTTCAGGATCCCCAGCAGCATTTGCTCTCGTTCATTCTCTCTCCTTTCCCTGCTACCATGACCGCAGCGGACATTGAGAAGCAGAATGCCATCGCGGAGGAGGTTTCGTACGTTGTCTCGTTCATCGTGCGCCAGATGGTGTATCTAACAGGCTATTGCAGTGGCGAGGAGCCTTCCTCATCCGGCAGCAGCCTGAAGGGCGAGTCTGTCGACGAAAAGGTAATTTCACCTGCTGCTCATTGGTAACGGCTTTTCATCGATATTGTGTCAGGGCTCGATTGACGAGAAGGAGACGGCGGTCGCTGAGCTCAAGTCGTACCCGGTACCGAATAAGAACGGGACCAAGGTTTCTCGGTACCTGCAGCGTATGTTCCTGGCTTCAGCTTCGAGTACTCCATACTGACGGCCACCTCAGACAACTTCTTCTCAACATATCGCAAGATCTTTACGGTCGTCTTCTTCGCCAACATCGCCGTCTTGATCGCCCTCATAGCCAAGAACAAGGGCACACCCTCCGCTCCGGACGTCGGTAGCGCGGCCTCGGCCAACCTCATGGTCACGATCTTATTCCGTCAGGAGAACTTCGTCAACCTTGTAAGACGACCTCCATATCATGTTGAGTCTTCCAATCTCACGGCTCCATTAGGTCTACGAGGTTCTCTGCGCTTGCCCACACTCTGCACCGCTATGGATCCGCGTGCGCCTGGCCAAGGCCTTCCATTACGGTGGCTTCCACTCTGGCGCCGGCGTTGCCGCTGTGTTCTGGTACATCCTTTACACCGGCCTCACCACCGTCGACATGATCCACCACAAGACAAGCCCTTCGATTGTGAACACCGTGAGTACAATTCACCGCTTTTGATGATGCCACACGTGCTCACAAGTGCGCAGGTGTTGTCATACATCATTTGCTTGATGTTCTGTTTCATCATCTTCAGCGCACACCCGGTGTTCCGTCGTACCTTCCACGATTACTTCGAGGCGACACATCGCTACTCCGGCTGGTTCGCCCTCACCTGCTTCTGGACGCACACCATCTTCGCCGGGATCGAGTACAGCAAGCTCGAGCCAAACCCTCCTTCACTCGGGAAGTACATCGTCACGTCCTCCAACTTCTGGACATTCGCCGTCTCGACTTGCGCCACCCTCCTCTCTTGGGGCCGCCTGCGTCGTCGCGAGGTCTACCCAGTCCGCCTTTCCAGCCACGTCACGCGCCTGTACTTCAAGTACAAGAAGATGCCGCCCTTCTACGGTCTCAAGGTCTCCGACAAGCCGCTACTTGAGTGGCACGCGTTCGCGACGATCCCCGAAGAGGACGGCTTTTCAGTTCTCGTGTCCAACGCCGGCGACTGGACCAGCAAGGTGATCAACAACCCGCCGAAGAAGCTCTGGGTGCGCGGTTACCCGCTGCACGGTCTGCTCTACACCTCGGTCCTGTTCAAGCAGATCGTCGTCGTCGCGACCGGCTCCGGCATCGGCCCCCCGCTCTCGCTTTTCCGCGCTAACTGGACGCCGCGCCGCATCTTCTGGTCGACGAAGGACCCTATCAACACCTTCGGCCAGGGCGTCATGGACACGGTCAAGGAGGCGGACCCCAACGCCGTCATCTGGGACACACGCACACAGGGCCGGCCGGACATGGTCGCTATCACTTGGCAGTTGGTGAAGGAGTGCAACGCCGAGGCGGTGTTCATCATTTCAAATCCCAAGCTCACGCAGCGCGTCGTCTACGGGATGCAGACTCGCGGCGTCGCTGCCTACGGTGCGATCTTCGACTCGTAATCTCGTCGCTATCGCTCCGGGTTTCTGGCTTGCTTGTATGCCCGACGCGGCCTTCGCCATGGACGTTCTGCTTACGGTAGTCGCTTCCCGGTCCCACCTTCCTTCTGCATCTAGATACGCAGACTTCTACTTCGCCCTTACCCCTTACCTCTTGATCACTACGACCCATCCGACGGTACTCCTCTCCACCTGTACTACGAAGCCCCACCACCATCTCACGACTTCATCTCCCGGCCCGCCTACGCGGAAGCATTACTTGTTGTATGTAGAACTAGACGAATGGAACGCATTGTATACTCCCTGCCCTGCGTGATTGGACGTCGCTCTTGCCGCGGACTAACATGATACCCCTTCTAGGGCTCGGCAAGGACTCGGCACCCTTATCGGATAGGATGGACGCGCGGCAATCACCGATGTCTGCGCGGGAGCCCGCCACACGCTTTGGCGCTGGCGAGCGCTTCAACATGCTCTCGACCACCACCTCATCTTTCCGTCTCACCCCTGGTCTCAATACGCTGCTCTCAGCCTCAGGGAAACCGTACCGGGGAATTTGAACCGCGTGGTGACCCGAAAACTATGAGGAGGACGGACGGCGATGTAGCTTTGAGTGATAGGTCCCCACCTTAGGTAGGCGTATTCTCAAGCTGGTTTTCCGATACCAGCCAGCTGAACCCTTCATAGATATCATCGTAAACTAGAAGTATGCTACGTGACTGTATGTTATAGGCGCTCTATCATATCTTTGCCTTTCCCCTTCATGTGCCAGAACGCCCACCACTTGGAGCCAGCTTTCGAGGCTTTGCGTCGTTCCTCTTGATTCGGGAGCTGGATCCCGGCGCTCTCAAGCGTCTGAAGCAAATCATGATGGACCTGAAGAACGTTCAAACACAGCTGCGCCAACGCGAGCTCTTCTTGCATATGGCCGACGATCCAGCCACAAGCGACCCTCCCGAACTTGGAGCGCTCCGGCCGGACGAACATCGTGGCGAGGGCCCTCTTCATCGCCGCCTTCTGCAGCTCCAGAGTGGCCTTGCACGAGGGAAGATCTTTCTTCTTGTACGCCGACAGAAACGCCTTGTCGTGCGCGAAGAAAGCGTCGGAGTGCTTGAGAAGAACGGCGATCATCTGGAGGTCGTCGGCGGGTATATTGGCGAATAGCCGCGGGATGAAGAGAATGACCTTGTCTACCCAATGCTCTCGGACCTGCGCATGAAGTTCTAATCAGCGTCTTAGTGTCAAAAGCGAATGCAGCGCCGCTTACCCCGCCTGGCACCGTGGCCTTAGCTTGCTCGAGGTCGGCGTCGGTCAGACTGCCGATCAAATCCTTCAAGACGGGCTCCAGCTCGCTGTTGCTGCCGTCGGCAATAATAGACCCGCTGTCACTACCGTCGACGAGAACAGGCTCGCTGTTCTCGATCGGCGTTCCTTCTCCCGCACGCCCGGCGGGGGACTGAGGGTCGTACAGGACCAGCGCCTTCGGGTTCGCCTCTGGCGTGTCGACGACCGCCTCAACTTGCACCGGTGCAAGGGGTTCGCCGCCTGCGCCAGCGCTGGGTAGGTCACGGGAAGTCGAGCTAGAAGCTATCAGGAACGTGTACCGGGCATGGGTACACTCAAGACGTACTGGGATGACATAAGGGAATGTGTATGCTCAGGAAGGGAGATGCGCGCAGCGCGATAGTAGTTTGTCTGGATTGAGAGGGTTCCGTTCGATGTTCGGCGTTTTATATGTTCGTTAACGACAGCCCTTTGCAAAAAGAGTCGCTATGTTGTCGGCGACGCGACGCGATCAAGACAAAAGGCTTGAGCGTCTGGAAAGCGCATTCTTGTTGTCGGTGGTACTCGGTGGTACACTGCCCGACGCGCGTTTATTCCCGTTTGCTTCCCGTTCATGCCTGTGACCAAAGCCCTGCAAGCCGCGTGAGCCGACACTGACCAGCTACGCTATGGACGAGATTACTCAGGTGATTTGTAGGTATCACTCAGCAAGCATGGATAGTGCAGGAGATATTACTACTCTCCTTCCGAGAGACATCTTTCAACAGATCAAAACAGCGCGTTCATATGTCGCATCAATTCTTTGTTGCCGAAATGCGTCCTCCGACTCATATTCGGTCTTGTACAAGAACCGATATCGGACGCTGCTTTGCGAAGAGCTTTGTGGATCGAGCTTTCAGCGACTCGGCTTGCTCAGAAGCTGTGTAGGTCGAGAAAGACAGCGGGCAAACTAGAACAGTGTGAACATGTCGTGAAGTTCGTCTGGGGCGCCTGGCACTTCCCTCTATCGACACGCACGGAGCGTCTCTCTCCTCCGATCTGGTCAGAGTATATGCCAGGCAAGACAGCAATGTTTTTATGCGCATATAGTTTGCGCCGCTCTTTTGTCATTCACGAATCACGCCCCTCCGACGTCCGCGATACCACATCGGATACTGGACGCCTCCGATCACTCCAAGTCTTCGTCCCCGATATTCAAGGCAAGACGACGTTCGCTTCATGAGAGTGACGAAGAGAACCGCTACATCGGTACATTGCCCAGCCTCCAAACCCCTACATAACTAGTTCATCGCCCAACACAACCTCACACCTCTGCACAACCGGCAACCCCTCTCTCCCGAGCATCGGCCAATCAAGCGCCGCAACGCCTCTCTCTCCCCTCCCAAGCACTTCTCCCTCACCGCTTTCTGGCTGCGAAGACCATACGAGGTCGAAGCGCGGCCACGTCCAGTCGTGTGCGATTGGGAGGGACGGGATTGAAGCCGCGCGGGGAGAGGTAGGTATATGATGGTTAGGATTGCCCGTGCATGCGAAGGAGGCCCAGAAATCCTGCACTTTGTCAGTTCTAAGACACAGTTGTACGCAGAGTGGTCGATGCGCACCCGGATGAGGTTCGTGAGGGGTGCATGCGCATCCGAGCGCCGCGGGAGGGCGAAGAAGGCGAATGAACCAAACGTCTGTAGAATAAGGGTCATTCAGTGACTGCCACATGGTGAATGCAGTCGAGAGCGCACCTCAGAGACCTCCCCAGGGTAGCGTGTCTTCCTCTCGCCGACAGAGAACATGCAAAGATCAAACGGGTGGAAGAGTGGTCGACCATATGCGCATTCGATACTGCATCAATCTGAGCGAAGCGTGGTATCTGTTCCGGTTCCCCGCCTATCGCTCTTCAAGAGGTACGCGTTGACCGCGAGCATGCAGAGCGCAGTGCTGTTCAGCACGTAAAGCACATGCTATTCTAATAAAGGGGCTTAGTTTATGAAGACCGGATAATTTCGAAGAGTACATACCAGCTGAGTGCGCCTTGATGGCAGCAACGTATGGCGAAAGCGGTTGGAGGAAGATTCGCGGACGCTGTGCTCACGCTACTGTCTCCTGAGGGAGAAGCGCATGCGGGTACAATATATGGCCATCGTGGTCAATGGTTGAGCCCGCGCGTCATTGAGAGTTCTTCGACTGCGTGCAACCTAGCCGCGTATCTTGTGCGCTAGTACGCCCTATTCCGTGCAAGTCGTGCTCATATGTGACAATGAAGACTTTCATCCGCTCGGAGACGGGGAACTTCGAGCTTGACCCCGCGCAGTATCGACAGAGTTGGTCTTGTCGCACATGCTTCGGGCTTGATGTAACCGCCCTAGCCGTGAGTTATTGCAGCATTGCGGGAGCTGAACGACGAGTAGCCCGATATATAGCCAGCCAGTTCCTTGCAAAGGAGAAGATCAAGGTCGTGAGCAAGTTCAAGCGCGAGCTCGCGGGACGCGTCGTTCTCCCAAACTCCCATGTGCACGTCGCCCTTTCAGCTTCTCTTCTTTCTCGGTTGGCCCTGAAGGCTGACACTGGAATGTGTCTGGCGATGAAGAAGAAGAGGTCGGAAACCATGCTCGCGGTAAGTGCCTCCTACATACGTCGATCCAGGCGTTTTCCTAATCATCTTTCTCATAGATACACTCGAATAAGATAAACCAATTCCTGTCTTGATCGCTCAAGCCACCGCACAGTACCATGGTGGCTACGGTAGCCAGTCTCTCCAAATGTCTCTGCATGTGACCTCAATATTGAACTCGGCGCGGTTCATGGGTCTCTCCTCTGCCTCTCTGCATCAATTCCGTTTGCGAAGGAGACAAGGCCCGGCCTCTTCTGCACCTGTCCGGCCGCGCTTGCTTGGCTCCTCGTAGTGCGACATGCACACTAGCGCTGTCCATCGGTCCACGTTGGCTCAGTCGTCCCCAATGGCGTTACCACTCGACGTTGGGCGCATCAAGTCGTAGCTTCCAGCGCTTCTTCGCTCCAGGTTCCCCGAGTCGATTACCATGCAATATTCACTTCCATGGCTCATGCCCACGCTGCTCCGGTTTCGCGTAATCGCCTTTTAGCAGGATGAAGTACGGTGCGACCATCTGCATGAGGCCGATCAGTCGAAGAACAGGAGATGGTGGCGAAAGATGGGTCCATAGGCTCGGCGAGGACTATGATGCAGTGTGGTGAGTATACGGATTGCTCTGTTTATCTTTCGAGATATCAACCTGACGTCGCACTTTGCTTAGGTTTGAATCGCCCAGGTCCTTCGTCTACCAAATGGACAACCAATCACTGCGTCCAGAGCGCGCTCTTACGGGTGCCCAGTTTTACATACTCGCCTCGGATGTAGTTTGCATGTGTACTATACAGGTACTCCTCTTTCAAGTGTGACTCTGTGTAGAGCATTCGTGTCCTCCGAAGGCGCGCGGCGGGCTTCGGCTTCGGCTTTGCTCGGCCGAATGCCGTATGCGTGAATTCACCCAGTCGCGGTGCCACTGCCAGTCAGTTCCTCAGGCTGTACTGTATCTTCACAACTCTTATGCTCTGTGACAGACCATGGGTGTGCAAGGCTTTACGTCTAGTGTATAGAGACATGAGGTCCCCGTATCTTCCTTGTGAACATGTTCGTTCGCAGGATAAGCACAAAAAGAGTGATGTTATTCAAATATAATGACCGAAGTCGAGTATGTGGGGTCTAAGCGACATGGCAGTACTCTTGAGGAATAGTCCTGATATTGAGCATACAAGCGCGATCTGGCAGCAATACCTGCGCCTCCGTCTAGCAATCAATCACGGCCGCATTTCGTCAAGGCTTCTCCCGCGGCGTGCGCAGCTTGTACAGTAACTGAAGAGATTGTAGGATTCTCAGCATAGACTGCAGTAAGCTTGCCCTGGGGCAGAGCAAACAGACCGACGACTGCGGTCGTCCTCGAAAAGTACGCCCCACCGCAGCGATATGAATGCGAGAAGCAAGACGGCACAGCAACCATCCGGAAGGTAACAGACCGGTTTCATCGGCTACGCGTTGCTACATATGTTATGGTTGGATGCGTCCGTAGACGCACAGCCAGTTCATGTCCGGTGCTGGGCCAGTGAAAGACTCGAGCTCGTGTTTGTAGGCAGAGCGGCGAGGGTGGACTACGCCTTCTGCGCAGATATTTGGCAGTAACAGGGGCTGTAGTCCTTCTCTGCCGTATAAGCCTCCGGAGATGACTTTCCGGGCGCATGTGTAGTATGCTGCAGATGCGCGCTGGTGATGGTGGCGCTCAGCGGGGTTCAGGTGTAGCTTCGAGCACCGGAGAAGTCGGACTCTTCTGAAGAAACGGATGGCTCCGACAGGCTCCGACAGGACAGCGTCGACACGAATGAGACTTTGGGTCCTCTCGGAGACTCCAGTGTCCTGTCGGAGACTTGCCACGCGGCAAACACGCGACGAGCCCTCCCTTCTTCTGCTCCTAGTCTACCGCCATTTCCACCATCCAAATTGGGGAAATTTCGAGTGGATCTGGACGAGATCGGCCATTTCGGGACAAGTCGACTGACACCAATTTTTCTATGTTTAAATGTGAAAGTGACATTCGGAAATCGCGGGCCGCGAGCCCCGAAGCAACCCCGAAGAAGCTGTCGGAGCCTCGACGATGCGTCGGAGCCTCTGATTCCTGTCGGAGACTCTAGCTCCTGTCGGAGGCTGCAACGCATCCTGATGGAAGGTTCATGCGCGGGACTGCTTCCCATGCGAATGACGGGCAGGCGAGTGTGCTATTTGGTGGGACGCAAATTAAAAGACCATGTAGTACGCGAGCATCAGGCGCTTCGAGGAGAATGCGCGTCCTTCGTATCAAGGTCGAGGGCAGGGCCTCCGCTACGACATCTCTCGTCTTCAGAGCATTGCGCTCGACCTAGCACACGTAGTCCTTGAATATAGGGTCCAAAAAGCCAGTGGGTCCAAAAAGCCGGGAGAGTACGTGACGGGTTTTGCTCTGACAGGTGTCAACGGCAATGTAAGTAAGAGCAGACTCGGAGGGGGCTGTGGTTGACGCACGGCTCGCTGCTAACCGCGTATTTGTCTTCACGAGAGCCCGCCTGTACTTCCTGATACAGCTTCCATCCTTTTCTTCTGCCGCGCGACTCGATGCACCACCAGGATCAATCCCGCCGCGTACGGTGGGTGATGGGGCGAAGTAGTGAGGCACGGTAGATGGGAACAAGTCGCGAGACGCGTCGAGGCGCGTCGTGAGCTTGACTCTTACTTCCATCATCAATTGTACTTCTTTGAGCTGTCATGACACAATGTCGATCCAACATGGAGGCGAATACGGCAACGGTCGAATCTGACATTCATCGGCAAGTCCAATGAGTACAAGACAATTTCGGTGTTTCGATGCCCGTACAGTAGGTAGGATCCTATACTCCGTCCTTCGCGTGATGGCTCGTTGACGTTCCATTCAGGTTTATGAGATACCTTACCCAATATTGAGATGCTGTGCATCAATCTGGCCCTGCTCTATCATTCCTACATACCACTATACCCCGGTCTCGCCACAGTATGCGTGTTCTATGATTAAAGAAGCCACGCTGAATTGGGAAGTACGGCGCTTGAAAAAGAGCCGGAGTCAGTGACATCTCGTGGTTTGTGCACTTGGTAGGAATATGCGCGAAAGATAGCGCACAAGTCAGGTAGACTCAGGGCAGTTGCTCGTCAATACGATCAGTCTTAGTAGAGCGTCTGTCTCATCAGGTTCATGTGATAGCCTCTACAAGCACCTACAACAGTGTTTCTCAAGGCCGGATCCGCGAAGAAGCTTACGAAGGCGCTCATCTACACAGCTCGTGTTGAACCCTAGTACCTCGCTCTGTGCGCACGCACCGACTTCCCACTGATCCGTCTTCTTATATATGCCAATGGGCCCGGGGCCATCCATCACACCCTCTTTCCGCCTGTGCAGTTGACCAACTACGAGATCCTATAGCATCAAGGGTAAGCACCCCACACTCTGTTATGCTCTAACACTATACTCAACCAGTCATAGAGCATCCCTCCCGCGTTTTCAAAGGTACCGGCGTCCGTTCCTGTACTCTTGCGAAGCTTACCTTGCGCTTGCAGGTACTATCCCGAGATCGTTACGATGAACAACGATGTCTCCGAAAGTGGTGGTCGCGAGCCCGAGCATGTCCTCAATACCGGATTATTTGAGGCCGACCCTATAGCGATCAGCAAGCGTCTGCTTCACGACTACATGAGGATCGGAGACGAGGCTGCGCTCGACTCTGCTGTGGAGCTCATGAGAATTGCATACATGTCACAGCCTCAGAACGTCGGCTTCATCTTACATTTCAGCTTCTGCCTTTCGACACGCCATGAACATTCTGGATCTGCTGAGGATGACGACGAGTTGAGATTTATGCTCCAGCGTGCTATCGACATCTCGCCTACAGCAAACGAGAACCCCGTTCTGCTGAACATACTGGGCGATGCGCTCTTGCGCCGCGCCGATCGGTCTGACGTCCGTGAGGATTTTGACGCCGCGGTATCAACATACCGCCGCGCCGTGCAGCTCACGCCCGCTGGGCACAGCGAGGGATCGTTCATCCTGAACAATCTCTGTAACGCACTGAGCCACCGCTTCGAGCGATTCGGCGAGATCGAGGACCTTGAGGCGGCGATAACGATGCAGCGCTGTGCCGTTGACCTCACGCCCTATGGACACCCCGAAAAACCGATGAGGTTGGGCAACCTGGGCTCTGCACTACAGTGCCGCTTCGAACGCGTCGGTGAGCTCGAGGACCTTGAGGCCGCGATAACGACGCAGCGCCGTGCGGTTGCACTCACGTCCGATGGACATCCGGACAAACCGATATGGTTGGGTAACCTGGGCTCTGCACTACGGTGCCGCTTCGAACACGTCGGTGAGCTCGAGGACCTTGAGGCGGCGATAACGACGCAGCGCCGTGCCGTGAATCTCACACCTGATGGGCACCCCCACAAACCAATGAGGTTGTGCAACCTGGGTATTGCACTACAGCGCCGCTTCGACCGCGTCGGTGAGCTCGAGGACCTTGAGGCGGCGATAACGACGCAGCGCCGTGCGATAGAACTCACGCCCGATGGATACCCAGTCGAACCGGGGTATTTGAACAACCTGGGCTCTGCGCTAAAGTGCCGCTTCGAACGCGTCGGCGAGATTCAGGACCTTGAGGTGGCGATAACGACAACTCGCCTTGCCGTGGAACTC